AGTTTATTTAGCTTCCTTAATAAAAGGATAATTAAAATTTTTTTTTTAAATTTATTTTTTATTGAAATTATTTATTAGTAATTATTTATTTTTATTGGAAAATAAATGTTCATTTTTTAATATATATGTATATAGTATTTTAAAATAAAAATTTTTGTCTTAATATTAATTTTACTTTTTATTTTCTATTGAACTCAATAATCCAAAAATGTAGGTTAAACATTCCTTTCAATAGAAAAATAAATTTGATTTAAAGTTTCTCGTGACTAATTATTATTAAAAGTACTCTCGAAATATTTCAGAAATATTAACCTATATTTGCCTGTTAACTAATCAATATAAATTTACAATTCAGAACACTCTCATTTTATGACAAAAGAATATTCACATTTTGAAGATAAAAATTTTTCCCGCTTCTTTGAATCAGAAATTTCAAAAATAAATTTAATATTATTAATTTTCTTCAATTATTGTTAAATCATTTTTTTATTTCATGTAATCTTAATTTTTATTAAATTACACAGGACCACAAAAAAAATCGGAATTTGTCTTAACAAGGCAAATCCGAATATGATTTTCTAAAGTATATTTTGATGCTGCTGAGTACGAATCTGAAGTCGGATTTGCTACATCATGTCAGAATTTTTTTCTAACCTCAAAAAATATGTCTAATCAAACAAGTAACTCAAAATTCTTGTGGGATTGAGTTCTAGGGGTTTTTGAGGTCGCTGATTACGAATTTGATCTCAGATTTTCAAAATTCAAAATGGCGGATGCAATATGGCGGACAAGTTTTTAAAAAATTATTAGATTTTCATGGAAATCAGTATCTAGGGGTTTTTGGGGTCGCTGATCATGAATCCGATGTCAGATTTTAAAAATTCGTGATCAGCGACCCCAAAAACTAAAATACTGATTTGCATGAAAATCTAATAATTTTTTAAAACCTTGTCCGCCATATTGCATCCGCCATTTTTAATTTTGAAAATCTGATATCAAATTCGTAATGAGCTACCCCAAAAAACCCTAGAACTCAATCCCACAAAAATTTTGAGTTACATGTTTGATTAGACATGTTTTTTGAGGTTAGAAAAAAATTCTGACATGATGTAGAAAATCCGACTTCAGATTCGTACTAAGCAGCATCAAAATACATCAGAAAATCATATTCCAGTTTATCTTGAAAGAAATTCGACTTTTTTTTTGTAGTCCTGTGTTATTAAAATTTTTTGATGAATAATTTATTTTTATTAAATAATTAATTAATTTATGCAAACTCAATAAATTAATTAATTACTAAATAAAATAAATTATTTATTAAAAAGTGAAAAAAAATCACTAACTAATTTTTTAAAATGTGAAAATATACTAGATTATTTTTACACAAAAAAAATAAATAAATAAACACGAATATTGTCGTGTTCTTATTTGCGTATATAAACATCTGTTTTGATATAAATTTCAGGTGTAGTTTTACGCTCCGAATAGCTTAGAAATCAGCAATATCCTTCGGAGTGAGCGTCCGTGAAAGGTGCGGTTTTAAAAGAGACACAACCACTGAAATGACCGCGATTTTCGCGATTTTTCACACACGTGCTACAAAAGCCGGGCACGTGAACCATTGGCACGTGTAAGACATGATTTTTTTCCCCCTTTCTAAATAGCTACGAGTTCCCTGAACTATACAACCGTGTATTTGCATCAAGTATATATATATGTGACCTGGACAGTTAAAAGGGACCTTTTGTTCGAAAAAATTAATTTTTTATTGATTGGTGATTCTGATAGAAAAAAGTTTTCTTTATCAGAAACACCAATCAATAAAAAATCGATTTTTTCGGACAAAAGGTCCCTTTTAACTGTCCAGGTCACATATATATATTTATAATACAGTTCTGCCTTACGAAACAAAAACTCAGTTAACTCAGTTTGTCGTTATTGGCGACAATCATTCAACAGGATAGGCGAAAATCTACCTTAACGACAAACTGAGTTAACTAAGTTTTTGTTTCGTACGGCAGAGTTTATATTATTATGTACATTGAGAAAACGATATTTTTAATACAACCATATTACCGTGTTAACCGCGGGGCTATTCTGGTAGAAAAATCGCAATTTTTTTCTTATATGCTTATAACCAAAATTCTAAGCTTTATAGAAAAATGTTTTTAAGGCCAGGTCCAAGTGAGGCAGCGCCATCTACATTGATACTAAAATTTTTGAAAATTTTCAACAGCCTTTTCTTGAAAACAAGATGGTAAAATGCTTTTTCCTTTATGGATAATTGATTACACAGGCACACAAAAAATAAAAAGTTGTTTGGCCGAGACACTACACTAGTCTATTTTCATGTAGTTTTTCACGCTGAATCCGAATCCGAAGTCAGAATTATCAGATTGGCTCTTATTTTTGAGATAAACTCAAAAAAACTGCTCAGAAAGAAAAATAAAATCAAAAAGTTAAAAAAAATTTTGAATGTCACTGCGATAGTGTAATTCCATGTATTTTTTGTCGCTGAATCCGAATCCAAAGTCAGAATTGTTAGATTCGCTCAAATTTTTGAGATAATTGCAAAAAAACACAAGTAACAAAAAACTCAAAATACTCAAAATCAGTTTTTTGGAATTATCTTCAAAATTTGAGCCAATTTGTCAATTCTGACTTTGAATTCGGATTCAGTGTGAAAAAATACATGAAAACGCACTATCGTAATGTTTCGGCAAAAAAAAATTTCTTTGAGCTAAAATCGCCAAAAACTGATAAAAATTCTGAATTAGGGGCACAGATAATTTTTTTTGCTGAAACACTACGATAGTGCATTTTCATGTATTTTTTCACGCTGAATCCGAATTCGAAATCAGAATTGACAGATTGGCTCAAATTTTGAAGATAATTCCAAAAAAAACTGATTTTGAGTATTTTGAGTTTTTTGTTATTTGTGTTTTTTTGCAATTATCTCAAAAATTTGAGCGAATCTAACAATTCTGACTTTGGATTCGGATTCAGCGACAAAAAATACATGGAATTACACTATCGCAGTGACATTCAAAATTTTTTTTAACTTTTTGATTTTATTTTTCTTTCTGAGCAGTTTGTTTGAGTTTATCTCAAAAATAAGAGCCAATCTGATAATTCTGACTTCGGATTCGGATTCAGCGTGAAAAAATACATAAAAATAGACTAGTGTAGTGTCTCGGCCAAACAACTTTTTATTTTTTGTGTGCCTGTGTTATTGGCAAGATATAAACCAGCTAAAACTTTTTTTGAGTTAAAATAATATAAAAAATTTCATGTCAATAAATTAAATATGAACACTTTTTTCACAAAAACTGTAACAGTACCCTTCTCAGAAATTACAATCAAAAATGCAATTTCCATTTGGAAAATTAATAAACGTTAAAAAATACACGACCTAAGCTTTTCCAATCACGAAAATAAGAAAAAAAAATTTTATTAAATATTTAACATATTGATACTGCTTTACTGATTGTGACAGCCCTTTGGTAGATTATGTATTTCAGGTGGTTAGCAACAGCGCCAATCTCCTCCTTTCGGCAAAACTGCGAAACGTCTGGTGACATATATAACCTGCCAAACGGCTGTCATAATGAGTAAAATATGTTATGTTAAAATACTTTTTGTTGTTATTTTCGTGATTGGTAAATCTTAGGTCGTGTATTTTATAGCGTTTATTAATTTTCCAAATGGAAATTGCATTTTTGATTGTAATTTCTGAGAAAGTACTGTTACAGTTTTTGTAAAAAAAGTGTTCATATTTAATTTATTGACATGAAATTTTTTTTTATTATTTTAACTCAAAAAAAGTTTTAGCTGGTGTATATCTTGCCAATAATCAATTATCCATAAAGGAAAAAGCATTTTACCTTCTTGTTTTCAAGAAAAGGCTGTTGAAAATTTTCCAAAATTTTAGTTTCAATGTAGATGGCGCTGCCTCACTTGGACCTGGCCTTAAACTCATTACACAGAAAAAACCGTAAACTGAAATTAAGAATACATTCGTGGGGCAGTATTTAAGAATATTTTATTCTTAAAATAAGAATATCTTAATGTAAGTATAAAATATTTCTAAATATGCGCTACGAATATATTCTTAATTTCAGTTTACGGTTTTTTTTGTGTATAATCATGTTGTTGTCATCCTTTTCAAGATTTTCTCTAAGTTTTATTAAAAAAAAATTTTTTTTACCTTAAATATATATTTTTTTTGTTACATGGTGCAAAACTAGAATGTGGAGAAAAGCAAGGTGAGGCAGGTGTTGAAAAATAGAAAGATGTCACATTTCGAACGTTCTAGTTGAATTCTAACAGAAATTCTAAACTATTAAGTTTAAATCAAATGGATCTGTATATTTAAATTTTAAATTAAAAATTCTTTTTTTTTTTGAGTATATATATTTTTTATTTGTACACTTGACTGTATGCTTTGTTTGAAAAAAAAAAATATATATAACTACAACATTCGTTACGATCGTGACAAAAACAGTAAGACAAGTCGTTATACATAACTGAATCTATGAAGAACGCTCACTAGAAAAGTACTTTCCAATGCTTTAATACCAGATAATCAGCGTTCAACCGCATTATCCTAGATTGACATTTTCTGTGACATACATCAAATTCTGATCTCATTTTTAGAACCCTACTTTTTTGAATTTTATAGAAAAATAATTCAACAGAATTTTCATCAAACCGATTTTCTATATTACAGAATTTTTATATAACCGGAAATTCACTTCACAGAATTTTTATTTGTTCGAATTTTCATTTAACATAATAGGAATTTTAAAGATTTTTTTTTGGGTAGAATTCAGTGGTATACTTATAGCTGAGAATCAGCGAGATTGCGCTGATTCAAATTTAGAGAGTAATTTATTAAATACAAAAAAAATAGATTTTTTTTTTCACAAACGATAATGTAATATATATATAACTTAGCTATATATTAACATGTATATTAAAAGAAATATATGTATTATTAGTTTCAGAAAGTGCCGCACAAATTTACACATCTGAAAAATCATCAGAAAGTGTAGAATCAGAAAAGCCTTCAACAACAATCAACAATGAATTAATTACGCAGACAGTTTATGGATTTTTGGATTTCACGACTACAATTGGTAATACGGTGATGGTCTTTAGTCCACAAAGTGCCCCTGCAGGTTAGTAATACTTATTTATAATAATTACAAAATTTTTATACTTTCTAAATCTGAATTATAGTAGTTTTCTACTAACGAAAGAGTGCGTATTCGTTTACCAATTCAATTAGTAACAGTTTTGACTAATTTTTTCGTATTCGTTTATCAATTGAATTAGTAACAGTTTTGACTAATTTTTAGTAAAAAACTACTAATTCATTAGTAAGTCGTATTTTTTACTATTTCAAATTAGTAAGCCGATTTACTCTCCATGAATTAGTAGTTTTCTACTAGAAATTAGTAGTTTTTTACTAAAAATTAGTCAAAACTGTTACTAATTCAATTGCAATTGAATTAATTAATTAAACTAACTTTCGTTAGTAAAAAACTACTAATTCAAATTTAGAGAATAATTTTCTAAAAATAATTTATTATTTTATTTCACATTTTTTATTTAAAGTTGAAAAAAAAATTTTTAATTTTTTCAATTTTTTTTTATTTTGGCAAAATTTATAATAATTATTTTATCGGCCAAAAAAGAAAATTTTCAATGTTTTTTTTGAGGGGGGGGGGGTAATATTGCCACAATGATTAGGTGTGATTTAATATATAAATAAAATGCAAATTAAATAAACCTACATGAACCAATTAAAATATATGTAAATATATTAAAAAGTTAAATTAAAAAATTAAAAATTGTAGAAAGAGAAAATGAATGACAGTGCCATATATATATATATATATATATATATATGAATGAATAATAATAATAAAAAAAGGTTGTACAATAATTTCAACGTAATTTTCGATTTCGTACATATAAATAGGGTGCCATTAAGAAAGTTGTTAAACAAACACTTGAGAACGAATAAATAAACGCTCAGTCACGATGTGCGTTGTCTGAAGATGGTAAAAGAAAACAGTTTGAGATCATTGCTGTTAACTTGAGTTGCACTCGACTCTTTAAAAAAAAAAAAAAAAAAAAAAAAAAAAAAAATGAAAGAAAAAAAAAAAGGTTGTTGCTAGTAAACGTGGCATCGAAGGTTACAGAGCACAAGATAAAATGTCATGAGCGCCCATCGATTGCTAATACCAACCATAATGTGAAATCAGAAATTTCTCACAAGAAAATATCATCCAACAACTATATATATATATATATACACTATGGCAAATAACCCAATGAATTATATTAAATTTTTTTTAATATTACACATACTTTCTTACTGTTATTTTATTCGCAAGGAACACTTATTATTCATAATAGTCTTTGTAATTTTGCATGTGAAAACCTTGTAGTCATTATAACGTGTCAAAAATTATCGTTCGTGTTGTAATAATCGCAATATTATTTACCACAAATATTTTATTGCAAATTATCAAATCACATGGCATGATAAATTTTCTTTACTTTTTTCTTTTTTTTTGTATCGATTTTTTAAAAATTATATATCGTATATCGACAAATAATCGAGTTTTATCGATAAACGATATTTTCGATTTGTATATCGTTTATCGATAAATCTCAATATTTTTGATAGAAAATCAATATGTACGAATTATTAATCGATTATTAATAAACATAGATTATTTATCGATAATCGATAAAAATCGATTATTTAATGATAATCGATTTTTTTTTGAAATGATATATCGTATATCGACAAATAATACAGTTTTATCGATAAATGATATTTTCGATTTATATATCGTTAATCGATTATTATCAATAAACATCGATTATTTATCAATAATAGATAAATGTCGATTTTTTTATCGATAATCGATGTTTAAATTATAAATCGGTATTTAACAAAATTCTGAAATATTTATTGTTTATCAAAAATCGATTTTTTAATTATTCAGCGATTATCGATAAATATTGGTCGATATTTTATATCGATATGAAATCCATAATCGATGCATTTCGATTATATATCGTTTATCGATATAATCTCGATGTTTTTTTTTTAATCAAAAATCGATATATTTTAATTATTAATCGATTATTTGTAAATCTCAATTATTTATCGATAACCGATGCTTTGATTATAAATCGATTATAAGTAAACCATTATCGATAAATAGTGATCGATACTTCTCATCGATATAAAATCCATAATCGATGTATTTCGAATATAAATCGGTTATTTTCAATTATTTATCGATAATCGAGATGTGATAATAATCGATTAGTGATAGATAAATCAATTTATCGAATCGATAAATCGATATTATTGATATTAATCGATATATCGATTTTTTAAGATAGATTAATGTAGATATCGAACGTTTCTAAAATTTTCGCAAAATTAAAAACTTTGAATCGAGGTAACCTCAAAAATGAAATCGATTTTTCTTAAAACTAAATTTGGAGCAGTGTGAGTAATTTTTTTGTTATGTTTTTTTCTTTTCTGTTTGTATAGAAAATAATGGTAAATTTCTATAAATGGCATTTAGATTATAATTAAAGCGACAAGAATAAAAATTCTCGACACGCATCACTATATATATATATATAAAAGTGCCTCTATATTTATAATGAAAGTGAAGTAAACGGGTTTTCCATTCTCGGCGAACGGATCATTTTGATTCAATTCACTTTCGTTGATGGATATTATATGCCTCTATTCTATATAGTATTTCAGTCATTAAGAAAAGTATAGTTATATTAATTTAATATATTATTAGAAATATATATATATATATATATATATATATATATATATATATATATATATATATATAAAATACAAGTCAAGGCAGACAGTGATTTATCCGAAAAATCGCTTAACCCTGTCACTATTACAACTCACTATAACAATGAATTAATTTTTTTTTTTATTCTTGTCGAGTCAGTCTTTTATTGCGTATATATTAAAATAAGTGATAGCGCCAAATCTTTTAATATATTCCATTGATATAATTTTTTTTTTTTTTTTTTTTTTCTAAAGCAGAGTTTTATTTGGACATAATAATACATAAAAGAAGGTCAATGAGACCAAGATGTATAAATACATATCTTCCGACATTGATAAATTTTTTTTTTTTTTTAATTAATCTTTCAGAAAGGCGGATATCAAATTAATTATTATTATTATTATTATTATTATTATTGTTAAATTATTTTTTAAAGTAGGCACAATTTTTTTTTTTAAATAATAAAATATTACGTCAGCAAATGATTCTCTCATATATTTTTATGCAATTTATTCTTTTGCAATATAACGGAATTCCTTTTCTTTTGAGAGGATATTGCTATATATAATTTCTATTAATAGAAAATAAAATTAAATTTTCGATAATAATTGTCTCTTTGATTGCGAAAAAAGTGGCTTTTGCATTAAAATTCATTTGGTTCGAATTCAATGAGACCAATTTAAACTCTTAATTTGTTTGCAGTTACCTTCAAACAATACAACACTCTGATATTGATTAATTGATTTAAAAATTTTATAATGAAACGAATGATAAGCACGAAATTTTTGTGTAGAATACACTATTGACTTTAAGGTGTTAATTACATCTGTAAAAAGAAAATATCACATAAAAAAAATTAAATTTTCTTTTTTTAATTTAAATGTAATTAAGAATTAAAATCAAATCAAACGATCATTTGGTTTTTTAGATCAAAATATTTTGTTGTGTTAACCAAAATATTTTGTTGTGTTAACCAAAATATTTTGTTGTCGTAACCAAATTTTGGTTGGAATTTAAAAATGATCAACCAAATAATTTTGTTGGCTTAACCAAATGTTTGATTGAGATAACTCTATGACTTTGTTTCAGCTAACCAAAATTTGGTTACAAGAACCAAAATTATCTAACCAAACAATTTTGTTGCAAACACTAAATTTTTTTTCAGTGTTCTTTTATTTTTCAATTCGCATGCATTTTACATAAAAAAAAAATTATTTAAAAATTATCCTCAAAATTTTATGTTAGTTTCTTAAATTTCTTACTTTTTGGTTCTTTTTAAATAAATATATTTTTTCAACACAAAGTTTTCAAAAATTAATTATAATTAATTAATAATTATTATTCAAAAACTTTTTTCTAGTAATTTAAAGTTAAAAATTAGTTTTTAATAGATTTATGAAAAAAAGTTTTACTACTTTAAAATTTATTTGTTTTGAAAAAATATGTCTATTTGAAAAGAATAATAAATAAGAAATCTAAGAAGCTTATAAAATTTTAAGGAAAATATTAAAATATATTTTTTTTATGTACAATGCACGCGATTCGATAAATAAATATTTTTATCGCGTGCATTTTACATTAAAAATATTATTTTATTTTTTTTGGCATTGTAAATTTTTTTTTTATAGTTCTTATTTATATGTTTTTAATTCTAAATTTCAAAATTTACGTATTTTTGAAAACAAAGTTTGTAAAGTAGTAAAATTTTGAATTTTTTTAAATATCAATATTTTTTACAAAATTATTAAAATCAAATTTCATTTGTGTCACTATATTTTAATATTTAAATATTTTTTTTAAGTTTAAAAAACAAATCTTTCTTTAAGTTAAAAAAAAAATGAAGAAATTTTTAATTAAATAATATTTTCCTAATTCAAAAGAGTTAAAATTTTTTTAAGTCAAAATAGAGAAAAAAAAATTAGTAAAATGAGAAATGAGGAGCTGGAAAGTAAAACTCGCTCTCCGCTCGGATGGACTCCGTAGAGCCAGTCAAACATTTGAAAAAGTGATGAAAATTGAAATTCAAAATTTTGAATTTTGAAAAGTACTACATTGATTTATGGATGACCCCATTCGTGTAAAAAAATTTCTGTGACTTGGAATTTTTGTTGTTTAAAAATTCGAAAAAAAAATTTAATTGAATGAATTTTTTTTTTTTATTTAATGTATTGAACGTAAAAATGATAAAAAATTGATTTTAAAATATTTTTTTCTCGTAATACGAACAATTTTTACAAAATCGGCCAAAACACCAAGGATCCTCATCTTATAAATTTCCTAAATCCGAAAGATTGTGTGAATCCATACAGAAACGCGATTTGAAAACGAAAAATAGGAATGTAATATGACAGCTTCGACGTTGTCTTTTTTCCAACAAATTTTTTTTTAATTGAAAAAATTTTTTAATAGAAAAATTTAAGATGATATATAATAAAATCGTCTTCCTTACGTCAAGACGAATCGATTGGTAAATATATAAAGTATAAATTTTATTTAAATTTAAAGAATTAACGAAAGTTAAAATATCAAAATTTCACATTTTAGCTAAAAAATTTTGTGTTTATTTAAATTCAAGTTAATACATAAAATAATTGTATTCCTTACATTGAAACAAAATCGGTTGGTATATATAAAGTATAGATTTGATTAAAATTTTAAAAATTAATGAAAATTAAAAAATCAAAAATTCATATTTTAGCTAAAAAAATTTTTGTGTTTATTTAAATTCAAGTTAATACATAAAATAATTGTACTCCTTGAATTAAAACGAATCAATTCGTATATATTGTATAAAGTTTTTTTTTTACACCCAAAATGAATTAAAATTTTTTTAATTTAAAAAAAATTTTTATATATATATATATACCTTTATGCGCGTCAAAAAGAGGAATTTTCAAAAAAAAATTTAACCGTTGTTTAAATTTTTTTTTTAAACGAAGTTAATGGGTATGTAACCCATTAAAAATGAAAATTTTCGATTTTATCCTCCTCTTATTATTTTACAAATAGAAAGAAAGATACTTAACAGTCGACATAAAATTTCGTATCAGAAGCTTTTAGTTCTTTTAATTTTATCATTACTTCTTTTTGTTGTTCAAAATAACTCGAGTTATCAACATGAGTTACATTTATTGTTAAATCAACACCATCAAAAATATAATAAAAATTACTTCCAATTCTTTTAAAAATTCTTGATTTTGGTAACTCCCTCTTAGTCCTATTGTTAACAAATAATTGCGTTCCTGGAAGAAGAACTGTTTCTTTGTTATGTTCGTTTTCTGCTATTTTTTCAATATTTGCACTCAAAAATGGCTTTGGAAAATACATTTCATAAACTGTTGAAGTCATGTTAGTTGCATTGTTTCTTAATTGCGCGTATTTAATTGCTACTGCTTCATCTGATGTTGTTGAAGTAAATCTAATCAATTTTTCCGTTTCATTTACACGATAACGTTCTTTATACCACGTATTCAATTCATCTTGTCCTCGATACAATATAGAACGATGATATTTTTTTGGATCTTTGGATTGTACAATTGCTAATCTGTAAAAAGCATTCCTCATTTGTCTACCTTCATCCGTTTCATCTCTTATTCGTTCAAAGCCATAATCAGTGTAATGCATAATCATAAAGCAATCTTCAAAACTTATTACAGATGATAAATTATTACGTTTATATATTTCAATTGTTTCATTATAAATCTCTCGAAAATAATTTCGAGCTGCGACAAAATTTTGAGGCTCGACTCTTCTACTGTAAGAAATAATGATCTCATTATGAGTAATGAACATTTTCTCTAATCTATTTGAACAATTTTTATCAAAATTTTCCGTAGGTATGCGTTAAGTCATAAAACAATTCGGCCTCAACCATTCCTAAAGCAGTGAGATTTGCAATTTCTTCATCCCTCGTTTTTTGTTCCCCATTTAATGCAGAAGCATTGCTGCTGGTGCACAGCATAATAAGAAGAATAATTTCCAAAAGAATTACATTATTTGATACAGCCATGATTGAAAGCTGAAAAATTGTACCAAAATTATTGTGCCATTTTAATTAAAAAGTATTTTAATATTATTGTTATTTTAAATAATTTTTAACTATACGTTTAGAAAAAGTTTTAAATGCTGCCTAGAGTTTATTCGTTTTGGTAGTATCATCTTTTTAGTTATTTAAAGTGTCTTATTTTAAGATGTTATAATAGAAATAAAGCATCTAAATATTAAAATTAACATCTTATTCTAAGATGGAAGCGAATGGAAGATACCATTTACAATCCAAATTGTACGGAGTAACATCTTGATTATAGTGGGTAACATAACCATATTTTTTGTAACATCTTTGATGGTACCGAGTAGCATAATCGTGGTACCGGATAACATCTACTTTTATAACCATCTTAAGATCTTACCATCTATTTCTCCCCGTGTTTGACCCTATATCAATGTTATAATTTCTTTGATTTAATGCACAGTTTCTTTTATTCAAAGAAATTTTCTTTGAAACTAAGAAGCTTTTTTTGCGGCACAAAATATCAAAACCAAAAAAAAAACAATGTGCCGGTCGGCACTAAAGCAGTTCTCGCTTAGTTTTTTTAAACTTGTCAAAATTTTCAAGGATATTATTAACAATCAAAGAGTATCAGACAATTGAGACTGACAAAATCAAATATCGTATCGCAGTTTATTATCTTAAATTTAAATAATAGTTATTGCCTTATTCTTTTTTTAGACTTAATTCTTTAGTTTGACTTTGTCTTTAATATAAATTTCGACCATTATTAATTTCAGCGCAGGTAGATAACACACGGTAAAATAATAATAAAAAAAAAAAAACCGCTGTCAAGTTGAAATATAAATTTTTTATGTTCATTTCATGTACACTTTGCTTTTGGAATAGATGCACTATATTAAAAATTTAGATTAAAATTTAATAACTAAGCTGCATCAAAAGTCACGTTTTTAGATATTTTTATTTCGACAATTAAAATTCTGCTCACCACATGTACATAATATTGCAATATTTTTAAAATTAAATTTTTATTATTTTCTTATCAATGTACAAACATTAAAAAGTCATGTTTTTAGAAATTTTAATTTTAATTTAATTTAACATTAATAAGTTAAATAAAACCGAAGAAATTTTGAATTAAATAACATTTTTCTAATTAAAGAAAAAAAACGTAAAAATTTTTTTAAGTCAAAATAGAGAAAAAAAATTTTTAAGTTGAGAAATATGAAAACATAAAATTCCAAATAAAAAAATCAAAAATAGAAGTATATTAAGTTGTAATATACATACATATTTTAAATAAATTTTCTTGATTCAAAAAATGAAATTTCGTCTATAAAATAATTATATTTAATAAAATTGTTTAAAATGAAAAATTTAACTAATGAATTTTTATGGGAAATTCATATATATATATATATATATATATATATACTAGAGGGGCTACGCCCCCCTGCGCGCTTCGCGCGCCAACCCCCCTATTTTTGGCGGGAAATACAGAGAGAGATGAGGGAAGGGGGAAGGACTTGCGGCTATATTCAGACCCTTGAAACGAACATAACCTCAAAATTTAGGTCATTTTTGACGGAGGAGGGGAAATGAGAGGAGGGAGGCGGACTTGCGGCTAAATTCAGAGCCTTGAAACGAACATAACCTCAAAATTTAGGAGGGGGGACTCCCCCCTCCTAGGTCAAGAATTCTTGAAACAGCGGCGGCGGCGGAGGCGGCGGCGGCGATATCTTTTTGTAATATAGGAAGATATATGTCCCGTGAATGTCAGATCGCATAGTGTTAATGAAAAATTAAAAAAAAAAAATATGAAAATTCTGTTTCAATATAAATTCAACTTTTTATAATTTTATTTAGGGTCAAGCGGGGTAAATCCGAACGCTTTTAGTAAGTTTCAAAAATAACATAAGTTTTTTCTTTAAAAAAAAAAATACTTCCGGTATTCTGGTGCATGAAGTTGTTACTTTACTTCCATAGAACAATTTTATGGGGTAGCAAAAATTTTTGATAAATTACAATCGCAGGAAACTTAGCGTTCGTATTTACCTCGATACTTTGCAACTTTCCTAAAATATGGGGGTAAATACGAACGCCACTGTATTTCAGAAAAATCTTAGGGAAAATAAATTTAAAGTATTGCAATTGTTAAACTTATATAAAAACTCAAAAAAATACGATAATAAACCTATTATGTAATAATGCATCATATATAAATACAAAAATCAAACAGGTTAAAAATTAAAATGCATTACACAATTAAAACCTTCAATAACTTTATCAAATCATAGCGGATTTTTGCAAAACTTGCTACAGAAAGTATTTTGGAGTGATTGAATGTAAATACAAAAATAAAAGTGAAATTTTTTAAATTCAAAATGGCGGACTTTCCTGAAACTTATTTTTAAAAATGATCAAATTTGCTAACTTCAAATTCGTAATCAGCGACCCTGAAACCCCCCGAGTAACAATTTTCGAGCGAATCCAATGAATTTTTTAATTCTCGTCCGCCATTTTGAATTTTGAAAAACTGACTTCAAATTGGTAATTAGCGACCCCAAAAACCGTAGAATACCAAATTTTATTAAGATCCTGAAAAACTTTTTTCAACAAACCATTTGGCAAAAAAATTGAAACACTCCTTCGAGAGAACAGAGATTAAGTTTCTGCTTATTAATTACTAACGAGGATACGTAAAGAAAGAAAAACTTTTTTCTATGTACTTTTATAATGTTAAAATAATAGTGTAATGAAATAAAAACAATTTTGTGTGGCTCTGATGTAAAAACAAATTATTGAAAATACCGTTCGGATTTACCCCGGTTTTCCAATTTTCCTGGGTAAATACGAACGGTCTGATATTATTAATAAAATTTTACAGAAGGCAAAAATGAAAAATAGTTTCTGTTCTAGTATTCATAACAAACAATTATAAATAATAAAATAAATTTTTAGCTTCTTTTTCTTCAAATACGAGACAAAATACTGAAAGAGTGTCATCTTTGATTTTCAATCTTTTTTGCAATACTCGTTATCTTTGTTTATGCTGTTGCTAATTAACAAACGAAAAATGGGATAATACTTAGAATCTCTTGAAGAGGATCTGAGGTAAAAATTCTCATATCGAACTTATTTTTAAAAATTTTAATTAAGCTGAAATAATTAGCGTTCGGATTTACCCCCCGTTCGGATTTACCCCGGCTGACCCTAATTCTTTTAAGAGCATTTGAACCTTCGTGACGTCACAAATCATGGCGCATGACACGCAAACTTCTCAGGTATGTGAAAAACACAATTTTGAATATTTTTTAAAAAAACCTTTTGGAAAATGTTCAGAATAACATAGACTCTGTCTGTTATGTGCGGAAAATTCAAAATTTTGCGTTTAAAACGTTTTTTAAACAATGTTTAAGTTGGTTGTCACAAGTAAGGAAAAATACACGAATTGCTTATATGTAGGCATTGCTTAAAAAACGTTTTATACGCAAAATTTTGAATTTTTCGCACATAACAGACAGATTCTGTGTTATTCTGAATATTTTCCAAAAGGTTTTTTTAAAAAATATTCAAAATTGTGTTTTTCACATACCTGAGAAGTTTGCGTGTCATGCGCCATGATTTGTGACGTCACGAAGGTTCAAATGCTCTTAAATAAAATTTGAAATATTTTAGAATTAGTACAAAAATTCTTATTTTTAGTTGAAAATATTGCAATATTTTTTTGTTTTTTTTCGTATATAGTTGAAAGAAAAGATTGTATATATTTGCAATAAAATTGATAATTTTAGTTTTATTATATACGTATTGAATATTGAAATGAGAAAATAAAAAAGAAAAAGCATTGCAAATGCATTCCGAAGCAATAAGTAAATGTATTGTACACGTGTTAGGGACATTTTCGCTCTTGGCTATTTAATGACCGCGCTGACCGCACGTTATACAAATTCCATACCGCTTGCTTCATTCAATTTATAGAACATGAATAAAACTGGTTTTTCAAACCTAACTTTTCAGTAATCTCTTTTTAATATACAAACAAAACAACAGGAAATTACTGTAAATTTTAACTTTCCAAACAAGCCTTGACAATGGAAATATATTCTTTGAAACATGCGCATATACATTATAAGATGTTCGAAAATTTTTTTTTTACGTTTTATTGTTATTTTTTCAGATTTCTTTCTTTTTGTTATTTGTTTTTGTTTTTTTCGTTAGTTTTTTTTTTTAGTTTTCTTTTTCTTCTATTTCGTTTTTTTAGGTTTCTATTCTACTTTTTTCGTTAGTTTTTCTATTTTTAGTTTTTTAATTTTTTAAAAAATTTTTTTTCGTCGTTAGTTTTTTGTTTTTATTTATCAATTTCTCTTTAGTTCCCTTTTTTTTCGTTAATTCTTTATACTTTTTTTCCAAAAAAAATTTTTTTTTGTTCGGTTTTTTGTTTTTATGTTTGATTTTCTTAAAAAAAAAATTAGAAAAAAAAATTTGTAGAAAAAAATTATTATTAGAAAAAATATTAAATCAAATAATAATTAGTAAAAATTTCTAATAATTTGTATTAGTGAACGAATTCTCGCACTATGTAATTCGAATTTAGAGAATTTTTTTTTTTAATTATTAAACATTTATATTGAAATTAGAAATTAACAAAAGGCAAAATTTAAAAAATTCGATTCATCTTGTTCCTTAAATTCCATATTTTTTAAATTTAAATTCAAAAATTTTTTATAATATTAATAATACAATTTTTTTTTTTTAGAAGGTGACAAGGAGAAAACAAATGCTCCATCTGAAGTAACGCCGATAACGACAAAACCATCGGAACCACAAAAAAAGAATCCTGATATTCAGCCGAGCAAAACACATTCGAGCAATTCACAATCGGAGACGAAGAAAAATTTGTCAAAAGGAACAAAAATAATTGTCAATTCCATTGTTGAGCCAAAATCTGTTCAAAAAGCCGAAATTTTGACTTCAAAAAGTGAAGTGAGTAAAACAATAATTATATATATAGAATTATTATTATAAAACAATTATTTTAAGATTTTTTTCAATATGTCGATAAATCGATTGTTTTCAATCGATACATCGATATATCGATTGATTTAAATCGATAAATCAATTATTTTAAATCGAAACATCGATGTATCGATTATTTTTCATTATAATATCGATACATCGATTATTTTTCATTATAATATCGATACATCGATTATTTCAAATGAAAATATCGTTATATTGATTATTTTTAATCGAAACATCGATATATCGATTATTTAAAATGGAAATATCGATATATTGATTACTTTAAATCAAAACATCGATGTATCGATTATTTTTCATTATAATATCGATACATCAATTATTTTTCATTATAATATCGATACATCGATTATTTCAAATGAAAATATCGTTATATTGATTATTTTTAATCGAAACATCGATATATCGATTATTTAAAATGGAAATATCGATATATTGATTACTTTAAATCAAAACATCGATATATCGATGCATCGATTATTTTCAATCGAAATATCAATTTATGGATTATTTCAGATGGAAATATCGATATATCGATTATTATTCTTTGAAATATTGATACATCGATAGTTTCAAAATCGAAATATCGATTTTTCGATTATTTCAAATCGAAAAAACGATATAATGATTATTTTAATTAGAAATATTGATGTACCTTATTATAGATCGAAATATCGATATATCGAATATTTTGAATCGAAATATCAATAAATCGATTTTTTAAATCGAAATATCGATCATTTTAGATTAAAATATTGATATATCGACTTTTTTTTAAAGCAAAATATAGAAAAATTGAATATTTTCAATCGAAATATCGATTCATCGTTGGTTTTTAAATTTAAATATTGATTAATCGATTCGATTTAAGATCGAATTATTGAAATATCAAAAAATTATTGAAATACATTTTTTTTTCAATCCATAATCATAAGTAGATATCAATAATAATTTTTTCTTGATTTTAATAAATCGATATTGTAAAAAATGAAAAAAAAAATTCGTTATATTTGAATATTATTTAAATTAAATTGAAATATGTTATTTGTAAAAAAAAATATGTTTCCTACGAAAATTGGAAATATTATTTTCTGATAAATTGCCGAAAATGAAAAAAACATTTTTGATTAATTTATTCAAGAATGAAAAGCAGATTTCTATGGAAATTTTATCAAAAAAAAAAAAAAAATAAAAAAAATATTTGAAATTTATTATAAGGAAGAAAAAAAACAAGTTTTTTTTTCTAATTTTATATTTTTTTCTAAATTCAACAACGTAAATTAAGTTAAAAGGGGATATGTGTATATATGTTTTGATGAAATAATCATTATAGTGATTTCGTTATAGAAAGCACTTAGCTATATATATATATATGAGAAACGTCAATTATTTCCTTTATTCTGAAAAAAACCACTTTAATTATAAACAATCATCTATCCGTTTATCAATTCAATGTAAATGACTTTTATTTTTAATTTATACACAAGCGTAGCTTATGTAAATGGGATTTTAAATTAGTAGAACAATTTCTATAATAATTTTACTAGAAAATTTTATTTCTATATGATGACACTATATATATAGCGAAATAACGAAAATAAAAATGAAAATAAGTCAATCTCATATTACCGGTTTTGCTGCTTCTTCTGTTTTTTTTTTTTTAATCGTGTATTTTTTTTTTAAACCTTGCCCATGGACTTGACATATTTCTTAAACGTTGAAAAAAAAATTGTCTTTTATTTTATTTTAAGGAAGATTTTAATAAATTACAAATGATTACTAAAATAATTCTAGACATTTTTTTTTTGAGTTTTTCAATTTTTTGATTCTTGGAAAAAAATTTTTTTTTCACTATTAATTTATTTTCTATTTAGTGGAAGAAAAAAATTTGATTTATTAACGTAATTTTTGTTTGAATTTATTTTTATACATTATTTACAATATATTATAACAGTAAAATTATAAATATTGTAATTTATTTATTTTAATAATATAGCTGTATAATTAAATTTATAATAATTTTTGAATAAATTTTAAATAATTTAGTAATAATTTATAAAAAAAAAAAAAAAAAAAATTATGATGAATAGGTTGAGTCTATTCTTCTTGTGTGAAATCATATATTGTTAATAATTATACAGATATAAATTTCATAGCGATGGAAACTTGTAACAATAAAATTATAAAATAAAACATTATGACCTCACTTTCTTTTGCCTATGTATATATGTATATAGTGTTTGATAAATTTAAAATAATAACAATTGTATATAAATAGTTATTATTTTTATTTTTTATTGGTGAAACTTATCTACATTATAATACTCTTGTAATGTTTAATGTTCACTTTTATCTTACAATCTTGCATAACAATCATTTCATTTTATAATAATTTCATTTATTGAGTTACGCTTGTATTATTTGAAAACTATTTTTAAGCTTTCTCATTTTTATATACTACCTATTAGTTATAAAAGAAATTTTTTTTTACATTATTCAACATTTTGAAGCAGTTTTTTATTTAACATTAAGACATTAAACTCTTTGGAGTGAAATTTCACTCCTTAGTGGAGTAAACCTCTTCTTTTTACACTTCATAGAGGATAAATTGATTTAAACGGAAAAAAAATTAATTTACAGTAACCAAAATAACCATTTTTTAATTTAATGCTAATTAAGAGTAGAATTTCACTCTTAAGAAAGTGAATTATTTTTTCTTTTTTTAAAAGTGCAAATTAATTTAAACTAGAAGAATTTTAATTTCATAAAATTTGTAGTATAGGGAAAAAAAATTTGGAGTGAAAATTTATACCTGTTGGAGTGAAATTTCACTCCAAATAGAGAAAAAAATCTTTTTTTACACTTGATAAAGTGGAAATTGATTTAAATGGAAAAAAAATTTACAGTATTCAAAATAGCCATTTTTTAATTTAATGCTAACTAAGAGTAGAATTTCACTCTTAAGGGAGTGAATTATTTTTTTCTTTTTTTAAAAGTGCAAATTAATTTAAACTAGAAGAATTTTAATTTCATAAAATTTGTAGTATAGGGAAAAAAAAATTTGGAGTGAAAATTTACACCTGTTGGAGTGAAATCTCACTCCAAATAGAGAAAAAAATCTTTTTTTACACTTGATAAAGTGAAAATTGATTTAAATGGAAAAAAAATTTACAGTATTCAAAATAGCCATTTTTTAATTTAATGCTAACTAAGAGTAGAATTTCACTCTTAAGGGAGTGAATTATTTTTTTCTTTTTTTAAAAGTGCAAATTAATTTAAACTAGAAGAATTTTAATTTCATAAAATTTGTAGTATAGGGAAAAAAAATTTGGAATGAAAATTTACACCTGTTGGAGTGAAATCTCACTCCAAATAGAGAAAAAAATCTTTTTTTACACTTGATAAAGTGAAAATTGATTTAAATGGAAAAAAAATTTACAGTATTCAAAATAGCCATTTTTTAATTTAATGCTAACTAAGAGTAGAATTTCACTCTCAAGGGAGTGAATTATTTTTTTCTTTTTTTAAAAGTGCAAATTAATTTAAACTAGAAGAATTTTAATTTCATGAAATTTGCAGTATAGGGAAAAAGAAATTTGGTGTAAAATTTTACACCTGTTGGAGTGAAATTTCAATCTAAGGAATTTAGAGAGTATATTTAAATTGTTTTTTAAAATTTTTAAATAAACTTCGAAAAAAAGTACAATTTCAAAAGTGAAAAATATTAGATTTTTATTTATTCCATGCAAAATCTGCCCGTAGTGAAAACAAACTCCAAGAAGAGTGAAATTTAATTGTATAGAATTAGATTGCAAAAATTTTCTAATAAGATAAATAGTTGATTATATGTAAATAAAAGTGAAAGTTTACAGCTTTTTTTTTTCTAAAAAAGAACAATTTAGTTAAATATAAAAATTGCAAAAAAAAGTGTATTTCTTCTATGGAGAAATTTGTATATTTTGGAAAAAATTTAAATTTATTGTGTAAAGTCGCATGGAATAAAAATTCGTTTTCCATTTGTAGAATGTAAAAACTCGAGTGGAAGTGGTAACCAAGAGTCCAGTGCTCTCAACGATTGTTGAGGTTCGACCAAAAGACGACGTGCCCGGAGTAAAGAATAACTTAGCTGAACCCGAGTACGATTTCCTCTCGACTCAACCAGCGGAAGTTGTGGATGAAACTTACAAGGTATAAAATTATTATTATTATTTGGTATTAAATATTAATATAATGTAATGTAATATAATATAACATAATATAATATAATATAATATAATATAATATAATATAATATAATATAATATAATATAATATAATATAATATAATATAATATAATATAATATAATATAATATAATATAATATAATATAATATAATATAATATAATATAATATAATATAATATAATATAATATAATATAATATAATATAATATAATATAATATAATATAATATAATATAATATAATATAATATAATATAATATAATATAATATAATATAATATAATATAATATAATATAATATAATATAATATAATATAATATAATATAATATAATATAATATAATATAATATAATATAATATAATATAATATAATATAATTAAAATACATTTATAAAAAAAGCAAATCCATTGCACTTTGACTTGCACGAATTTGACCTCGAGTTCAATGACAAAGGGCCCATAAATTTGCGGCTCATCCACCTAAAAAGCGTTGCGAATGCATTAGGTACTTTTTTTTCCGCGAAGGACAACGAGACCTCAGTATTGTCCCTATATACATACAATATTATTCTTGCAAACCGCTAAGTTCCCACGAGGAAATCTTTCATGTTTTTTTTTTTTTTTTCTTTTTCACACAGAGTTCACTTTCAATTGCTTGATCGAGCTCATATAGCTTGGCAATTATTTCGCACAAGACAACGCACTATACGAAATGCTCATAATTTCTTCAGATTGCGTACATATATATATATAAAAGTGGCCTAATTAAATTATTTTTTCCCTCAACTTTGACCTCTTCATTATATCTAAATATAAATAGAAAAAAAATAATTTTAATTTTTATAATATTATTATGAAATAATAATAATATATTTATAATTAATAAACCAGTAGAAACAAAAATTTCTCACATTTTGTTGTATGAAAGAAAAATTTGGGACTTATTTTCAAAATGGGGCCTTATCTTATTTTGGGCTAATGCATTTAAAAAATTTTAGACCCATTTGCGTTTTTTTTTTTTAAATGAGAATTTTTTCAAAAAAACAAAAAAAATGGGTCTTATCGTATTTTGGGTCTTGTATTAAAAATTTTAAACCAATCTGTATATTTAAAAATTGGGCCTTATTGTACTTTGGATTTTATATTCAACATTTTTTAGACCCATTTGTGTTTAAAAATTAAGATTTATTTTCAAAATTGGGCCTTATCGTATTTTGGGTCTTTAAATTAAAAGATTTTTTACCTATTTGGATTTAAAAAAAAAATTAAATTTGTGACTTATTTTCAAATTGTGCCTTATCGTATTTTGGGATTTGTATTAACATTTTTTTGGACCCAGTTGTATTTAAAAAATGGGGACTTATTTTCAAATTGTGTCTTTTCGTAATTTGATGCTTATATTTAAAGTTTTTTAAACTCATACGCGTTTTTTTTTAATTTGGGATCTTTTTTAAAAATTGGGCCTTATTGTATTTTGTGTCTTGTATTAAAATTTTTAAATCCAGCTGTGTTTAAAAAATTGGGACTTATTTTCAAATTGGGCCTTATGATACTTTGGATCTTCAATTAAAAGATATGTATTATGTAAATTTAAGCCTTTTTTTGAAAATTGAATCATATAAATTTATTCTATATTTAACGTTTTTTGGGCCTTAAATAAAAAAAATATAAATTTTGGACCTTATTTAAAGAAAAAAAAAAAAAAAAAAAAAAAAAAACATGAAAATTCCTATACGTATTTGTGAAATTAATTTTTTCCTCAAAATTAGTCATTAATTTTGTACTCAATTTATGAATATTATTAATTTTTGGGCCTTACGCATGAATGAAAAGATAAAATTAAACTTTTTTTTTAATCGAATGTAAATTTATTTTTGAATATTTCCATTTAATAAAAATTTGAACAAAATTTGATTTATTTTTATTGAAAAAAGAAAATGATTAAAAATAGTTTTTTTCTACTTATTCTTTATATATATACAGTAAGAAAAGTACCATGGTAGTCATAGGAAAGCATGCGTTACGCATAAGTTTGTCTCACTCGCACTCATGGGCTGTGACTACCATGGAACTTTTCTTACTGTATATATTGTTAAAAAGAAAAACGTTTATTTTATATATACGAATGCACATGTAACATGTTAGAAACGAGTTCCGTACTCTAAGGTCACTAAGTCCCAGTTGTAAACAAGCTCTTGTCAAGATGGCGTAATTTTTCCACAGACTTGAATATATATCCAATTTATATATATATGACAAATGTTATAAGTTTCTTGTACATCTTTTCCCACGCTCCAGTCCAGACAGATGAAATACGAAAAGAAAAAAAAAATTATTATTTTTTCTACTCATGAGTCCCAAAAATTGAAGTAAAAAATTTACGACCTGATCGTATATCTATCTCCAATGCATTTTTTTTTATTTACAATACCATTCAGTCTAGACAATTTTGATACGTGTTAAAAATTTATCATTGATCTCAAAAATTATATTTTAGACAAAATTTTAATTTTTTTTTAAAAATAATTATGAAAAAAATATAAAAATATATAAATTTAAATTAAAGATTTTGTATTAAAAATAAAATTAAAAAATTGAAAATAAAAAATAAACTTTTCTTTAATTTAAAAAAAAATTAAATTAAAAAAATTAAATTAATTTAAATTAAATTTAAATTTAAAAAAAATTAATTAAATATAAAAATTAAATTTTAAAAAAATTAAATTTTTTTAAAAAAATTTAAAAATTAAATAAATTAAATTAAATAGTGTAATTTTATTACACTAAAAAAATTAGAACTTACAATAATTATTTTATATTTAATTTAATTAAATAAAAGTAATTAAATCGATAATTAATTAACTTTTTTGTATATTGAATTTTTCAATATTTGTTAAAGAATAAGTTAGAAAAAAATTTACAATTATTTTCATTGAATATAGTAATTGAAAAAATTAAAATAATGTTTAGTTTTCTGATTCAATATTTATGTGAGGTAACAATGAGTGATTACGAAAGATTTTGGTCAGACACACATATAGAAAATTGTCTGACTAAAACTCAACTTTTTTCACTTTGAGTGAAATTTAAAAGCACATTTATGTTATTTCATCTCAATTATCATTCAAATTGCTATTTTATTTTAATTTTTATTTTAATAATGTAAAATCTATAGTCATACTACTAATCGAATAGTTATGAAAAATTTTTTTATAACATTTTTTTTATTTTACAAATAAAAATAAATAATAAAACATTTTTCACTATTTCCAAAAATTTAAGAAAAAACCAAATTTTATAGAATAAAATAATTTATTAATTTAAATAAACATAAAAAAAACATAAAAAATAATTTTTATTAACAGCTAATAAATTTGAGGCCATCATCAAAGGCACACGGTAAACCACGACCATCACGACGAGAAAAAGAAAATCCAACGGGTCTTGTGACAAAACTTGGCGGTACAATTGTAAAAGATGGATTAACCACAGTTCATGAAACCAGTGTAATTGGTACCTACATAAATGGAAAATACGCTCAAGTCCTTCAAAGTTCATCACGTGTTCTTAATGATGAGGAAATTTCCATTCCCGAGGGTAGAATAAAACCAAGTAATTCACAAAGAATTCTCAAGACAATTGGTCCACATCAAGGCAAGGGAAAAATTCATTTAGAAGCAACACCAACGGGTCCAGTTGATGATTCTGAAATTCCTTTGGAGGGCCTCTTCAATGGTCAAGGTTGGAGAATTTTTTTATAATAATTATTACCTAACTTATTCGTAAGGGCGCACTCACACCTTCTGGCTGCCTGCCTGCCTGCAGGAGTTGTCATGGCAACGTGTAGGAGTAACAGAGAGAGAAAATTCAAATTTGAATTTACTATCTCTGTTACTCCTACACGTTGCCATGACAACTCCTGCAGGCAGGCAGGCAGCTGAGAGGTGAGAGTGCGGCCTAAAATTAAAAAAATTTTGAATTTTTGAAAATCTGATGTCAAATTTGATCCCAAATTTTTTTAACGAATCCAAAACATTTTAGTTAATTTAGTTTTTTTCACCTTCAAACAAAGGTACAAGAATATATTCAATTAATCATCGCGACATTTCAATTGGATTGAATAAATATTTATTAGAATGTCAGAAAATATTTCCTCTAGATATAATGTCATTATAAATTATTTTTTTGTCTATTCATATTTAAACAGGGTCAAGCGGTCGTCCTAATCGCAAACATTCCAACAATTATCAAACCAGACCCAAATTTCGTAATAAAATCACCGACGACGTTGAGAGCAATGAGTCACTACCTCAGGCACGTGCCCTTGGTAAAAATCGACCAAGCACTGCTCGACCCAGCTACAAGTAAGTTTAAAGAAACTTAAAATGATCTAATTTATTCAAAAATTATGATCCAATTTTTCCCAATGCGAATTATTTCTATCCAATAATTTTAAAATTTTCAAAATTAAATCATTATTAGGGAAGAAGTCTCCGTTTAACTTTTTCGCTTCTTTTTAGAAATAGACCGCAAATAACAACAACCACCGAACAGCCACCAACAAAACGACGTGCCGGTTTCAGGCCCAATGGACAATCAAGCAACGCTCCTAAATTCCCGAATAAAATTTCCAAATCCGAGCTGACTAGTTCAAATCCACTTCCTAAATTAAAACTCCCAAGAACTCAGGGTCGTTGGTCCTACAAGACAACACCAAAACCTCGTATCACAATTCGTAAGCAAGCCGAAGACGACAGTAAACCATTGCCAACGTTACCAGTTTCATCATTAAATTCACCACTTCAAGAAATTACATCAGTTCCCCAAATTACAACAATCAATGACGAACCAATTATTCAACGAAAAATTCAAGAAGGTGCTTTTGACGATGAACTCGATGAAAGTGAAAGCGAAGATGTCAGTAGTATCAGCGTTCAAGAATTTTCAGCCACTGAACAAATAATTCCTGCCGAAACACTTAACGTCGAAATCTCAACACCCGCCGAATTTAATGACATTTATTTCGAAATTGCAACAATTAAATCGCCTTATTCTTTTCAGGTACATTAAATTTTTAGAATAAAGAATTCAAAAAATTCTAGAATTTCTAGAAATTCGAGAAATTTTTTTATAAATTTACCCCATTTGCAGGTTGGTAGCGTTCGTAATACACGTTTTATCACCGTGACATCAACGATAAAGAAAACATTTGCAACTGCCGATCCAAGTACAACAATATCGCCCACCGAACCATTGACGGAGAATATTTTAGCTAATACTGGCGCCGCTTATGAGACAACATTACCCCTTGACTCATCAATTGCAACACTACCGGCAATATCACTTGAACCTGGACAAGCAACGCCTCCATTGGAGACAATTACCGAGACGTTTTCAACAACACAAACTTTATTGAAAACACATCTTTTACCTGTTGTTGCCAATGGAAATACGACAAAAATAACTTTAGTTCAAACCTATAATATTGCACGTGTTGTAACGGCCACTAAAACATTACCACCAATGGATATTTATCAATTTATTCCAAGTAAAACACTCAATGAATTTAATTCCAAACTCGATGAGGCAGGAAGTGAACTTCATTTGGAATTAGATTTTGGTGATGATGAACGTGATGATGACGATATACCCAAAAGAATTTTGGCGCCAAGCACCGATTTGGATTCGGATCTGGATATTTTCAAGTAAGATTTTCTTTTTTAGTTTAGAATAATTTAAAATTTTCTTCGGGCTGGCTAACGTTTGGCAGCAATTACACTAATCTAATCTACAAACGAGCTTATACCGAAGTCCCCTAGTACGAGTGTTGGCAATTAAGTCGTAAAACACACTGCACCTAACCCCAGCAAGCTCGAACCCAGTCTCCCTCCCTAGAGTCCTGTCCTATTCCAAAAGTCCAGTAACTCTTCTACCAAGAGGTTGCGAATCCAATCTGGGTCTACAAAGGCATGACCCTAGCATATTGATGTCTCACTCCAGCTTAAGCTGGACAGTGAGATAAAATATGAGTCGAAGATTTCACTTCTGCATCACACAATCTGCACCTAGGTGAGACGTTTCTACCTATTTTGTGCTGATCATAGTTTAGGAGGCCATATCCTGTTAGCAGCCTAACCACTGCTGTAACTCTGATCTTGTTAAGTTTTAGAAGGAACTCGGCAAAGCCACTATTGAATTTTAATCCCAACAGGGCCTTGGCTTGTCTACCTACAGTATTCTCCGCCCACTCCTTTCTCATGACATCCCCTAGACCATCTTTCCATGGCCCCTTTCACCAACCGCCGGTTCCGGGCCTACCATTGTCATCTCAGACTCTCTACGGTCTAATATATCCGCTTCCTCATTTCCTCTGATTTCTAAGTGTCCTGATACCCAAATTAATGAGAGCTTATTTTTCAAACCTAGCTCGTCCAATATCTTCTGGCATTTCCAAACTAGTTTTGATTCTATAGTCGGATTACTCAAGGCATTTTAATCTGCCTGACTATCGACACAAATGTTAATTCTCTTGCCTGATTTTTCTTTTTCAAGGCAAATCATTGCGCAAGTCATTATAATGTCACTTTAGTGGCATTAGACTTACAGTATACCCCCGGAACCTGTGCCTCCTTCCATCTTGGATCCAACCGTATACCATACTTCATCTCCAAGTGGACAGCCTTTTTTCCAATCCTTTCTCAAAGGAATAATGCTCTTAAAGCGAGGTTTGAATTTCACTCTTTTGACCATTCTATATTGACCCATACTGATTTCTGGGATCTTCCGTATAAAGGTTTTGTATGTTTTTCCCTAGCTCTCCATTTCCACTGTGCTTGAAGTCTACTCATAGTGAAAGCATCCTTCTTAACCGTTAAAATGTATAGAGGTTCTTCTGCCAGCAAGAAACCCAACGGAGAAATTGGCGTTGTTCTCATTGCTCCAGTAATCCCTCTAAACACCATTGCCAGTAGTTGTTCAAATTTTCAATTGATACTCTTAAGTGCTTTTTCCAGATCAGCTTCTTGTCCAGGATCACTCCTAGATATTTAACCGAATCAGAAAAAGGCACTTTTTTCCATCAAATACAGGTTTTCTCACAGTGGGAACCTTGTATTTCCTAGTGAAGATAACAATATCTGTCTTGTCTGGATTGACAAAGAGACCAGTCCATTCACACCATCTTTTGACGATCCCTAATGCCCTCTCTGCTAATTCTAAGAGTGTATCTAACGAGACACCTCTTACAATAATCAGAAAGTCATCCGCATAGCTTTGCATATAAAATCCCTGGCTATTAAGGAAGCAATTATTACCGATTAGTGATTTTTTTACCTTTCTGAAATATGTATCTAGTGAATCCGGAATTAATAAAATATCTGAAGCACCATCAAACGTAACTAGTAAATGCAGATTCTAGATTTCTACACTATTAGGTGTATTTAGTGCAAAAAATTGCAATAAAATAGTCTGCCTAAGAAAAATTGAATTTTTTTGTGAATTTATTTGTGGTTGACTTAAGTGTGGTAATTTATGTCTTCCTCTATTTGTATCGTGGTATCAATTTATTTACCGATTAGGATTACATAGACCGGATTAATTTCGCATTCAATAGAAGTAATTTTGCATTTATTAGTTGTGTATAATCTGATTAATTTCGTTTTAAACCGGATTTACTGGTCACAAAAATAATACTAATTTTAGATAACATAAATCTGACTTTAAACCGTACTTTTTCGGATAAATTCTACATTAAGAAATATTAACCAAAATAAAGTTTTGATCTGGTAAGGTTCTTAACAGTTCTTATAGAATTCGTGGTGAATTTCGCGAGACTTTGAGTTTAATTAATAATTTAGAGGATAAGGGTTCAGCTCACGACAGTCGACACAATGTATTTGAACGAAGACTCCTGAAATCCATGTGGTTAGAAAGAGATTCGACAAGCGGCGAAATCCATTAAGCAGTTGCGAATAAGAATATTAATGAGACAAGTTATTAGGTAAGAAGAGCAAGGATTGATCGAACTTACCGATTCGCAAATCGCTGGTGAAATATGATTCCTTTATCATTAATCCATATTAAGGAAGTCGCACAAATTAATAAAAAAACCAACGATTTAGAAAACTGAATAATTTAATGATAATAAAACACGTTTCACATTGAAAGTAACAAAAGAATGCGTCGCAGCGCATAAATTTGATTTGTGTAAATAATGAGACTCGCATGACTTCTAGAAGTTTTGCTTCTCGCTAGAAGTCTCGCTTCTCTCTGATTTTTGAAATCGTGCACGATCATAATCGCAACTTTTAAGACCCTTCGTGTGGGATCCGATGACATCCGAATATATAATTCGTTCAACGACCAATGGTCGCGGTAGCTATCAGGCTAGCTATATGTACAAAATCATCATTTTAGACTAATACCAGATTTTTTTGCATATACAGATTTTTAATTAAGATTTTAGATCAGACTAAAATCGGATTCATTACACACAGATTCGCCTACTAATTCGGACTCCTTTCTGATTAAGATTTTTGTTCAGACTGCGACTGCTGATTTTGCACATATTAATTCTGAATTTTTCTAGACTCCTTTCGGATTAGGAGTTTTTATCAGAGTAAATCAGGATTATTGTGGACTAATACCGGAATTTCCACTGTAGTAACTGGAGCGAAATCATCACAAATCGAGATTTAAATCGTTATTTAATCAGTACAACAGTACAGTAATAGTACTTAATTCAAATTGTTGCGTACTATTTGCGGATAGTTTACATAAAAATTCTCGACTCATTTTGAATTGTTTTTTGATTTAACTAAAATCAAAATTGTTGTTTTGCTAATTGCGGATTTATTCGCCATGGACTATTCTGGACTGATCTCGGATTTATCTTTTCAATTCGGACTGTTTGCTGATCGCACCATTTTTGTATTATTTTCGTACAATTTTTGAAGAGATCTGTCTGTATTTAATCTAAAATCAGTGTGAAATTTTAACCGGATATTATCGAAATAATGATATTGTGTAAAATTTTAGGTGACATGGAAACTTGCTATTTTGGATATGTTAGAACCTAATGAACAAAAACATTTTTACAGCATGAAAGCAGCTGCTGCATCAAAAGCAGCAAAAGAACCATCGGCAGTAACTTCATCGCCTGTTCCTGAATCGCAATTTACTCCTGATCAAGCACAACAATTGGCACTTTTAAAATTGTTTGGTCAAGCACAACCGCAAGTTATTACAACTTCACGGCCATATGTCGTTCTGGAAACAATCTACGAATCGCATGTAATTCCATTGGTGAATAATGGAAATACAATTTTCTCCACACTATCAAAACCAGTTGGTACAATACCGCGAACGTCCTATGAATTTGGAACAACAACAATTTCTCCAATTCTTTCGCCGCCAGTTCCTCAAATTCCACAAATTCCTCAAGTACCACAGGTTCCTATTTTCCAGCAGCAGCAGCAACAATTCACTGTCACTAGTGCTCCAGTTGTGACACAAACCGTTGCCACTGTTTCCGATTCAAGAGTTTTGAAACTTACATTCGGTGCAAGAACAGCGTACACGACACTCTATTCCACAAAAGTTGTACCAACTGAAGTGACAAAATATGTCACGTCCACAGTTGCCCTTCAACCAACAGTACCAGCTTTTCCCGGATATTATCCACCTGTTGGTTATCCTGGTTTTCCGTTCGTTGGATAAACGAACGATCTTAGGGTAAGATTGTTTTTTTTTTTTTTTTTTTTTTGACAACTGGGTTTTGTGTTTTTGCAACAGTAAAGGGAAATTCGTATAGAATATTTGTGAGTATTTTCAGTCTGATTTACTATAAAAAAAATTCCGATGGAGATATCAAGAAGAATTATTTAAAAAATTTTGTTTGATTTCGGAGATTTTTAATTAGGCCTAGAATGTTTGCAGACTATTTGGATTATTTCTTAAGTCTATTCATGACACTAATTTTTCTAATTTATTGTCATCGATACACAGGGTGATTTTTATATTCCGTGCCCCCTAAAAATTTTGTTTTAATGTAATTTTTTTCGTTTTTTAAACAAAAAAAAAGTGGAGTTATTATTAAAAAATTTGTAAGGGGTCCAGAACATAAAAATCACTATTAACAATTCTTTAAATCAATGCCATTAAACTATTAATTTCAATGCAAAAGTGAATTAAACAAATAGAAATTTTTTTAAACACTTTTTCAAATTTTCCAAAACAAAAAAAAATGTTTTTTAATTGCTTAATAATGCATATATACAATTAATTTCTAGGAAATAATAATTAATCTCTAAGAAATAGTAAATAATTTCTTACAATAAATAGTAACAAAAAATTTTTTTACTTTTAAACAATTGTTATAAACAAATTATACAAACAATTAAAGTTCACAATGAATTCTAGTTAAAAAAATTAAAAATTCCGAAAAAGCTCTGTTTATTAAACCGCATTGTCTTGTGATAATTTTTATTATTATTATTATTATTATTATTATTAAAACAAATTGTATGAATAATTATATTCTAAGAATGATTTTAGTTAAAAATAAATAAAAAAAATTTTTAAATCTAAATTTTTTATGAAATCCTTACATTATGATTAAAAAAGTTACTTTGCAATCAACTTTATTATTTTTATAAACAAATTATATAAACAATTATACTTTGCGAAATTTATTATGGAAAAATTTCTATTCTGAATTTGAATTATTTCGATAAAAATTTTTTTAAATTATTATTATTATTATTATTATTATTATTATTATTTTAAACAAATTATATTTAAAGGACGTTTATCATCAAATATGAATCAAATCTTTTATCATAAAAAAAAGATTTAGTTTTAAATTTTCTAATTTTTTTAACAAATCAATGAACTGCAATAATTGTTTATATAATTTGTTTATAAAAATATAATTAATTTCCTTAATATTATTTCAATAATAATAAAATAATATTAAAATAATAAAAAATATATAAATAATAATAAAATATAATAATAAAATAATAATAATAATAATAATAATACCTACAATTTAATTGTTTATACTATTTGTTGAAAAAAAATAAAACCAAAAATTTATCGTAAAATGACGATTTATTAAAATGAAAATTAAATAATAATAATTAAAATCAAATTGTTTAAACAATTTGTTAACAATAATTTTTTAGGGCAATAAATTTTTTCATTAATATTTTTATATTTTTAGAAATTAATTGAATGCAATATTAAGCATAAATTTTTTTTTTTTTTGTAAAATAAACGAAAAAATATTTAATCAATAAAAAAATTTTTTTATTTCTATATTTTCGAAAATAAATTTTAAATATCGTAATGTCCCTTTATTGTTCTAAACTCAGTTAGCGCATGTGTTTAGTTTTTTTAGTGCACACATAGGCCATATTGGTTTTGTTGTATTCACAAATAATAAGAATAGAGTCCAAATATATGAATTTTTTTTACAATAGAATTGCTCAAAAAAATTGGCACATATCTTTTTATTATTTTTATCATTTATATTTTAATTGTAGAAAATTAATAAATAAAATTAATTTATTTCAAAAATTTCTTTAACTCACAAAAAAATAATAATAATTAATGTTATTTAATAAAAAAAAATTGTTTTACAAAAATATGTAAATTAATGGTTTTTTTTTTTTTTGAGCAATTTTAATGTTCAAATAAGTTTAAACTAACAGAGAATAGCAATAAAAAAAAATATACATATATTTTTTAAAGAAAATTTCAAATAGTATGGTAGTGTTTCATAAAATATTACATTTTTCTTAAAAAAAAAATATTAGTTATAGAAAGAGAATTAATTATTTTAAGTTATTTTAATCTTTATTAAATTTTTTTCAGAGATTATTAAATTTAATTTTGACTGAGGAATATTTATTGTCACCTTATAATAATAGTATCATTTGAGAAATTTAATAATTTTTTTTTTTTTAAATATGAATTAATAGAGTAAAAAGAATTTTTTTTTTTTTTGACTCAATGCTAAATGTTCTAAAATATTTTTGATATTATTTAAACAATACATTTTTTTACCATGTATCACATGTGAAATTCATTGATATATTAGAAATAATTTTACAATTAATAATTGTCTATTTATTATTTTTAAACGTAATTATGTTTAAGGGTGAATAGATGGTTTTTTTTTTTCATCCCTACGCTACTCTCTGTTTATACGAGAAATATTCGATTGACATTACTTTTCATTTCAAATGAATTTATTTTTCAATTTACAATATTAATTTAAGTTGAATAATTATTTATAAGAATAATCTTCTAGTTTAACATTAACATTGTTGCAACTTTTAAATTAATTAATTTTCATTTTAACTTTCACTTTCATTTTGACTTTCATTTTCTCTTTCCGTTTAATTTTTAGTTTTACTGAGAATGTTCTCTTAAAAGTGATAATAAAAGTAAAACTGAAAATGAAATTACACAATCGCAATTAAAATAGAATTTCAATTGCTTCTTTAAAAAAATATTTATTACTCAATGCAATTTTTTTAATAAAAAAAATTGAGTTTTTTCATATTTTTAATATTAAAATGAATAAATGAAATTGAAAAGTTATATTTTTCTAAAAGCAAACAAAAAAAAAAAAAAAAAATGAAATTCAAACAATGAAATTGTTTGAAAGTTGCATAAATTAAACAGTCGTGTAATTTGATATTTTTATTTCAATTTTCAATCGCAGTTATTTTATTGTTATTATGAAGGTGCTTATTTTGCTAATAAAGTAGGTAATTATTTTGTTTCGTCTAATTCGACATATATAGTGATGATGACAGTGTTCTTATTTAGCATTTATATTTATATATATGTATGTAATTTTTATAAACCAAGTCCTTATTATTTTTTTCAGATTGTAAAATGTTTATTGAAAAAAAAAATAGAATATGTATAGATATTGGTTTTATGACGAAATTATATTGTACATAAATCACAAAAAAAATATTATTTACGAAACTAGTTTTATTTTATTGTGTACATTATCATTTTTGTAAATAAAGAGACAAAAAAATTTAATTATTTTAACATTTTTTAATTAAAATTCTTCGAGAATTCAATTATTTATTTCAACTAAAAATATTTTGTGCATGCGCCCAGTAGTATTTATAACATCGACGACTATAAAATTTATTTTTTTATCACGTTTTACATGTCTCAAAAGAAAAATTTTTTACGCACGTACACATAAAGATTGGTACCAGATACTTAAAATTTTTTTTTTACAATTATCGTCATCACTTTTCTTTATTTCTCAAAAATACATTCATCGTTACCTACGAATTTTTTAAAATAAAAAAGTTGAATATAAAAAGAATTAAAATTAAAAAATCTGTCACACAAAAATTTGATAACTAAAAATTTTGTTAAGTAATAATTCTTTTAAAATGAAATTCTCTTAAATACTTATATTTGAAAAATTAAAATTTCTCTAAAAAGTAAATATTATATTTAATAAAATTACAATAAAATTAAACTATAATCATTGATTTTTATGAGAAACTCCCCACATAGCACCCAAAATTCCCTGAAACTTGACAGAGCCTCACACGGCAAGTTTAGGAAACTTCATTGGCAAGGTTCATACAAGTTTGTGTCAATGTTTAAATTGTCCACATGAAAAGAATATTTACACGAAACTTTGACGAAATATTACACTATAAATATTCAGGTGCCATGTTCAGTCAATGTTGTGTCAATATTCACCTATACTTATTACATTAGTAAACGAAATTTTCATAACTAGGCGAAAATTCAATATTGACACAACATTGACTGAACATTGCACGTGAATATTTATGTGTAATATTTCCTCAAAGTTTCGTGTGAATATTCTTTTCATGTGAACATTTAAACATATCGACACAAACTTGTATGAACCTTGCCACTAAAGTTTCTTAACCTCGCCATGTGAGGTTCTGGGTGTTTTCGACGTCGACGCTCTGAGTGTTCTGAAAGTGTTAAGTGGTTCTCAACCAATATTAAAAATTATGATTAGCCATAACTTATTATGATTGGCTAAAGCATGCTAAAAGTGACATGTTTGTGATACGGGCTGCAGTTTTAGGTGATGTGCACAAAAAAGGGTGTGTTATTTGCATGCTTTATTTGAAATTGGATGCGTTCGGGCTGTGCTTGTGCTCTGGTTTCTCAATCTTGTTTAATAAACCGAGCGTATTTTCTGAGTGCGAAAGTAAATAACGGAAAATTTTCAAAAATGACAAATTTAAACCCTGAAGTCAATTACGTTAACGCTATAGGAATTGTGCAAAATCTTGTTGAAATATAAATATAAATAAATAAAAAATAAAATAAATAAAATAAATAAATAAAAAATTTAAATATTACATTAAAATTAACACTTACTCGTATCAACGTTCGTTACGTCGCATAAAATGCGACCATTATTCTTGAATAATGTTTTATTGTTCTTTAAAACTAAACCATTTAAAATTATTCTTTCCTCCATGATGCAACAGCGTGGTCTTCACCGGTCATGAAAGCGTAATGAGAAGATTGCATTGAATTAGGTTAGGTTAAATTAGGTTAAATACACTAAAATAATAAAATGTGGTTGAGAACCTTTTCGAGCTCTCAAAGCGCTTAGAGTGCCAACGTCGAAAACACCCTCTGTCAAGTTTCAGGGTATTTTGGGTGCTGTGTGGAGATCGTTTAATTCCCAGTATGCATTGAAATTTAAAAATTATTATTATTATTAAAAAATATTTATGTAACATTAATTTTACAAAAAGAAAAAATATGTTTTAACTATTTAAAAAAATTTTTTATTTATGTTTTGAATACTGAAATTATGGAATAATAATTTTATATAATTTAAGAGAAATAAATGAAAAATCCAAATTGGTGAAGAATTCTCTCACCATCAGAGTAACGGTGCCACGGAGAGAAATTTCTTACTTTAAACGCTCCAATACTATACTAGCGATTATGGTATGTCCATTTTCTTAACAAAAACGCTTAAAGTTATCTTAAAATAGTTCCGAAAATTCCCAAGCGTTAAAATATCACTGTATTAACGTTATTAGTAGCAACTTTATGGCTCTATTTCATGAATTACGAGTGAATATAGTTCACCTTTCTGCCGTGCGAGATTCGTTCAAGGGACATATACTAACCCATTAACGCCCAAAAACTGAAAATTCTTTGTACATACTCAGGCTACGTTATTTTAAGTAAATCGGTCAACATTTTCTACGAGAGGTACATTTTCTATAGGTCTTGAGTGTGCTCTTTCCGATTCCGGTGTCAAAAATTAATTTCGTCTAACTGAGCGGCACTGAGCTATGGGTCGCTACTACTTTTTGTTACCTTTAAAATGATTTAATGCTACAGTTTCGAAAATTTTATGTCCTATGGCTTATTAACTCATAAGTATGTATGTATGTCATGTAGTTTATAACAATTTTTGAATTTTGAAAAATTTAATTTTTAAAAAATTTTGTTTGCAATTTTGGATTCACCATTTTGAATTTTGAAAAATTAAGTTCAGATTCGTAATCAGCGACCCCATAAACCCCCCGAGTAACAAATTTTAGGCCAATGGGATCAATTTTGTAAAAAGTCATCCGCCATTATGAATTTTGTAAAACTAAGTTCAGATTCGTAGTCAGCGATGCAAAAAACCCCCGAGTAACGAATTTCAGGCCAATTGGATCAATTTTTTTTAAAAAGTCGTCTGCCATATTGGATTCGCCATTTTGAATTTTGGAAAATTTAAAATTCAGATTAGTAGTCGCAGTGACCCCAAAAACCTTCGAGTGAGAAATATCAGCCAGATTTAAACACATCTATTAGTTAATACACGGAAAGAAATTTAGTAGCAATATTTGATAAATCTGATAGGAAATTTTAGTATTCTCTTTTTCAAACGCGGAACATTTGGGTTTGATAACGAAAATCGGTATATTTTTACCAATAGTCTTTTTAGTAAATATATTCCAGAAATTGAAATTATTATTTCGTAAATTGATAAATTTATACGAAAAACCAGAAGTAAGTTAAACCGACGCGCACTTCGTTATTTACTAAATTTATATGAAAATTTGGAAAGATTATTTCGAAATTTGTTAAAACTATACTAAAAATTCGAAGTGGTTCAGTCGTGACAGATGACGACAGAAACACCAATAGATTCTACGCCTAAGTTTTATCTCTTTCTCATCTCGAGGATAGACGAGGATATGAACTTTTAAATTCACACACACACACACACCGCATTGTTTTACATCGATTGGCTTATTTTCATTCCTAACCTATACTAACGATAATACGTATAACATTCGCAGGATAACGCTTCATATACAAATTTACGCTCATGTGAAAAACTGATGTTACCATTCTTATATACTAACCAGACATATTTTTCACTGCTTATGAGAAAGGTGAAATTATATCAAAACATGTTTAAAAATATAAATAAAAATCATTATTTATTGGGAAATAATTAAATATTTTATTATTTTTTGAAGAACAATTTTTTTTACTGATTTATTGTAAAATCTTCGAAATTAATTATATAAAAGAAATTCAGGTCTGTATCAAGATAATGGTAAAAAGGGGCTTGTCTAAAGAGCTTCGTCAGTCTTCGTTACCACTCGGTGAGGATCGGGCAATTCCGAACGTTCAACTTCGGCAAATTTCGTCGAATCTCGTTAACTTTGATATTTCTTTTTCAATTTTCATATCAAATATATCAAAATCTGAAATAATTATTTCATTTTATACAATTCTAATTACGAAATTTGAAATATTTGGTTAGAAAAATTGATAAAGAGCTTATTAAAATTTGACATTTTTGTGTTTCAATAAAAAGATTTCAGATTTCGTAAATATTATATCAAATTTTCTTTCCAACTATATTAAATATACTCAAAAACCTTCGTTAAAAAAGTTATATCAGTTTAATTGCTAACTTGTAGAAATTTTGAAAAAGTTGTCTCGCAAGTTTGAAGCTACACATAGTTTTTATTCAATTTGAGGCACATCATTGTTTCATGGATTTTTTAGTTCTTTACACTCTCACCTACTTCTATTGCAAGCCACAAGACACACAATGTTTCGTTAAAAAAGTTACAGTCTATAAACTAAAAAAAACAGTCACTATCACACACTAGAAACTGTCGATTTCACCACTTTAACTTACGTTCGTCATTTCCTACATAATTAAAAAAATATATAACGCATGATACATTTAAAAAGCCCTATAATTGATCAAATTGTGGTATTGAAAAATTATTAAAAAAATTCTTAAGGTATCATAATGAGCGATAACATAAAGTTTAAAAGTTCTAGAGATATGCCCATATTCATTTTATATAAGCGAAAAAAGTTTCTTTCACTTAACTGCAAGTTAACCTAATTGCTATGATATACTGATTTATTAGTTTTTAATTAATTAAATACTTCATGTAAAACCATTAATTAATTTACTTATGACGCGTTAAATTAATTAATTTTCATAAAGTACACTGAAAAAAAACTAGTAGATTTTACTAATTTTTAACTACTCTGAGTAGTACAATAGGTCCTCAACTGAATTTAAACGGTTCTATTAACTATATAAAAATAGTTAAACCAATTAAAAATTTAATTGGTAGAATGACATTTTGTAATTGTATTAACTCAATTTAAAAATGTTAAAACAACTCAAGATGTAAGTAATAGATTTTACTACATAAAATGGTTCAATATAGGCTTTAAGAACATTTTTTTGGTACATTTAATAAATGTTTTGCAATTAAAACTACTACTTTAAGTAGTAAATTTTACTATTTAAAATATGAAAATAAAATTATTTTTTATTTATAATTGTTTATTATCAGTAGAATTGACTTTCTCATCCTCTCTCCTATACTGAAGCTCATTTTATGCCCTAACGATTATGTACCTAACAGAGAAAATTTCTAACCGACGGGAATTGAACCCTCGACCCTAACGCTCGCTACGACAGTCTGCAAACTACTCGAAGACTACTTTCTGCTTGTCCAATTGGTAATTTAACGATTTAAAGTAGTCATTTTTACTACTTTTATTAGTTGCTATAACTATCCTTTTTAAGTTTTGACTTGTCAATTTTTCATCTTTTAATTATATTATAAGTTATTTAATTTCATAGTCCAGTAAAATCTATTACTTAAAGTGATAGTTTTAATTGCAAAGGATTTGTTAATTCTACAAAAAAAATGTTCTTAAAGCCTATTATACCACTTTAAGTAGTTAAAGCTACTATTTAAAGTAGTAGTTTTAACTGGAAACGATTTGTAAATTATACATCAAAAATCTTCTTTAAGTTTATCGAATTAATTAAAATAGTAAAAATCTACTACTTAAAGTAGTAGTTTTAATTACAGACGACTTGTTAATTCTACAACAAGAAATTTTATTGAAGCCTATAAAATCATAGAAATTAATAAAACAAGATGGGGGTCCCTTTTTATAAAAGAAGTTTATGTTCATTTCATGAACATTTTGCTTCCTCATTGCGCAAAGCAAAAGATTTGCTTCCTCTTGGAGGAAGTAATAAATTAATAATTTATATACATATTATTCTTAAAATATGATAAATGATTTCAAAAAATATATCTTTTTCCACCTTTTCCACTCTTTCAACCGTTTTATTGCTGTTATCGACTGATTCCGGTATAATCGCTTTTTCCGTTACAGCAGATTCCGGTTCAATCTTTTTAGTTTGAATTTGTTGAATTTGTTTATAAAAGAAATTTGTTATAAATTCAAACACTGAAAAATTCAATTATTAGAAGAAGAATAATGGAATTCTTCCTTAAAGATTTATTCTTTAAATTTAAATGAAATCTAAACTTTATATATATACCAATCAGTTTCTTTTGACGTAAGGAATAAGATTATTATATGTATTGCCTTTATTTTAGCTTTGAAACAATTTTTTTATTAAAATCGATTTTTTGAAAAAAAGTAAAAAAAATTTTTTTTTAGGGGGTACTTTCTAAAATTGTTGTGTTCATTTTGAGATATTAATGTGACAAATGTACATACCGAATTTTAGCCAAATCCGTTAAAACGTATTAACGATATCGTGTTCACAAAAACTTTTTTAACTAAAATATGAATTTTTGAATTTTGAATTTTTTAATTTATTCTTTAAATTTCAATGAAATATAAACTTTATATATACCAATCGATTTGTCTTGATATGAGGAATACGATTTTACTATGTATTGCCTTTAATTTTGCTTTCAATAAATTTTTTCGATTAAAATCGATTTTTTTGAAAAAATGCCAAAAAAATTTTTTTTGTGGGTATTTTCTAAAATCATTGTGTCCATTTTGAGATATTGATGTGACAAATATACGTACCAAATTTTAGCCAAATCCGTTAAAACGTATTAAAGTTATCGTGTTCACAAAAAAATGGATCCACACACACATACACACACACACACATACATACATCCGGACAATTGATCAGGGACTTATATATGACATTTATAAATAGAAAAAAATTTGTTTGGTGCATTTCTAATAATTTCATAATTTGAAGGACTACATAGCTTCCTCCAGACGAAGCAAAATTTACTACTCAAAAAGCAGTTATATATTAATTAAAGAAAATAATTCCTTTTACTACATTTCATATAACTGGTGAATAGTAGTTGGATTTACTAGTCTTCAAATTTTGAGTTGACTACAATTCCACTTGTTTTTACTACCTTAAGAAAGTTAATTTTACTATCGACCTGTAGTTGTACTTTAACTACATATTTAAGTAAAAACAACTATTACTTATTAACATTTTAAAAATAGTTACATTAACTACGTGAACATGATTAAATTAATTAAAAAAGTAGTTATTTTAACTACTTTCTAGTCAACTACCCAATAGTAGTTGAATTTCTCGGCAACATTTTTTTCAGTGTATAAAATCATAAAACCTTGAAATTTCATTCAATTTTTTGACAATATCACGCTTCAGAAAATTACAATAAAAAATTATTTCAAAAAAGCAAAGATTATTTATTTTTGAAACTTATATGAATATTTTTTATACTTAGAAACAACTTTTAATTTAAAATTTTATTTTTTTAAAAACGTGACTTAGTCATCGTTGAACATGTAGTTATAATAAAAATTTCAATAGAAATGAAAAATAAAAATAAAAATATAAAAAAAATATAAAATGTAGTAAATTTCAAATATTTGTATTATTTTAATTTCGTATATACATGTAAAATTTGTTCCTTTAAAAGTAAATTCTTTAATTTGTAAATATTATCAATTAAAAGATTTGTAGTATGTGTGTGATTTATATTTTTATAAATAATATATATTACTTAATTCTATACTTAGCAAATTATTATTATTATTAAAAAAAAAATTAATTCAGGTAAAAAATTTATTTTATAAAAATGTGTTAAAAATTTATTAACGTTTAAATGTTGCACTTTCCTCTTCTTTTTGAATTGCTTGAATTAAAATAAGTGAAAGAACACCTAGAACAACCTGTAAAAATTGTTTTTCATTTTATTCAATTTTGAAAAAAGAATGTCAATTATACAGAAATTAATTTAAAACAGAGAAAATTTTTTATAAAAAATGTCTAAATAAATAATTACATATTATATTTTTTGTATTTATTTATTTTAACATTTTTAAAAAATTGACTCTTAATTCATTTTTTAATATTTTCTATTATAAATATTTATATAGTATTTTTAAATAGAACAATAAACTAATGAAATTTTTTTAAACTTTTTTTTTTTAATTTTACAAATGTTTTTTTTTTCTTTATTAACAACTTACATGGAACATACAAAGAGATAATGCCAATCCTGCTAACCATGCAGACCTTCCCTCAAGAAACCAACTTAGTTCATCGACACATCCATGGAAATAAGCATTTCCGGTCACAGTATCTCGACACTCAGTTGGCAGTGGTTTAAGCAATGTCAAATAATCCATGGGACCATCAGCACCACAACATCCAATCTATAAAGTTGTAATTTAAAAAAAAAATTTTCGAAATCCACTTGACAAATTTAAGGTCAGGTGCAACTCGTCAAATGTAAATAAACATGAAAATGTATGTAATTATTGACAAATTTGCGACAGCCATTTTTTAAATAGAAAATAAAAATTGTTCTTTTTCTATGTAAAAATGGAAAATTCATATATAAAACTACAGCCTGACACTGTATATATTAATAATTATATAATAAAATGAAAATTACACTGAAACAACAATTTTCTTAAGATTAGGAAAAAAAAATCATTTGAGTATATCTGAGGCACGGACATTGTGAACATAGGTGGGAGAAAGAGTTGAGCGATTGGACGGTCACATCTTGGAAAGGGTAAAATTTTAAAATTATACCCCCACCAGAGGACAGAGACTAGATTTTTTACCCCTTTCAACACTATTTCTCCCATCTAGAGTTCTCAATGTCCGTGCCTCAAATATACTCAAATGGTCATTTTTTCGTAACCTTGAGAAAATTGTTGTTTCAGTGTAATTTTCATTTTATTATAATTATTATAATATTATTAGTCAAATACGGTGTCAGGCTTTAGCTTTATATATGAATTTTCCATTTTTACATAGAAAAAAAAAACAAATTTTTATTTTCTATTTAAAAAATGGCTGTCGCAAATTTGTCAATAATTACGTACATTTTCATGTTTGTTTACATTTAACGAGTTGCGTTCAAAATGGCGGATCCAATATGGCGGACGACTTTTGGAAAATCTAATGTAATTCGCTTGCAACTCGTTACTCGGGGGTTTTTGGGGTCGCTGATTACGAATCCGGTGTTAGTTTTCAAAAATTCAAAATGGCGGATATAATATGGCGGACACTTTTTGGAAAATCTAATGCAATTCGCCTGAAACTCGTTACTCGGGGGTTTTTGGAGTCGCTGATTACGAATCCGGTGTTAGTTTTCAAAAATTCAAAATGGCGGATCCAATATGGCGGACAAATTTTTGAAATTGTTAGATTCGCCTGAAATTTGTTACTCGGAAGTTTTCGGGGTCGCTGATTACGAATCTGAAGGCAGATTTTTAAAATTTTCATAATTCAAAATGGCGGATTCAACATGGCCTAAAAAATTTAAAAAAATGATCCAATTCGTTTCAAACTCGCTTCTCAAGGGTTTTTGGGGTTACTAATTATGAATCTGGAGTTAGATTTTTGAAATTTCTAAAAATTCAAAGATGGATCCAATATGGTAGACGAATTTAAAAAAAAAAAAAAAAAAAACCCTCGGGAAGCGAGTTTGAAACGAATTGGGTCAGTTTTTTAAATTTTATCCGCCATGCTGAATCCGCCATTTTGAATTATAAAAATTTTTAAAATCTGCCTTCAGATTCGTAATCAGCGACCCCGAAAACCTTCGAGTAACAAATTTCAGGCGAATTGCATTAGATTTTCCAAAACTATTCCGCCATATTGGATCCGCCATTTTGAATTTTTGAAAACTAACACTGGATTCGTAATCAGCGACCCCGAAAACCCACGACTAACGAGTTGCAAGCGAATTGCATTAGATTTTCCAAAAGTCGTCCGCCATATTGGATCCGCCATTTTGAATTTTCAAAAACTAACACCGGATTCGTCATCAGCGCCCCCAAAAACCCCCGAGTAGCCATTTTCGAGCGGATTTAATAACTTTAAAAAAAATTGTCCGCCATGTTGTATCCGCCATTTTGAATTTTAAAAATTTGAAATTCTGACCTCAAATTCGTCATCAGCGACCCGAAAAACTGTAAGAACAATTGCACTTTTCTTTTTTGATGTTCTCAGATTAGCTTGGGAACGAAAGGGTTAAATTATAATATTAATAAACATTTTGTATTTTTTCTTAAAAGTTAATGAACAATTGTAATTTTTATGCAATTCTTACAAACAACAGCTCATTTTGTTCTTTAAAAGATTTTCTACAATTCTGTTTGTTGAATTTGATTAAAAATATTTTGTTCAAATGTTAATAAACAAATAAAATTTTTATTTTTTATATTTTTTAAACAAATCATTATTTAACAAAAACATAAAATCAAAATTTTAAAGAATATCTTTAAAAGAGAAAAATAAGTCATTATTTATAAAAATTTGATCAAAATTAGAATTGTTCATTAACTTTTAAGAAAAAATACAAAATGTTTATTAATTATTATTTAACAATAAATTTTAACTTAAAATAATTTTTTTTCCAAAATTGTACAATTGGATTTGTCGATTTTGGATGTACTAAATTTTAAATATATTTTTAGTTTTGTTAAAAACTACTTTATAGTTTGAAGTTAAGTTATTTTTAAAATCTTATGATTTGAATAATCGTGAGCTATTTTTTAACAATTAATCAGAAAAATTAAAAAAAAATTATTCAAAAATCAGTCAAATTGGATCTCGAAATTTTTTTTCATTTAATACAGCTAAAAATTTTAATTGTTTAACAAAAAAAATGTAATTTTTTTAATTTTTAGATGATCTTTTTGAGGAATTTTTTTTTAAAAGAATTTTTTTAATTAAAGTAGAATTTCTTTTTTGAAATTTATTAAAATAAAAAAATTAATTATTTTTTATATTAAATTTTTGAATTTATTTTTTATTTATATTTATATTTACCTGTTCTTGAACTATCCTGAGCATTCGAGAAGCATCATCATGTTGAGAATTTGAAATTAAAGTAGTCATTGATCTTCGAATAAGAGGTTGAATATCACTATCATATGTTGAATAATTTAAAAGAACTGCTGCTCCTGCCAGGCCAAATACAAAACACAAAACTTGAAGTCCAATGTACTGAAAAGTAAAATTTTTTATTTGATAAAATTAATTAATAAATAAAATAAAAAAAATTTAATTTTAAAAAAGCTAATTTTATTATTATTACTAAATTATTATTATTATTTATTAATTAATTAAATTAACAATAGAAAACAAAAATATTTAGAAATTAATTTTAAATAAATTTTACTAATTTCAATTTTTTATATTTATAAATTTTTTTTATAGACTATTTTTTTTGTATTATTATTTATATCTATTAATTTAAATAAAAATGTTTTGTAAACAATTTTTTTTTTGTTTTTTTTCTAATTTTTTTTTTTTTTTTAAAGTGCTTTTATTATAAAATAAATACCGCGTAAAGAGCAGTTATGAATTCCATTAATGCTGCTCCACATCCAATAAAAGCAATTATCATAATTACAACGGATGTGAAAATTAGTAAATATATTCCAATATAAAATTCATCGATATCAAGATAATCAACGAAATCTTGAAATCCTGAATCCGCTCGTAACCATACTGATAAACCAAACATTCCACATCCTAATAGCTAAAAATAAAATATGTATATTTTTAAAAAAAAAGTCACCAAAAATTAAGGAGAAAAATTTTTATTAACATAATTTTTTAAAAAATAACTTTGAAATAAAATAAATAATATAAAATAAATTAAATTAAATGAAAAAAAAATATTAACAACAATAATAATAATAATTATTATTTTTTTATTAATATAACAAATATTTGTTATATTTATTATAAAATTTTGTATACTAAAAATAAAATAATATCCTTTTTTATTTTCAAACTTCACTTTTTGTTAATTTTCTTTTTCAATTAGAATATTTCATTTTAAATTTCACATTAAAAGATAAATAAATAGAAATTAAAAAATGAATTTTTCATGAAATATTTATGTCATAGAAATTATTTTAATAATTTTGAAATTAATTAATTTAAAAATAATAGAATAGAAAAAAAAATGTTTTGGAACAATATTTTCTAATTTATTATAAAAAAAATACAAAAATAATGTAAAAAATAAATGACATATTGAAAAAAATATATATAAGGAATTTATAAAATTATCTCATATATGTGTGATATATAAATTCCAAAAGAGTTACTCACAAATATGACGATATTAAAACAAAAAATTGTATATTTGATACACCCAATTTGTTTTTCAATCAAATTTGGTCCACTTGTTGCGGACTTCACTACCATTTTTCACTTCTTTTTTTTAAAACTAAAATCCACTGGGAAAAAAATTATTAAATTTTTTTTTCTCCTTTTTTTTTTTTTTTTTTTGAAAAACTATTAAATTGAAAAAAAATCTGTGAATTGTTTCAATGAAACGATCATCGTAGGAACGACAGGTACCACTAAACGGTCATGGCATTTATTATCTTCTGCAAACATCTGATAACCGGATAAGCACGCCCTAGATATAGTAAAACGAGTCACTATTGTCATCATACAAGAAAATGAATCACGACTCTTTTCTTTCTTTTTCTTTTCCTCTTTTTTATTTATTTATTTTTTTAATTATTCAATATGTTTCTTCAAAAAAAAAATTCAAACTTAAAATGTATTAAATTTTATAAACTTCCTTTTATAGAACTTTGCATAAAACTTTTACCATCCAAATAAACAAAAAAAAAAAAAAAAACTGAATTTTTATTATAAAGAATTTTTTACTCAAATTTTTATTTGAAAAATTCTTATTTATATCGAAAATTAATTCTCATTTAATAGAATTTTTTGAGACTTATGAAATAACAAAAATTCATTTGTTCGAATTTTTATTTATTAAAATTTTCACATAACCCGAATTTCTATTTGATCGAATTTTTATTTATTCGAATTATTTATTGACAGAATTTCTATTAAGAGTGTTGAACTAATAAATATAATAATTGAAAAGTTGTTATACTTATTTCATTATGCACATTTTATTTATTTTTTTAATTTCTATACATAAAAAAAAGAAACAAATATAACATGAGCTTATAAATCTACATTAATTTTTCTTACTATATATTTTCCTAAAAATTTGTTTTAAAAAAAAAAAATGCTTTCTAAATTTAGTATTGCCGTTTTAGTAGATTGTATGCAGAGTATGCTGATTTTATAATCTGCAAAATATAAATATAGTAATAAATAAAAAAATATATATATATTTAAAATTCATTACACCCAAATTTGACAGATCCAATTGTACAATTTTGTAAAAAAAATTTTTTAATTAAAATTTGTTATTAAATAATAATTAATAAACAATTAAAAATATTTTGTTCAAATGTTAATAAACAAATAAAATTTTTATTTTTTATATTTTTTAAACAAATCATTATTTAACAAAAACACAAAATTAGAATTTTAGAGAATATATTTCAAAGAGAAAAATGAGTAATTATTTATAAAAATTTGATCAAAATTAGAATTGTTCATTAACTTTTAAGAAAAAATACAAAATGTTTATTAATTATTATGTAACAATAAATTTTATCTTAAAATAATTTTTTTTCCAAAATTGTACAATTTGATTTGTCGAATTTGGATGTACTAAATTTTAAATATATTTTTAGTTTTGTTAAAAACTACTTTTTAGTTTGAGGTTATGTTCAGGGGTTGAACCTCCTTAAATTCATTAGATTTGTTTAAAACTCGTTATTCGAGGGTTTTTTTTTTTTTTAAACAAAATAAAAATAATTAAAATACCAACTTTCATAAAAGTATCAATTGACATTGTGATAAGTGATGCACCAGTCAATTCAATAGGCCTTGTTGATCGTATCATTATTGTTATAAGATTTTTCTTCGTTTTAATTGTTAAACCATACCAGTTGAGAAAATAAATTGCCTGTCCTACTTCTGCACTCTATTATTATTAAAAATTAATTAATATATATTAAATGAGGATGAAGGCACTAACATAACCTCAAAAATGAAAAATGGTTTTTAACGCAAACAAAAGATAAAAAAATCCGCTGCCATGTTTAAAGTATTTCCATAAACTACGAATGTGCAACGAATGTGCAACGAGTTCGTCGTACACTTGTAGTTTGCGTTCCGCCAATTGATGTTATAAAAACCATTTTTCAGTTTTGAGGTTATGTTAGGGCTTCCATCATCCTTAAGCTTTCTCTACATTATGAAAAATAGATTTAAAATAATGATTTCTTTATAAAACAAACCTTTTCTGTTACTTTGTCACCATAAAAACAATAAATAAAAATTTGTAGTGTATAACTGCCAACGCAAGAAACCATTAACCAATATATACTATCGGTTGGACTTAGCTTGGACAAATTATAAATTATAGAACAAAGATTAATCATTGAGGCAAAAAATTGAGTGAAAATTATAAGACCAAATTGTTTATTTAAATTATCTCCTAAACTGAAAAAATTATTTTTAATTGCAGTGAAACAGTTTTTTGAAAAATGAAAATTTAAAAATTACCGACATAGAAATCTACTTTACCGACTGATGGGAAAGAAATTTTTCTTTGTAATGAAAATATAAAATCATTATTGACATAGAAATCTACCTTGCCGATTGATGGTAATGAATTTTTTTTTAATTTTACTAACGTTTTCAAAACTGTTTTGAGAACCACACAGCACCGAAGTTTTCCTAAACCTGTATTGAAGCAGTACGTGCCAACTTGGAAAAATTTAGTGGCAAAGGTTAATACAGGTTTTGTAAATGTGTAAATGTCCGCACTTGAGTAAACGTTTAGCGTAAAAGTTGCCTGAAGATTTAAATTAAATCTTCGGTAAAGGTTTAGCTTAAAAGTCGCCTGAAAATGTAAATTAAATCTTCCGTTTCAAACAAATTTTACGCTAAACCTTTACCGAAGATTTAATTTAAATCTTTAGGCAACTTATTTTCAATTTATTTTTCAAAAACTGTTTTACAATCAGTCGATAAGGTAGATTTTTATGTCGGTAAATTTTATTTTTTCATTTCAAAGAAAATTTCTTTATCATCAGTCGGTAAGGTACATTTCTGTGTCGTCATGTTTTATTTTTATTCTTCAAAAATAAATTCTTTACTAACAGTCAGTAAGGTAGATTTCTGTGTCGGTAATTTTTTTATATTTTCATTTTTCCAGAAATTTCTTTACCATCAGTCGGTAAGATAGATTTCTAGGTAGGTAACATTTTATATTTTTATTTTTCAAAATTTTTTTACCATCTTGTTAATTTTTTTTTTTTTTTTTGTACATATTTTATTTATTTTATACTATAAATATTTTTTATATTTTATAATTTTTTTTTTTATACCCGCATGTTTTTGGTGAATAGCATAATATTTAATTTACCAATAAACATAAAAATGATGTTTGGCACAACGTTTAGTGAGTTTTATTTCTTGATCATATGAATTAGATTTAATATTATTTTTTTCCCACAATTCAGAAAGTAAATTTAAACGATGTATAATTATATCAAATTGTCCACAAATTTGCAATGAAATTGTTAAAGCTAAACTTTCCATTGCAATTGAAATTGTGGCAATTATTATACAGCCATATGATTGATGCAAATATGTAATAATAAATAAAAAATGAGAATCAACAGTGTATGGTAGCCATGATGGTAACGGAAGTGTTACATTTTTTGATGCCAAAGGTGGCAGAAACACAATACATGCCGAAATTTGCATGAAAAAAAAATAAATAATTGTGTTTCGTCTGAAATTATTTAAAAATAATAATTATAAATAACTCCTTTTTTCTGTGGAGCGTTACATTAAAAAAAAAAAAAAAAAAAAAAAAAAAAAAAAAAAAAAAAAAAAAGTTACCTTCCTATACGAGAGCATTCTCGTATTATTGCAATTTCTTCATCATCGCAAGGTTGACAAATTTCTGATAAAAACATTTGATTTGATTCAATAAATGTTTGACGTGTACGAAATAACAATGACAATTTAATTAGAGCCGTAAGAAATACGCAAGAATAAAAAATACTTTGTATTTGTGTTTCGAGACTATCGTGAAATTGAAATATTGTTATAAAAAAAGAAATATTTATTAAAATAAACATAACAATGGAAATTGTTGAATAGACACTATAAAGAAAAATTTTCCAATATGATTTCCAATTAATTGGTCTCCAAAATCCACAATATTGAAACATTGCATATGAATATTCACCCAAGTATAATAAATTTTTCATTTCAAGAGACATTTTTTTTTATTAAAATTAGAATAATAGAAAAAAATAATATTAAAATAATATTAGTAAATAATAAAATAATAATGATAAAATTTTTAATTTTTATAACAATTGCTAAATATTTTAATCCAACATCCTGTAAATTTGTAAAAAAAAAAGTTTAAGACGCATGTTAGTTTGTTTATATTTTTTTTTTTAAATTTCATTCTAAATATATTTGACTTTTTTTGTATTAAATCTTCAAAAAAAATTTAAATTCTTTAAAAATGAAAAACTTACATATAGAAAAAATAATTTAAAAATTTAAAAACTTGTCGTTTTTGAACCAAATTTATTAATTTGTTTAAACTTGTAAATTTTTATGTTGTTCTATATGTAGAACAAATTTTCTCTCAAATAATCATCAAATTATTTTAAATTGCAAAATAGAGTTCTCTTAACAATATTGCTCTCCAATAACTGTTTGACCATTTTTTTTTTTTTTTTATTATATTTTTTCCCCTTCATCTCATATTCTATTTCTTTTAAGAAATTCTCGAGAATTTTTTTTAATCAATAAAAAAAAAAAAAAAAAAATACAAAAGAAACATCAAACATAAAAGTTTATATAAATAATTCAGAAAAAGTTATTATCGTAAGAGATATTGCTTATTTTTCAGTTCCTTATACTCTATTATTACGAATTGATTTGTCCATAAGAGACGTTAGTTTGTCATACAAAGTATATTTAAGAAAATGAAATTTATTTCTTTCTATGTTACAGCAGCAATTTACATATTAAAATACAGTTAACTTCGTAACAATATTGCAAATATGTAATTTTTATCTCTCTTTTTTTTAAAGCATGATTTTGTTTCACATTATATATAGGAGATAGAAAAATATTAAAACTATTATTTTAGCATAATGTTTTCTTTATATTTTATTTCCGAAACAAGTTGTACGATATTTTTCCTATATAATGAATCAATTTTTTTTTTCGACATTAATATATTTTAAATATGTTCTTGAGCAGAAAAAAAAGGTCAAATTTTAGTTTTACTTTTATTCATAGTTTTCACGAAAAATTAGGGTAAGTGTATCAATTACTGCTGATGCCCCAATTACTGCGGTTTCTATAAAATTAATAAAACTTATCAATTCAAAACATAAAACTGTTTCAAAATGATTTTAAAAATTATTCCAAATGATATTTGATATTATATGTATATTCACAAAAGATGTATATTTCGAATATTATCAAATTAATTATTCAAGTTTCAATTGAACCTGTCACAGTAATTAGAGCATGTGTATATTTTTCTCATGCTGCTATTATACTGTCGTCTATCCAGTCAACCTAACCTCTAAATCAACACTTTTAGCGTTGCAATAATTGGTGCACACGATGCACAGTAATTCATGCAAACCTGCAGTAATACCAGCATATGCCATTTTTAAAAAATTTAATGTTTTGCTTCCTCGTAGAGAAAGCTTTGTAGTCCTTTCGTTTATAAAAATTTTCAAAGTGTCGGAAACAAATTTTTCTCTATATAGAAACATGTTATATGATATCCTGATCAATTGTCCGGATGTATGTATGTGTGTATGTGTGTGTGTGTTGATTCCTCTTTTTGTTTAGACGATAACTTTAACAGGTTTTAATGGATTTAGATAAAATTTGGTAGGCTCATTTATCATATTAATATCTCAAAACTGACCAAAGGATTTTAAAAACTACAAAAAAAAAAATTTTATCGTCTTTTTTCCAAAAATTTTTTTTTAATCGAAAAAATTTTTAAATAGAAAAATTTAAGGTTATAGGGTATTGTAAAAACTGGTGGCGCCATCTCTGGCAATCTCGGAAATTATGTACTTGGTTAAATTGGAGCTTTTTTGTTACACTCATCGTGAACTTTTTATTATCATATGCGATCGGTAATGTAGTAACTCATTAGTTTTCACAGGTTTTCACAACACTATTCACATTTGATAAAAACTTAATTATTATTTAATAATTCGTATTGCAAACACTCAAATTAAATCAATTTTACACTTTTTTATAAATATCAGTTGTTTTTGCCGTTAATTTATATTCTTTTCATGAAAATAGCACGAAAATAATTGTACAGCTGAACTGATCAGGTACCTCGCGCACATTTCCATTCATTATTAATTATTTAATGCCCCAGTAAAAAAAAAAGAATTAGGAGTAAGCGAAAAGAATTGGTGGTAACTTAAGCTGAATGCGGTTTGGCGAAAAAACCGAATTGGAACGTTACTGTGAATTATTTTTTTCTTACCGTGAATTCTTTTCTCTTAAACATTTGAATTGACGTTAGTTTATTCGAGTTCGCATTATAAATGAATAAAATAAATGCTTCGAAGTCTAAAAAAGCCGATTTGGAATAAGAAATATATAATTTAAAAAAAATAAATGAAAGCGAAGTGTGACAGATTCACCGACGATTTTATCAAGTGAGTAATGTTCATATGATAAATTTACCATATGAGTAGTACTCACATGGTAATATTGTCGGTAAATCTATCACATTTCACTTTTATTTCTTTTTAAAAAAATATATATATCTTATTCCAAATCGGCTTTTTTAGACTTCGAAACATTTATTCTTATTCATTTATAATGCAAACTCGAATAAACCAACGTCAATTCAAATGTTTAAGAGAAAAGAATTCACGGTAAGAAAAAAATAATTCACAGTAACGTTCCAATTCGGTTTTTTCGCCAAACCGCATTCAGCTTAAGTTACCACCAATTCTTATCGCTTACTCCCAATTCTTTTTTTTTTACTGGGGCTTTATTAATTACAAATTTTGTACGAATTTACTCTATAAACATTCATTTACCCTTTTATCAACTTTTTTTTATCATAATAAGTCGATTAATAGCTTTTTTATACGTTTTTTTACATGTTTACCTAATGTCTACCTAAAGTCCACTTAGTTAAGTAGACATTACGCAAATCGAATCCGCCAGGGATAATTAATAAGCCAAAAACTTAATCTCTGTTCTCTCGAAGGAGTGTTTCAATTTTTTTGCCAAATGGTTTGTTGAAAAAAGTTTTTCAGGATCTTAATAAAATTTGGTATTCTACGGTTTTTGGGGTCGCTAATTACCAATTTGAAGTCAGTTTTCCAAAATTCAAAATGGCGGACGAGAATTAAAAAATTCATTGGATTCGCTCGAAAATTGTTACTCGGGGGGTTTCAGGGTCGCTGATTACGAATTTGAAGTTAGCAAATTTGATCATTTTTAAAAATAAGTTTCAGGAAAGTCCGCCATTTTGAATTTAAAAAATTTCACTTTTATTTTTGTATTTACATTCAATCACTCCAAAATACTTTCTGTAGCAAGTTTTGCAAAAATCCGCTATGATTTGATAAAGTTATTGAAGGTTTTAATTGTGTAATGCATTTTAATTTTTAACCTGTTTGATTTTTGTATTTATATATGATGCATTATTACATAATAGGTTTATTATCGTATTTTTTTTGAGTTTTTATATAAGTTTAACAATTGCAATAATTTAAATTTATTTTCCCTAAGATTTTTCTGAATTACAGTGGCGTTCGTATTTACCCCGGTATTTTAGGAAAGTTGCAAAGTATCGAGGTAAATACGAACGCTAAGTTTCCTGCGATTGTAATTTATCAAAAATTTTTTCTACCCCATAAAATTGTTCTATGGAAGTAAAGTAACAACTTCATGCACCAGAATACCGGAAGTATTTTTTTTTTTTTTAAAGAAAAAAACTTATGTTATTGTTGAAACTTACTAAAAGCGTTCGGATTTACCCCGGTTGACCCTATATAATAAAATCGTATTCCTTACATCAAGACAAATCGATAGGTATATATAAAGTATAGTTTCAATTTAAATTTAAAGAATTAATGAAAGTTAAAAAATAAAAAATTCACATTTTGGCAAAAAATACATTTGAGGTAAGTTTAATAAATTAATGAAAGTTTTAAAAAAACAATTCCCATTTTAATTGAAAAATTTTGTATTTATTTAAATTCAAGTTTAAATATAAAATAATTGTGTTCATTGAAATAAACCGATATAATTGTAAATAATTAAAAATTATATACTATTTTTCATTAATATTTAGAAATTTCGGTTAAAACGTGAATTTTGGATTTTTTAACTTCCATTAATTCTTTAAATTTAACTCAAATGTATAGGTACTCAAATGTACTATATTTACCTCTTTGGTAGATTTTAGGCACTATAATATCTAATTTGAGCTCCTTTATTAGAGAAAATTTTTTATATTTTTTTATACTAAATCGTTAGTTTTAACTATGTAGCAAAAAGTCAGTAACTAATTTAAATTTTCAATAAATTAATTAATAAAAAAAATTATTTAAAATTTTTTATTAAAATTCAAAAATTCTATTGCGTTTAAAGAATAGAAATTAATTCTAGCACAAATATCAAAATAATTAAAAAAAAAAAAAAACATTAAATAATAATAGTAATACCAACTTTCATAAATGTATCAATTGACATTGTGATAAATGATGCACCTGTTAATTCAATAGGCCTTGCTGATCGTATCATTATTGTTATAAGATTTTTCTTTGTTTTAATTGTTAGTCCATACCAATTGAGAAAATTAATTGCGTCTCCAATTTCTGAACTCTATTATCAATATTATTAAAAAAAAAAAAAAATTATAGCGCAAAGATTAATGATTGAGGCAAAAAATTGAGTGAAAATTACAAGACCAAATTGTTTATTTAAATTATTTCCCAAACTGTAAAATAAATTTTACTAAATTATTTTATGATTCCTTTATAAATATGAGTGGACAATTTAAAAGAAAAAAATTTAAGCTACATTAAATATATTAATATTATTAACTTACGTATAAACATAAAGATGATGTTTAACGCAACGTTTAATGAGTTCTATTTCTTGTTCATAAGGATCTGATTTGACATCATTTTTTTTCCACAATTCGGGAAGTAAATTTAAACGATGAATTATAATATCAAGTTGACCACAAATTTGTAAACAAATTGTTAGAGCTAAACTTTCCATGGCTACTGAAAGTGTCGCAATCATAAATGTACTAATTGACTGATGCAAATATGAAAAAATAAATGCAATACTAGAATCAAGAGAATATGGTAACCATGCTGGTAACGGAAGGACATTTTTTGATGCCAATGGTGACAAGTAAACAATAAGTCCATTAACTTGTGCCAAGAGAAAAAACAAAAGTGTATTACGCCTAAAATTATTTATAACAATAATTCACTAATTTTTATTTAAATAATTTATACTAAATCAATTTTTTAACACATCTTAAAAGTTTTACTATAATATTCAATTAAATTAGAGAGAAGAAAAAATGATATTCTCATTTTAAAAATAAAATCATAATTTAAAAATCGCATTTTTTTGTCATTTCATTACAAATTTAAAAATATTGCTAAAAATTAAAATAAAACAAACATATACCTTCCTACACGTGAACATTCTTCTAGTATAGCAATTTCTTCAGCATCACAAGGTTGACATATTTCAGATAAAAACATTTGATTTGATTCTATAAATGTTTTACGTGTTAATGATAAAAGTGCCACTTTAATTAGAGTTGTGAAAAATGCGCAAGAATAAAAAATACTTTCCAATTGTGATTCTAGACTATCGTGAAATTGAAACATTGATACAATAAGTGAAATGTTAAATAAAATATAAATCATTGCAGAAATTATGGAAAAGATATTATAAAGAAAAATCTTCCAAAATGATTTCCAATTAACTGGCCTCCAAAATCCACAATATTGAAACATTGCATATGAATATTCACCCAAATATAATGAATCTTTCATTCGAAGAAACATTTGCGATTATCTACAATAAATTTTTTAAATATTCCAAATAATAATTCCAAAATAATTTTTTTTTTTTTTTCAAAAATTGTAATTCTTTAAATAAAACTTACATATATGAGAAAAAGGAAAATTATTTCAATTTAAAAACTTGTATTTTGTAAACTTTTTTTTTTCTATAAAAAGAAAATAAATTTGTTCTCTCAAATAAAAAAATTTTTTTATGCCCGCAAAAATAGAGTTGCTTTCCAATGACTGTTTGACCCTTTTTTCATTAAATTTTTCCCCTCCGTATCAAATTCTATTTCTTTTAAGAAATTATAGAGAATTCTTTTAAATCAATAAAATAATATACGAGAAACATCAAAAATAAAAGCTTATATAAATAATTAAGAAAAAGTTGTTATGGTAAGAGATATTGCTTATTTTTCAGTTTCTTATACTCTATTATTACAAATTGATTTGTCTATAAGAAAAGTTGGTTTGTGACAAAGTATGTATATCTAAAAAAATGAAATTTATTTCTTTTTATCTTACAAAAGCAATTTACATATTAAAATACAAGTTAACTTCATAACAATATTGCAAACATGTAATTTTTTTTCTCTTTTTTTTAAGCATGATTTTGTTTCATATTATAGGGGATAGAAAAATATCATACCTTATTTTAGTATGAGTTTTTTATATTTCATTTTCAGAAGAAGTTTAGTACATATTTTTCCTAAAATATATAACTTTTAGTGTTAGAACTTAGAAATTCTACTTTTTATCGTTATTAAACACGTACCATGTATTTAATAATATTTATACCAATCTTTTGAAAAAAATCTTTTTTTGTACCCTATTTAAAAAATTTGATAGAATTTGATAGAAAAATATTTCAATACTTTTCAATCCGTTTTTTTTTGAATCCACATAAATTTGGGTAGATTATATAATATTCTATCAATTATTTTGAATAGAAAGTCTATTAAAATAAATACTTATTGTTTATAGAATTTGATAGAAACAAATTTCAATAATATATTCAATCCGTTTTATTATTTATTGTTGTTTTTTAAATTTTTAGTTAGGAACCAATAATATTGTGTCTAATTTTAAGTGTCATTGAAATCAATTGTTTTTAACTTAATAATTTTAACATTTCTTATTTTAAGGCGAGGTCCAAGTGAGGCAGCACCATGTACATTGAAACTAAAATTTTGGAAAATTTTTAACAGCCTTTTCTTGAAAACAAGAAGGTAAACTGCTTTTTCCTTTATGGATAATTGATTATTGGCAAGATATACACCAGCTAAAACTTTTTTTGAGTTAAAATAATAAAAAAAATTTCATGTCAATAAATTAAACATGAGCACTTTTTTCACAAAAACTGTAAAAGTACTTTCTCAGAAATTACAATCAAAAATGCAATTTTCATTTGGAAAATTAATAAACGCTAAAAAATACACGACCTAAGATTTACCAATCACGAAAATAACAAAAAAAAGTATTTTAACATAACATATTTTACTCATTATAACAGCCGTTTGGCAGGTTATATATGTCACCAGACGTTTCGCAGTTTTGCCGAAAGGAGGAGATTGGCGCTGTTGCTAACCACCTGAAATACATAATCTACCAAAGGGCAGTCACAATCAGTAAAGCAGTATCAATATGTTAAATATTTAATAAAAATTTTTTTTGCTATTTTCGTGATTGGTAAATCTTAGGTCGTGTATTTTTTAGCGTTTATTAATTTTCCAAATGGAAATTGCATTTTTGATTATAATTTCTGAGAAAGTACTGTTACAGTTTTTATGAAAAAAGTGCTCATATTTAATTTATTGACATGAAAGTTTTTTTATTATTTTAACTCAAAAAAAGTTTTAGCTGGTGTATAAATGGTGTGTATAAATAAATGAAAGGTGATAGGAAATCTTGTACAAAATAAAAAATTTTATGAAACATGGTATCTCAGGGTTTTCAGGGTCGCTGATTACGAATCTGATGTCAGATTTTTAAAATTCAAAATGTCGGATCTAATATGGCGGTCGAAATTTATAAAAATTCACCAATTCATTTGAAAGTTGTTACTTAGAGGTTTTTGCGGTCGCTGATTACGAATATGATGTTAGATTTTCAAAATTCAAAATGGCGGATCCAATATGGCGGTCGAAATTTATAAATAATAATTATTTTTTATAAAACTTGATATCTAGGGGTTTTTAAGGTCGCTGAGTACGAATCTGAAGTCAGATTTTTAAAATTCAAAATGGCAGATTCAATATGGCTTTTCAAATTTATAAAAGTTCGTCGAATTCACTTGAAACTTGTTACTTGAAGGTTTTTGGGGTTGCTGATTACAAATTTGATGTCGGGTTTTCAAAATTCAAAATGGCGGATCTAATATAATCTAATCTAATATAATTTATAAACTTCGACCATTATATTAGATCCGCCATTTTGAATTTTGAAAACCCGACATCAAATTTGTAATCAGCAACCCCAAAAACCTTCAGGTAACAAGTTTCAAGTGAATTCGACGAACTTTTATAAATTTTAAACGCCATATTGAATCTGCCATTTTGAATTTTAAAAATCTGACTTCATATTCGTACTCAGCGACCTTAAAAACCCCTAGATACCAAGTTTTATAAAAAATAATTATTATTTATAAATTTCGACCGCCATATTGGATCCGCCATTTTGAATTTTGAAAATCTGACATCAGATTCGTAATCAGCGACCCTGAAAACACCGAGATACCAGGTTTCATAAAAAATTATTAATTTGTACAAGATTTCCTATCACCTTTCATTTAAGTGTTGTTTTTACCCCTAAAAGCAAAAAATGACCTGATCTAGCAAAACGGCCAGACACGGGTATCTTTTTTTTGATCCTAGTTTCTGTAAATCATTGATTTTTTCGTGTGTGCAAAATCGTGTCGGACGGTGATAATATAATATAAGATAAAAAAAAATATTATTATATATAATATAATTAATATTATTGTTATATTTATAATAAATTAAAACATTTAATATTTAACAATTGTCATTTCATCCTTCACTGATACTGATCAAAATTAAAATAAATTTTATACAATATTAATAATATATTAATTTAAAACAAAAATTATATATATATATATATATATAAATTACAAAAGTACAACTATAACCGAGCGAGGAATACATTTTTTTTCCTATGAACAATATTATAGGAGCTAGATAATTTTGAAAATTAATGCTAAAAACAAATATTGAACTTTGACACCCTGTATGTAGGCAACCCGTTATTATTATTTAACCTTTGAGACATTTCTACCAAGTTTCAGCTTAATCGCAGACAAATGGGCCGGAGGTATGCTCACTTGAAGTGATTTAACTCATCTACCGAAATTTTTTTTTTGATGATTAGAAATTTTGTACAGCAATTTAGAAATTTTGTAAAACTACTGACTCCAAGGTGATTCAATATCGTTCGATTTTTTTTTTACGCAAGTTATAACCTTTCAAAGGCATAGATATTTTTACTTTTTATATACACTTACTGCTCTGCCCCCACTATTCATGCATTTATCCTTTCTATCCCTCTCAATGAGCGTGAGCGCTAAGAAAGTAGAGAAAACTCTTGAGAATCTCGATTGAAAACAAGGAGACGTGGCACTGTTCACAAAAGTATAAAAGAAAATATTAATTGTTTTTTTTTACTTAAAATATTTTTTTTTTTACTATAGAATTTTATTTGCTTTTGTCCCACTCCTTCCAACATATTAAGGGACCCATTTTATACAGGCCCGGATAGCTCAGTCGGTAGAGCATCAGACTTTTAATCTGAGGGTCCAGGGTTCAAGTCCCTGTTCGGGCGTTTCTTTTTTACTATTTGGATAAAGTTTATATTTTTCTCAAATGGCTTTTTATTTATTTTTTTTTTTTACCAGATTCGTTATCTTATTGGAATTTGTTTATAATATGCGTAAGCACTTTAAAAAATTTTTAATTTTTCTCAAGACTTTTGAGTGAAACCGTACTATTAATGCTTCCACTAGTAAAAGTGTTACCAAACACTGTGGTGGGGGGGAACGCAATATAAAACTGAAGGCAGAACACTATATAGAAGTCGTTGAGCGACTACAAAAATAATCGTACACTTGATTTCATCAGTTTTTGAGTGGCAAATAAAGCGGGAAATTTAAAATCATTTAAAAAAAAAACACTGCAATAAAAACAGAACAGAAATTTACAAACTAATTTTAATCAGTGATAAAAAATCTATTTTACTTTCATTCTTATATTTTCCTTAATATTTACATGCAAATATAATTTTGAAATTTATTTACATAATATTTTGACAGCATAATTAAATTACATTTATTAAATTATTATAAAACGAAAAAATATTTTGTAACCCACAAAATTTTCTAATACATGAATTTATAAAAATTTTCGAATTATAAAATTGCTACTTATCGACAATTATTATCAATTTTGTCACTTTTTGATTTTAATCTCACTTATTCTTTCACTTTTTGAACTTCGCCGGTATTTATTTAGAAAGATCGCTTTGTTTACTTTTCGTGGAAAATACTCGTGTCACACGAAATGTTCCGATGCAGGGTTGTCAAGTACTACTGGAGTCATATTCCCTATCTTCGTCAGGGCTAACTCACAATGATCTCTCTACTCTCTACTAGGTAGTTCAAGTTGGGTGGGGGGAAAATCCAAAATGGTGATTATATGGTGCACAACTTTACATTGAAAGTATATGGGATTTTTAATTTTTTAAATATAGATGAAATTTTCGAAACTATGTATATGAAGATTTTATTTTTTATTTTTAAAGAACTATTTAATGCAATAAAAAAAAATAAAATCGTTTTTTATTAAAGCATTAAATAGTTATTTAAAAATAAAATCTTAATATACTTAATATACATTTTGGATTTTCCCTCATCCATCTTGAACTACCTAATATAAAGGCACTCTCACACCTTTTCGGCTGCCTGCAGGTTACCATGGCAACGCATGAGAGTGAGTGCGACAGAAAAATTTAAAAATTTGAATATTCAAATTTTCTGTCGCACTCACACTCGTACGTTGTCATGGTAACCTGAAGGCATGCAGGCAGCCAAAAAGCAGTGAGAGTGCCTTAAGCCTAAGCAGAATAGTTTCGCAAACGTGAAACATGAGTTGGAAAAGAACCATATTGTTCATTCCCATTTTTTAAAAAATTTTAAACGTAATTGATATTAAAAAAACATAGTTATTATATAATAAATATATAATATGAAAACTACTAGGAAAACTACTTTTCTTATGAAGCAGATTATTTGATTAACAGAATAGATTTCCGCCAATCAGGCAATTGCAGGGTATTTCTCAATTGCCTGATTGGCTGAATTCTATTCTGCTAATCGGTGCACTGTGACATAGCCCTAAGGCTGTATCCTTAATAAAAATTTTCAGCGTTGTTCGCAAAACGTAAGTTACGCGAATGTTTTGCGGAATTGCCAACTACTGGAAAAAAAATTTCGCTTTGTTTTCAACGTGGATACATAACCTCCAAATTAATTTCGGTAACGACACCTGATTGAAAGAATGTCATTAATTTGTCATACCTTTAAAACTTTTAATTAATATAAATATGTAACAATTATAGAATTTTTAAAAAATTGAATTCTAAAAAAAATTTTCTTGAAATTTGTAATGAATAAATTTTACGGTGAATCAAAAATATGTATGCGTAAACATTGAACAATAAAAGTCAACTTTCAGGTAATGATAATATAATAATAATAATAATAATAATTAATTAATAATTAAAAATATTAATATTTATTATTATTATTATTATTATTATTATTATTATTAATATTTTTGTATAATAATAATTAATTAATAATTAAAATAATAATAATAAACGATAATATAATATTATAAAGTTGTGTTTATTATTCGATGCCTTTACCGAAATTAATTTGGAGGTTATGTATCCACGTTCAAAACAAAGCGAAATTTTTTTTCCAGTAGTTGGCAATTCCGCAAAACATTCGCGTAACTTACGTGTACCTTTCGCGAACAACGCTGAAAATTCTTATTGTAAATACAGCCTAAGTGTCACATATCAGTTATACGCAACATTTGGAGCGTTCCACTGAATTGAAATTATCAAACCTGTTTATAATATATATATATATATGGAATATAAAATGGATTTTAAAAATAAAAATAATTATTTTTTAAAGTCTACAATAATTTTTTTTTCAAATTTGTTTGAAAGTTTTTAATTTTTTAGTAAAATATTTGAAAAATTAAATTTAAAAAAAATTAAATAAAAATTTTACATATTTATTATTTCTATAAATTTACTTGAAATTCCATTCGAAATAATCGTTCACGTTATAATAAATTTTATTACTATATGACAATTTTAATAAATTTTAATCTAATTTAAAATTAATATTATTTATATAAATTATATCTTATATTTTTTCAATTAAATAATTTAACAATTAAAAAAATAATTATGTAGTTTACAATTTCATAAACAATTGTTTATGAAGAGAATGGATAATAAAAAAAAATTTTTTATTTTATTTTATTATTTCTTCCTTTAAATTCTGACAATCCCTAAATGTAGTACATTTAATATAGTATATATATATATATACTATATTAAATGTAGTACATTTAGGGATATATATATATATATATCACATCTATAATGGGAATTTATATTTAGAAAAATGTAGGAACGAACATCCTAGAAAATGTGTCTAACATATTTTTTCAATAGACGAAGAACAGTCAAGAGGCGTTCAACAACTAAGAAAAGCTTTTATATTTCCACGTGTACGATGAGAGGGAACGAGAAGGAAGGGGAAAGTTGGGGGTGTAAGAAACAAGAGTTCACTTTGGATGATGTGGAACTTACACAAGTGCCTCCGAATGCTTAGAAACAATACAAAATTTATCTAATTAACATTATCATTGTATAGATTAAAATTCACATAAATAATAAATCGTATATTTGTTTTGTTTACATAAAAACTTTATTTACCGACTGTACAATTTCTTGTGTATATGTAGTTTATGTTTAAACAAGTGTTTTTCTCAGTAGATTGTTTTGTTGTCTTTCTTTCTTTTTCTTTTTTTTTTTTAAATCAAAAACATTTCATTTTATAAATATGAAACGATTAATATTAATAAACATTTTATTTGTAATTGTGATTGCCGACGCTGTTCCAAGACCTGACGATGAGACAAAACAAAGGATTATCGATAAGGTTTGTTATAATTAATAATGTTGTGTACTTTATTGATCAATTTTTGACACATTGTATATTGACATTTGGTATTTTTTAATAAAATAATAAATCTAGGGTGAATTTAAAAAAAAAAAAAAAAAAACTCATGTATTTATTGATTCTTTCGTAACGTAACCTCAAAATTTTTTAAATTGTCAAAATAAAAATATAAATTATATATTAATCCAATTTATATTAAAATTTAAATAAAATATACTATAATTAAATTAAATATTTATTTTTAAAATTATAACAAAAAAAAATTATTTTGTTATTTTATTTTATGACTAGCAGAATCAAAATATAAATTCAATTGCAAAATCGACATTTTTATGTGACTTACTTTTTGAATTTAATGAGAATGCATTTTTTTTTTTTTTTTTTTTTTTTTTATTGCAATTTTACAGACGTGTACAGCGAGAAAAATGTTTCTTTTTTTATAGCGTTAAAGAAATTTCTTCTTTAATTTAAAGAAAATTTTTTAAATTTAAATAAAATTTAGTTTGAAATTAAAAAAAGTATTTCTTTAAATTAAAGAAAAGAATTAAAATTGTCATTTTATGGAATTTCATTTGTCATATAATTATTTTTTAACTGAATTTTTATATGTTCGAATTAGTATTTTGCAAGAATTTTCATTAAAACGATTTTCTATATTACAGAATTTTTGTATAACCAAAAATTTACTTCACAGAATTTTTATTTGTCAAAATTTTTATTTACTCGAATTTTCATTTAACATAATAGGCATATTTTAAAGAATTTTTTATTGGCTAGAATTTCATTGCATAGAATTTTCATTTTATTCTTACAGATGAATTTTCATTTGTACGAATTATTATTTGATTGAATTTTCATAAAACCGATTTTTCTTAATATAGAATTTTCACTTAACCGAAAAATCATTTAATAGAATTTCCAATTGATAGAATTTTCATTTTGTTCGAAATTGTAAATGACCGAAGCAACAATCGATTTTGGCGCGATTTTTAAAATCAATCAATCAAAAATTATCCATAAAATTGTGATTGGTTTATTTTTAAAATTCGCGCCAAAATTGATTGTTGCTTCGGTCATTTACAATTTCGGACAAAATGAAAATTCTATCAATTATAAATTCATCTGTAAGATAATAAAATGAAATTCTACCGAATAAAAATTCTTTAAAATGCCTATTATTTGAAATGAAAATTTGAGCAAATAAAAATTCTGTGAAGTAAATTTTTCGGTTATATAAAAATTCTGTAATATAGAAAATTGTTTTTGATGAAAATTCTTGCAAAATACTAATTCGAAGAAATAAAAATTCGGCTGAAAAAATAATTATATGACAAATGAAATTCTATAAAATGAAAATTCTAACTAATGATTTTTAGAATATATAATCATGCAAAACAAAATAATTTACAGGATCTCAGCGAACAAGAGCATTTTATAAATTCAGAACACAATCCAGCTTATGATCACGATGCATTTCTTGGCGAAGAGGCAAAGACATTTGATAAATTAAGTCCCGAGGAAAGTACAAGACGATTGGGAATAATTGTTGATAAAATTGATAAAGATAAAGATGGCTTTGTCAATCAAGAGGAGCTTAAAGATTGGATTCAATTTACCCAAAAGCGTTATATTTTCGATGATATTGATCGTCAATGGAAATCACATAATCCCGAGGGAAAAGAGACAATAACATGGACCAAATATAAGGATGCAATTTATGGATTTTTAGATGAAAATGATTCGACAAATGAGGATGCGGATAGTGAAAATCATTCCTATATTGTTATGTTGAAACGCGATCGTAGAAGATGGAGTGCAGCCGATCAGGATGGAGACGATGCACTCTCACGTGAGGAATTTGCCGCTTTTCTTCATCCCGAGGAATATGTTCACATGAGGGATATTGTCGTTGAGGAAACAATGCACGATATTGATAAAGATAATGATGGCAAAATTTCTCTCTCTGAATATATTGGTAATGATTTTTATAGTCTAAAGTAACTTTTAAAGTTAAATAATTAAAAAAAAGTAATTATTTTTGAACTAGTTTCATAATAAAAACGATAACATTTGGACAAATGGATTTTAATAATATTTTCTCCAACGTTTCGAAATCACACTGATTTCCTCTTTAGGGAGTCGAACAATACAAAAAAAAAAAAAAAAAAATTATAAAAATTAAATCACGAACAAAAATACAAAGAAATCAAATTCAATTAATATGAGACGAATTAATAACAAAAACAAAAAATATCTTTGTAAACTAGTATAAAAAATTTTTATTGCTTCATGAAAGTATAAAAAACTTTATTTCTTTGAAGCAACGAAAATAATCTTATAATGATAATAATTTAACTATCCTGTAAATATTTAATTTAAATGTTTTATGTTTTTCTTTTGGTTTTATTTTATTTAATAATGTTTATTTTTATTTATTTGACACACAAAAAATAATTTTTTTTTTCTTTTAATATATTCAAACAATTTTTCATATTTTTTTTAGTAACTAATTAAATTATTTTACATTTTTTTTTTTTTTTTTTTTAATTTACAATTGTTTGAATAAATTAGAAAAATATTTAGATTTTTAAGACTGGATAATTTTAATTGTTTTTAATTCAAAAAATTCTTTCTTTCTTTATTTTTTTTTAAATTAATAATTACTTATTCTTATTAAAATTATTTTTACAGGCGATATGTACCAAAAGGGAGAAGAGGAAGAACCTGAATGGGTGAAAAATGAAAAAGAACATTTCACTGCCTATCGTGATAAAAATGGCAACGGATTCCTAGATTTTGAAGAAGTGAGTTAATTCTTATATAAAAAAAAAAAATAAGTAAAATTTTTCGTAATTTTATTTAGATTTTTTAATTTCAAAATAAATCGAAATTAAATAGTTTTCGTGGTTTAGAATTAGACACAAATAGAATAGAAAAAATAATAAAAAAATAGAAAAAAAAAAAATAACAAGAAGAAAGAAAATATAGTAATATATAAGAAAATTTTAATAATTTGTTAATTAATTAAAAGTTTTTCTATTAAAACTGTTTTAATTAAATAAAAACATTTTATGAAATAAAAATTTGAAAAATATCAGACAATAAACATTTTTCATTTTCAGGTGAAACATTGGATAATACCTGAGGATTTTGATCATGCCGAAGCTGAAGCGCGTCATTTAATTTATGAAGCTGACGCTGATAGCGATAAAAAATTAACGAAAGATGAAATAATAGCAAAATACGATGTCTTTGTTGGATCGCAAGCAACTGATTTTGGTGAAGCTTTAGGAAGACATGATGAATTTTAGATTTTACAATAATTTCTAAAAAAATTTAATGATCTGAAAAAAAATAGAAATATTTTTAACTTAAAACTTTTAAAGAAATATTTCTCTAAATCTAGGAATTTTTTTCTTTATCTCGTGCAATTATTTTATACCATAATTATTATTATTATAATTATTATCATTAATTACTATTATATGTATGGATCAAATCATATTTCATTTTTAAGACAAATATTGTATGATTTTTTGAATCAACAATCTCGTCTCTAACGTTCCATGTGCCACTAATATATGTAAAAAAAAAAAAAATATCTTTTAATAAACGTTGCTTATTTTAATAAATAATTTAATTGATGATAATTTTTAAATTTAACATTTTCCACAATTTTTATTATTTTTCATCAACTTTTTTTTTTAGGTTTTTTATGATTCCAAATCGATTTTTCAAATAAATTATTTATTTGTATAAAATAAGAAAAATAAAAATTTTCAATTTTTTTATAGAATAAAAATTCTAAAGAAATGAAAAAAAAAATTTTATTAAATAGAATAATTTTAGATTCTAAATAATGAAAAAAATATCAACAAAGAAAATTTCACTGGTCCCTCCTCTTCAAAAATTTAATTTCTACAATTTAAAACCTCAATTTTTCCTCTGTGACAATATAATTCGGCAAAATTCGAGCTTTACCAAATTTTCATTTATGAATCATAAAAAAAAAATGATTTTCCAATTGAAAATAAAAAAAAAAAATTATCTATAGACAAACTTTATAGATTATAGAAGATAATCCTTATCATTCGATTAACCGTGAAAGAACATTTTATCAGTTTCAAACGTGTATGACAATTTATTGTTAGAAATGTATTTAATAATTTTGTTTATTTTCATTTTTTCTCTTCAACTCGAAGGTAATTATGTTATTAATTTGTTTTTTTTTAATTTAACAATTATTCAAAAAAAAAAAAAAAAATGTGAAAATTAATTTCTATTTTACTTCAGATACGCAAATATTAGCACAACAACCGTCTGCTTATTGTTTTAAATTTACATGGTTGGGACCAATGATTGATGAAAATTCCAAAAAAGTTAATTGCACAAAAGATCATAAGAATAATCCATGTTTTCAACCGTTTATTACAACACGTAACTATCGTTATAAATTAATTTTTAAAAAAATTATTTAAATTATTATATTTACGAGTCACATTTTAAACAAAAAAAAAAGTTTTCTCAAACACCACAAAATATTTATATTTTCTTTAAACGAAAAAAAAAAATTTTTTTCTATAAGATAAAAATTTCATTGAACAAATCAACAAAATTTTTTTTTATATAATTCTTATTTTGTTTTACAAAAATAGTATCTAAAATTATTTTTCCAATAAAAAATATAGAAAAAACATACTTTTCGAGGTATTTTATTATATTAAATAAAACTCTATGTAAATAAAATCATTTTACAAAATTTTTAATTTAATTAAAAATAATAGATATAAATAAAAAATTAATAAATAAATTTTTTTTTAAAAAAAAGCTAATTATTTGATAATTAAATATTTTTTTTATCTTTGATAATTTTTTTGTTCGAATAAATTTTATTTATATATTAAAAATAATTTTTAGCAACTCCACCAAATACAGAAGAATTATGGATAGAGGATCAACATAAATATAGTTGCACTTTGAGTCCCGGTTATGTGTGTATAAAACATACATATTCTTACAATAATGCTGGTAAATATACTATAATATACTATTTATATACCTGGACTTCATTTTGAGGTTATGTTTGCCTATTGATCTACGATTTCTGTCCTAATTTTTGAGGTTATGTTCTTCTCTTTCTATTGTCCATGAACCCTAAAATGACCAAAATTTGTAGGTTATGATGCCATATTTCCATTGTGGAAATATCATAAAATGACCAAAATTTGTAGGTTATGTGCCCTTTTTTCATTGTGGAAATACCCTAACATGACTTCAATTTGGAGGTTAGGATGCCCTATTTCCATTGTCGAAATACCCTAAAATGACAAATTTGGAGGTTATGATGTCCTCTTTCCATTGTGGAAACACCCTAAAATGACCTAATTTCGGAGGTTATGATGCCCTTTTTTCATTGTGCAACACCCTAAAATGGCCTAATTTTGGAGGTTATGTGCCATTTTTCCATTGTGGAAATACCCTAAAATGACCTAAATTTGAGATGTTACGATACCCTATTTGCATTTTTAAAATACCCTAAACCCCTAAACTGACCTAAATTTCCAAATTATGATGTCCTATTTCCATTGTGGAAATACCCTAAAATGACCTCAATTTTTAGATTGTGGCCTTTTTTCATTGTGGAATTACTCTTAAATTACAAAAATTTTAAGGTTATGTTCTCCGTCATTCAGTTATAATTAGAAATTTTTATTAAAATTATTTTACATACAATTTGTTTAAAAAAAAAATCATATTTTTATATCACTTTTTATATAGTTATCAATAGTACGCACTTTTGTGGGAAAATGATAGAAGATAAAACATCCGCAGTGACATCAAAATGTTTTTCACAAAAGGTATTTTTTTTTCATTAATAAAATTTATTTAAAAAAAAATTTGATGATATTTAAATTTTCTCATTTTTCTTTTTTTTTTAATAAAGTCAAAAAATGATAGCACAATAATTTTTTGACTTTATTTATCACAAAAAAGAAAAAAATTTTTTTTTAAATCCAATAATTATTTAGTTATGTTAAAATAATAATAATTTGTAATTACCATTTTTTTAGATAGATGGTCACACAATTGAATCATGTGCATGTGTATCAGATCAAGGAATGCCTCCATGTAATTCTGCAAAAGTTCATCAATATTCCTATATAATTTTTCTTATATTGTTATTGATACAAATTATTTAAATTATTTTTATATTTAATGTTAATAATATTACTATTATAATTATTATTACTGTTATTATTATTATTTTATTATCATTATTATTATAACTATTATTTATTATTATCATTATTCATAATAAAAATAAATTATACAGAGGTAAAATTTTAAAATAACGAAATAATCGAATTGTTTGAATTTTCGCGCGTATATGAAACGAGCGCATGCGCAATTCTCAAATTCAAGCAGACGCCAAAATTTTTCTGTTTTGACATTTTGTTGTGACAGTTATAAACAATAAACAAAAATCTTCTGTATGTTGAGAACTTTAATGTCATTATTTAATTAATAAGAAAAAAATTTTTTTTATTAGTATCTTTTGTATAACAAAAGACAATTAATATGGAAAACGATTATTATTCGACGGTTTATTCTTGGTATGTATTAATACAACAATGCTATGTATTATATAAAATACAATACTATTTATTTATTTATTTATTAGGCCAAATAAAAATTTTGTTTCTCAAATTAACAATTGAAATTTTTAGCTTTTTTAAATAAACAAATTTTTTTTTTCAAGATCCAGTTGATCAATTTAAAAACAAACAAAAAAAAAATTTCTGTTTTCAAATATGTATAGTAGTATTTAAAAATTAATTTTTGTTTCAATATTTTTTTTAGTTTAGATAATTTTTTTTTAATAAATAAATAAATTGTTTATTTATAAAATGTTAATAAAAAAATTGTATTATTTATGTTTTATGAAAAATTTAAAAATTGTTCTATATTCCACATTTTGGAGTACAAAAACCGTTAAAAAAAAAATTATTTAATAAAAATTATTTAATTCGGTATAAAGTAATTTAATTAATTAATAATTAATACTTTTTTTTTATTAAAAACGATGTAAGCAATTAATGTTTAACTTTATAAGGTTCCCTTACATGTAATTATTATTTATATAAAATAATTATTTTTATTATTCAATTAATATTTAAATAAATAATTATTATTGAATAACTTTTTTTTTAAATTGATGATATTTTTTTCATCGGTTTTATACTCAGAAATTTGTGCAAAATACAAAAACATTTATTTAAAATTAAAAATTTTTTTTTAAATTGAAATTATTGACTATACAACAATTTAATTAATTATTATTAATTAACCAAACAATTAGCCAAAAATTGATTTGTTTCAATCAAATTTTTTCATCGTTCGAACAAATTATTTTTTTTAAATTAACAAAAAAATGTTAATATATTTGGTTCCAAAAAAAAAAAAAAAATTTTGTTCTAAGTGTAAAAATTATATAAAAAAAAAAATGTTTAATTTAAAATTTATTCCACAGGTTTGACAAATGTGGAATAATATCAAATATTCGAACTCATTTACGTCAAAATTTGGTAAACGCTTTAAAAAATAAAGATTTATCATTAAAATCCGATAGCAGTCGACCAAAATCAGCAAAACAATATGTTCACGATTTACTTATTGCCGAATATCTTTTCGATAGAAATTATGCATGTTCACTATCTGTTTTTGCAAGTGAAGCTCCACTACTTGTTAATTTTGCACGACAAGTATCAACAACATCAGGTGAAAATGAAAATAAACAACGTCTACAAACAGATTATATATCACATACACTCGATACATTAGGAATAAAATCTGACGAATCAGAAGGATTATCAATTATTTCCAAATATTTTGAATCTGAAGAACCATTATTACTTTGTATTCTAAATTCTCTTCGACAATTTTCTTTAATTAATAAAAATGAAACCAAAAAAGAAGAAAAAGAAAAATGTGGAAAAATATTTTGTGAAATTTCAACACAAACAGATAAAGAATTCACGAGGGAAGAAAAATTGGCAACAGCAAAAAAAAGATTATTTAAACAAAAAGAAATTTTTGATAATGAATTAAAAGAAAAGGAAGATAAATTAAGAGAGCAAGCAATTTTTGTTGATCGTCAACTTTTATTGTTGCAAAAAAAATTAGAAGAAGTTCAGGAATTAATGTATAATGTACAAACAAAGGAGAAAAATTTACATCAAGAAAGAGGTAAAGAGGAAGAAAGAATTATTAAAAAAGATATGGAACTCTCTGTTAAGGAGAAACTTCTTTCGCAAGAAGCTAATCGGTAAGTTTTATTAATTTCAATTAATTAATTGATTTTAATAAATTAATGACAAAATAAATAAATAAAATATTAAATTAATTATTTATTTTCAGATTAGAAAAAGAGAGAGACAGCTATAGAAAATTTGAGACTGATTTAAAGAAATTACAAGATGAATTATTAAAAGTAAAAAGAGAATTTCCAATATCAAAAAAAAATGATTATCGTGATATGCATACGCAAACTGATTTTGAGAGTTTTATTAATTTAAAACGTGAAAATGAAGAATTAAATAGTTTAATTAAACAACAACAATCACGAATTGAACAATTAACATTGAGAGCAGTTCGTCTCTCGCGACAAATGGAAGAAACACAATTAGAAAAAAGAAATTGTTTAGAATTACCAATAAATCCAATTGTTCAATTAACAAAAAATAATACAATTTTCAGTGAGAGTAGTTCAACTGAAGATTTAATTCATGACGCTAAAATGAGATTAAAACGTTTAGAGGAAGAAAGTACAAAAGCTGATCAGTATTATTATGATTATATTACAACATCTTAATGAATGTAGAAAATTAGTTTTGTATTTTGCAAAAAAAAAAAGAAAAATATTTTTGACAATTTTTTTTCTGTCGTAAATTATATATATTTATAATGTGTATTTAATTATTTATTTGAATAATAAAATAATATTTATAATTCATACAAAATATATTGTAATTTTGATTTGTTTTAATTATGAATTGAAGAAAAAATTTATTTAAGATAAGTATATTTTACTAGATAAATAATAATTATTAATTTTTACTTTGCTGAATGCTAAAATTGTAGAAGTTTAAATTATTGAAATGTTTATTAATAATATTTTTGAAGATTAAGTAAAATGGAATGAATGATTTTATTTATTGATGGAATTTTTTTAGTATGTATTTTTATTTGTACATACTTCTTTATTTATTAGAATTGTAATATATTATTTTATGTAATTATTAACATTTTTATTCTTCAATATCTTTTTACAATTCATTTTTTTAAAAATGAATTTGTATTGAATTTACAATTAATGTTTTGAAATTTTTGTTCCATTTATTTATTTTATAGTCTTTGGCCGTCTTTGTTGCTTCTATTTTTTGTCCATTTAATTTAATTTTCAATTTATGTTTCATAATTTATTACAATTATTTTATTAAATATTTCAAAATATTGTAAACAAAAAGCAAAAAGGCATGTAATTATAGAGAAAGTTTCAAACAGAAAAATAATAATCTACTATATTTGTAAAATTTGTCTGAAAATAATAATAATTGTTGAATAATTTTTTTTTTTAACTGAAAACACTTTTTTATTCAAGGTAATATTATTTTCATAATAATTTAATTTATTACAATTATTTTATTATTATTTAATAAATTTCATTATTTTAAAAAAGCGCGCGTTATTTTGGCTTGCATGCTAAAAAATTTATGAACAGTGAAGGCGCTCTCACACCTTTTTGGCTGCCTGCAGGTTACCATGGCAACGCATGAGAGTGAGTGCGACAGAAAATTTAAAAATTTGAATATTCAAATTTTCTGTCTCACTCACACTCGTGCGTTGCCATGGTAACCTGCAGGCAGGCAGGCAGCCAAAAAAGGTGTGAGTGCGCCATGAAATAGCAAAAGTACAATATTTAAAGAATAAGGAAATCTATTTAATAGATTAATTATAACGTTTAACAAGTTTAAATACATGTTTAATCTAAAATAGTCACTGTTTTCATTTTCTTAAAGAAATTGAATATCTCCAATGATAGTTAAAATAAATAATGTTTCAGAGATAATGTATTTATATTCTATTCATAATATATATGAGGCATTTTTTGTCAACTAAAGCCCCCCATCTCTCCAAAAATGGTTTAGATATAAAAAATCGGACAAGTTCTTAAAAATTCTATAAAAATAAATACTTTTAAATGCCGAGTGGCGTTTTTCAAAATTCATAAATGGCGGATCCAATATGGCGCCTAATTTTTTGAAAATTCATTGGATTCACTTGAAAATGGTTACTCGGGGGTTTTTGGGGTCGCTGATTACGAATCCGATGTTAGTTTTCAAAAATTCAAAATGGCGGATCTAATATGGCTGACTTTTTTTAAAAAAAATCATTAGATTCACTTGAAAATTGTTACTCGGGGGTTTTTGGGGTCGATGATTACGAATCTAATATTAGATTTTCAAAATTCAAAATAACGGATGCTTTTTAAAAAAATTTATTTCATCCATTTTAAAATTGAAGTAAAAGGTCTCTGTGTTTTACAGGGATGACACTGTCAACATATTAAGTATATGAAGCCCGCATTACTTTCTTTCACTTCGAAAGTAATTTTCCTTTTTTTATTTTTTTTTTCGTTTTTAATAATTTTTTTTAACAAGTAAATAAATAAATAATTTTTAAAAATTAAAAATTTTTTTTAATTGAATTTTTTACTTTTAAAAAATTATTTATTTATTTATTTGTTCAAAAAAATTATTAAAAACGAAAAAAAAAATTAAAAAAAAAATAAAAAAAGAAAAATTACTTTCGAAGTGAAAAAAAACAAAAGTAATGCTGGCTTCATATACTTAATATGTTGACAGTGTCAACCCTGTAAAACACAGAGACCTTTTACTTCAATTTTAAAATGGATGAAATAAATTTTTTTAAAAATCATCCGTTATTTTGAATTTTGAAAATCTAATATTAGATTCGTAATCATCGAACCCAAAAACCCCCGAGTAACCATTTTCAAGTGAATCCAATGATTTTATTAAAAAAAAGTCCACCATATTGGATCCGCCATTTTGAATTTTTAAAAAGTATCACTGGATTCGTAATCAGCGACCCCAAAAACCCCCGAGTAACCATTTTCAAGTGAATCCAATGAATTTTTAAAAAATTAGGCGCCATATTGGATCCGCCATTTTGAATTTTTAAAAACGCCACTCAGCATTAAAAAGTTTTTTTTTTAATAGAATTTTTAAGAACTTGTCCGATTTTTTTATATCTAAACCAATTTTGGAGAGATGGGGGGCTTCAGTTGACAAAGAATGCCTCATACTTAGTATATAGTTAAATCTCATAGAAAATTTTATTTTCTCTATTCTCGCGAAAATTGATTATCGCTATAAGGCGATATTAACTATACTTATAACTATTCCAGAGATTATTTTCGCTAGTTTATACAAAGTTTTTTTTTAGCGTGTGGGCCAATCAGGTGATTTCAACTAAATGTAGGTTATGTTCGTTTCTGATTCATAACAGCTGCAATCATTTACAACAAATAAATGCTTTGCAAGTGTATATTTATTAGAAATAAGTAAGTTATGCAAAATATATATGTGGAACAATAATTTAAGGTGATTTTCATAAAATGAATATTGATATTTAGATGCTCTGGGAAGCAAAGTTCATTTTTTTTTACATTCGATTTTTTCGACCATCGAGATATTTCGCGATACATTTTCATGTGCTTTGCATGCACTGTCTTTTTTAAAAAAAAGGATATTTAATAATAGTTTAAAATGTTTATATTTATCTTTTTTTTTACTTTATTTTTTATGTAATTTTCTTTTCATGAATTATGATATTTCTACGGGCGCACTCACACCTTTTGGCTCCCTGCCTGCAGGAATTGTCATGGCAACGTGTAGGAGTAACAGAGAGAGAAAATTCAAATTTGAATTTACTATCTCTGTTACTTCTTCACGTTGCTATGACAATTCCTGCAGGCAGGGAGCCAAAAGGTGTGAGTGCGCCCTCAATGTTAATTTTTTATCAATTTTAGTTTGCTGTGATTATTCGACGTTTTAAAAAATCGATGTTTTGAAAAATTAGTGTAATGAAAAGTCGACGTTTTAGAAAATTAGTGTTTTGCTAAATTGATGTATTGAAAATGTAATGTTTTAGCAAATCTATATTTTGACAAATTGATGATTTGGTTAGTCGATAATTTGGAGAATCGGTGTTTTGAAAAATCAATGTAAAGAAAAGTCGATGCTTTTGCGAGTCGCGAAGTTTTATAATATCAGTATATTTTGGTAAATCGATGAATTAAAAAGTTCATTTTTTGACAAATCGACGTTATAACAAGTCGATGAGTGTCCACGAGTGTAAAATATAAAAAGTCTCTACTCTTTTCGATCGTTGCGCCTACGCTTTTGACGGTTGATGTGAGAAACATTTAGTCTTATAAAGTGCATTTCCGGTCTTCTATGTAGTTTAGGAACCTATAAGATTCGTCCAAGTGTCAAAAACCGTCAAAACAATCAACACTGCCCGTTAGAAGGCGATTTATTTTGACATTTAGTTTATTTCATTTTAAATTAACAATTCTTGTCACTGTTCAAAATAAAGCACTTTATTTACAATAATTTTTTTTTTTATTGTTCAATTAAGACTGAAATATCCCTATAGTTACAATCGAAAAATAATTAACATTAAGAGCAACTTTAAAAAAACGCATAATTTGTATATAGTATAGACAATAAACAATTAACATTTTATAGTAAAATAATTTTTAATATATTAACCCGTTAAGATTTCTTAATAAATAAATATTTTATTTCTCCGTTATTTAATTATATTTTTATAACCAAAAAAAAAATATTGAAATTTTATAAAGTACATTGCTCCCCCAGACGAAAAGTGATTAATATCAATTACAAGCAATTGCTCAATGTGTAGTTATATTTTCAATTGAAATTAAAGTACATATAATCTACAAGTCAATAGAGATAATTTGTGATAATGTCAACATTCCCTTTATGTTGATAGTGCAAGTGGCATTTATTAGTAAACTTTCAAAGAATTAGAAACGACTATAAAATTAAAATTTTTTAAAAATTTTCCAAACTAAACGAAAGAAATTAATTTTCAATTAAATAAATTTCTAAAAAAAAAATCATGTTTAATCAAGAATTGCCGGATTTTTTACAAAATCAAGTGGAATTTTTTCTAAAAGATAAAAATCTTTCTAATTTAAAATTTCATTTTTCAAATGCATGTAATAATGGTGAAAATTATTTGGGATCATTGTATCGTGTTAAAATTAATGGTGAAAAAAATGGTGAAAATAAAGAATTACATTTAATTATAAAATGTGTTCCAACTGATGAAAAATTGAGAACTCTTTTAAGAGCTCCCGAAATGTTTCACAATGAAATTGCATTCTATGAAGAAAGATTGCCAATTATTAATAATTTAATGAAAGAATTTAATTTAGAATACAACGATTTTCCTGCTTACTATGGAGGTTGTAAAACACCAAAACAAGAGGTATTGAAAATTTTTTTATAATTTTTTTTTTCTTTTAAATTTTTAAATAAATTTTAATTATTCGAATTATTATATTTGACAAAAAAAAAATCCATTTAACTGAATTTCTCTATTATACAATTGTTATTTAAACGAATTTTTTTCGAAATTCAAATCTTAAAAACTGTGAAATTAATTATTTTCACTTTTAATGAAATTCTCAGAAAATTAAATTATTTTAAAAACAAATTTTCAATTAAGGGGAGAGATCGGTGAAATTTCAACACATCGAAATTAATGTTGTAAATTTTTTTTACCATTTTAAAAATTTTATTTTTTGAAAATATTAAAATTTCTTAAAAATCCATGCGATTAATTGTTCAGAATCATGAAAAAAAAAAAATCTACAAAAACATTGCCGATAAAAAATAATAAAAATTGTTGAACAAGTTGAATTTTTAAGGAATAATTGATAAACAAAAAATAATTGATTTTAATTAGCGGTAACAATTTTTTTTTAATTTTTTTGGAAACCAAAAATCATATTTCACTATAAAAAATGAAAAAAAAGTAATTTTTAACAATTTTACAATTTATTTTTATTTTTCAGAAATTTTATTTTTGGAAAAAATTGAATTTTTTCAAAATTCATATACGATTAATTGTTCAGAATTATGAAAAAAGTGTATAACAAAAAATTAGCAATAAAAAAATAATAAAAATTGCGACAGAAATTTAAGTTTTTGAGTTTTATTTAAAAAATTATTAATGAAATAATTGTTTTTCAAATTTTCATAGTATATTACAGTTTTAAATATTCAATATTCACAGAGAAAAAATTGACAACTTTAAATAGCCTTAATTTCGAAAAGTTTGAAATTTCAGCTGTCCCTCCTCTTAAAATTCTCTTAAATTCAAAAATTATTGACTAAAATTCATTTTACAAAAGTCTTTAGTTATTGAAATTTACGAAAATTTTAATTTAAAATCTCATAAAATTCAATTATTTCTAAAATTATCAAAAATTCTTCGTCAAATTAATCATTTTCAATAAATATTAATCAATTGTTTCAATTCAAACAATTTTTATCAACTTATTCAAAAAATCAATTATTTAAAACATTTTTAGATAAAAATTCTCCCCATTTTCCAAAAATTATTTTATTTTTAAAAAATGACTGAATTTTTTTTTTTTTTTTAACCATTTGATAAAATTATAAATTCATAAATAATTTACATACCTAAATCAGAATTGAAGTTTTTTTTTTTTTTTTTTTACAAAAGTAACTTTCATATTTTTTTTATAAATCAAAAATTTTGAAAATTCTTGAAAATTTGTCACAGTTTAATTTTGAAATACAGTATCTAAATAAAATTTCATAATAAGTTCCTGTGGATTTAATTAAAAACAATGGTTATTAGAAATAAGATGTATATAATATTAAAATTTTTAAAATCGACTTTTTTTGTAACTTTTCGATTATAAAATGAAAATTCATTCAAATAATAATTCTGTAATTTAAAAATTCGATAAATGAAATTTCTACTGTTAAATAATAATTTAAAGAAATAAAAATTCGATAAAAAGTAAATTCTTGGTAATTATTTATAAATTTGTATATTTTTTTTATATTTTTAATTTCTAAATTTTATTGACATTATAGATAATAAATAATAGTAATATCCCATATGTTCTTTATCTTATCTTATCTTATAAAAATTTAACTACCGATTCAAATCATAAAATTCAGGCATTTTTAACTATTTTTTTTTTATCAAGATTTTTAGATAAAAAAATATAACAATATATTTTTAAATTACACTAACGGATATCAATAAATATTATTTATATAAGAAATTGTTTGAGGGTCGAAATTATTATTTTTAGCAAAATCGAATTTTTATTTAAAAAAAAAAAATTATTTGTTTCAAATAATCGGTTATTTGAACCTATTATCAAATAAATATCAAATTATTATTATTTAAGTTAATGAAATCGTATTTGTTTTAATTATAAAAATTATTCCAATATACAGTTTATTTAATTTTAATCAATTTGTCTGAAATAAATATTTATTTGATAATAGTCAAGTAAACGATTATTTTTTATTATTATTATTATTTTCCAGTGTAAGAATTTTTATTTAACAAGAATTTCTAGTCAAATTTTTAAATAATCTGATTTTTGAGTTTATCGAATTTTTAAATATAATTTACATTTAATGGAATTTATATATTTATGGAAAAATTTTCATTAAAAATTAATTTTAACAGAATTTTTCTTTAATTGAATTTTTTTTTATTCGAATATTAAATTAATATAGTATTTTAATTTAACTGAATTTGCATTTAACAGAATTTTTAAAAAATAAAATTCTTATTTAATTAAATTTTAATACTAAAAAAAATTTTTATTTAACTGAATTCTCATTGAAAAGAATTTTTACATAAATCGCTTGACTATAATTTTATTTTTAAAAAAATATACCTAATTAATTATATTTAAAAAATATAATTTTATTGATTCTTATAAATTCAAAATTTGGATAAAAAGTTATTTTGTATTTTTTTTTTAAATTATATCAACAGTAAAATAATAAAGAAAAATTAATTAGATCGGAAAATTTACTTTTGTAATTTCATAGATTCTTATTTTGGAAGATTTAAAAACTCAAGGATTTGTATTGAAAAAAACAAAAGTATTAGATTATCCCCATGCAGTACTTGCAATGCGTCATCTTGGCAGATTTCATGGTTATAGTTTTGCAATTCGTGACAAAAAGCCAGCAGCATTGGAGACTTTTCAAAAAATGAAAGAAGCCTTTTTCCACAAATCAGGCTGCTTTACTGAAAATATTAATTTAATTCTGGACGCTGCAATAGTGGTAATTTTTTTTTTCAAATTTTAGTATTTCTATTACATTATTTATTTGGTTTAAAAAAAAAAAATAAATAAATTTAATAATAATATAAAGGAAAAATTTCAATCGGAGAGAAAAATTGAAAAAAGTCCTTAAAATAGAGTTTTGAATGAGAATTCTATTTTTTTTTCTAGAGAAATATTCTTATTTAACAAAGGAAAATTTAATGGAATTTAGAAATAGAATTTTTTCAAATTCCTAGATAAGAAAATAATGTTATTTTTAAAAAATTCAATTTTTGAAAATAATTTTATATAAAAATTCGAATTTTTATTCTTCGTAGGCTGTAGAAAACGAAGGAAAACATTATGTGGATAGAGTTAAGCAACTAAAAGAAAATTCAAAAGAAATTCTTGATTATGCATGTGATAGTAAAAATTCAGAACCGCATGCGGCTCTCAGTCACGGTGATTTATGGACCTACAACATGTTATTTAAATACAATGAAGTAAGTGAAAATATTTTTTAATTTATAAAAAATATAAAGAAATTAAAGAAAAATCGAATTTTACAAATATATTTAAGGAAATATTTTTACTAATATTTGAATAAATAAATAATATATTATTTAAAAAAAAAATGGGGCGCATAAATTTAGTTAATATTTTCATTTTAATGAATTTTACTAGATATAATTATTTTTTTTTGGGGTATTTAATAAAAATTTGTAAAATGAAAATTAACCATTTAATTTTATCGTAAATTCCATGCGCCAAAAAAAAAAAAAAAAAAAAAAAAAAAAATGAAATACTTCATGAAATAAATTTTTTTTATAGAATTCAGAACCGAAAGATATTCGTTTTTTGGATTTTCAATTAAACAGATATGCTTCACCTGTAATGGACATTCTTTATACATTCTACACTTGTCTCACACAAGAAATGAGAGACAAATATTTTGACAAATTATTACATCATTATCATGATTCATTAGGTGAATTATTGAAAAAATTTAATTCTGATGTTGAAAAATTATTTCCATTCAATGTTCTTTTGGAACATCTTCAACGTTTTGGACGTTATGGAGCTTGTATGTCTATTATTGATATACATGTTTTTACTATTCGCGATGAAGATAATGCGGAACCACTTTTTTATCTTGATTATCTTAAAAAATTGCCTGCACTTTTAAAAACTAATAAATTTTATCATCAAATGTTGAAAGATTCAATAAAAGACATGGTAGATAGGAATTATCTATAAAAATCCATTTTTTAAAAAAATAATAAAATATATATATTGGGAAATTTTTATCTAGATAGTCAATTTTATATTTTAATGATGTAATTTTAGTAAATTTTTCACTAATATTGAAAAATTGTAGAATTTAAATATAAATTGAGGAGAAAATATTTTTATTAGCCGTATTTTTTAATTTGTTAATCGTACAAAATGTTGATCCAATTTAATAAATAAAAAATGATAATAAAAAAAAAAAAATACTTATCAAATACTTACGTATTATGAAATTTTCTATAAAATAATATTTTTTTTGCCTTGGCATGTTATATCAAACACTGAACGCATTGAAGTGTAAAAAATAATATATGTTAATTTCAATAATCTATTTCAATTAAGTAGCGCCTTCAAATTTTACAAATCTATTAATAATATATATGATACATTAATTTTTTTATATTTACATTAATTGATTATTTTTTTTTTTTTATCAGAAATTTTAATATTTTTTACAATTGTATCAATAAAGATAATAGAAATGTATAGCAATTATAAAAAGAACTCAATTTTTTTTTTTTTTTAGTTACACAGTCACAAGTCTCATCTATTACTACTTATATTAATAAAAAGTAACAAAAAATTATATAAAATATCGTACTAACTATATTTTTCAACTTCTTCAGGAGAAAGAAAAAAATTCTCAAATTTTATAAGCAAAAATAAAGAGAAATAAATAACAGGTATGAAAATTTTTTTGTTTTTAAGTTACAAAATTGGTATTTACAAAATCGACATTAGAGAAATTGAAAAAAAATTATTTTAAAATTAAAATTTAAAATATATAATTATATATATATATATATATATATATATATATATATATATATATAGTAAGATGTTGTGTTGTTTGAGGTATAATCCATATTTATTTATTGTTATTTAATTAACATTAGCTTTCGCCCATCTACGCTGGGCCTCTTCAGATATCATTATAACTGTAAGAATATAATTTTATGTAAAGTTGTAACAGTGAATTTTTAATGTTATTTATAAGATGGTAAATACGAATAGAAGAAAAAATTCAAATTTAATAATTTTAAAATGTAAATAATTTTTTTGAAATAAAAAATTTTTTTATAGATTAATTTAATATTTTTTTAAAATAAAAATTGATGACATGTGCAAAACATAACCTCAAACATACCAATGTGGATTTTTTCCTCTCATTTAAAAAAAAATTTTTTTAAAAACGTTGTTATTTAAAAAGAATTTAAAAAAAAATTTTTTTTATCATTAATATTTTTTCTTTTTTAAACATAATGTTGAGGTTATATTATCAGGAATGATAATTCAATTAACAAAAAAACCGATATTATTTCTTTAAATCAAATATACCATTCTCTTATCATTAACACTAAATAATAAATTAACTCTTTTAAATCTAATTTTATTGTGACTGTTGGTCTGTTTTTAATTGATTATATATATTAGATAAATTTCATCGTTTCAAAATTTCGCGCATTAATGATAAAATAAACACCCTCATTATCATCCTATAAGATTGCACACTTATGGTAATATTGAACTCTCCTCATTTTTAAAAAATTATCAGTTAACACTTCTCAGTTTCATCACACGTGTTTGCACATTTGAATGTGCACTACACCTCAACATTATGTTTAAAAAAGAAAAAATATTAATGATAAAAAAAAATTTTTTTTTAAATTCTTTTTAAATAACAACGTTTTTAAAAAAATTATTTTTTAAATGAGAGGAAAAAATCCACATTGGTATGTTTGAGGTTATGTTTTGCACATGTCATCAATTTTTATTTTAAAAAAATATTAAATTAATCTATAAAAAAATTTTTTATTTCAAAAAAATTATTTACATTTTTAAATTATTAAATTTGATTTTTTTCTTCTATTCGTATTTACCATCTTATAAATAACATTAAAAATTCACTGTTACAACTTTACATAAAATTATATTCTTACAGTTATAATGATATCTGAAGAGGCCCAGCGTAGATGGGCGAAAGTTAATGTTTTGTAAATTTTTATTTAATTCAATAATTCCACTTTTTCATAATTTCAATGAATAAAAATAGAAAATTATATCATTATTTGAGAAGTAAACTTTGAAAATATATTTTAATCATATTTTACAATAAATCAACAAAAATTTTAATACATTTAAATAATTTAATACATTTCGTTATCTTGATAATATTCAAAATTATTTCTCCAAAATATTATTATTTTTTTAAATCACTTTGTTTGAAAAATAAAAATACTAATATATCTTCTTTTATTTTGCAGATCGAAACTACAATGCAAAAGTTTTCATAACTTATAGTTAGTCAAAAAGTATTTAATTTTTCATACATATATTGAAATATATATAATAATAATTATTATAACTTGAAAAAATTTCAACATTTAAAAATGAATATAATACCACCAAATCCACTACAGACAGTACAATTAATACCTGTTTACAGTTATTTATGCCTACTAAGTGATTTTTTAATTGATGAAAATTATTTGCCAGAAATGAATCATACTAAACAAATACCAGTTATTAATGCACTTTATAAATATTTAGATGATAATCGTAATAGACAATTTATGAAAATTAAATTAATTAGAAATATATTAATGAGAAGTGATCTTTATGGTGGTGAAAGAAGTGAAAAAATTGACATCACTTTCGTTAATGCAATGTTTGACTATATCATTAGTTCTCTTGTATTTGACAAATATGGTAATATTTATGGTTTCTTAACGGAAGTTTTTCGCATGGCAGAAAATTTAGAAATTGATTACATATTAAATATAACAAGAAAACATCTTCAAAATGCATCATTTGAAAATGAATATGGTGATAGATCAATTTTAAGTTCATTAGCAGTGAATAGAATATACAACGATATAATATTGCCTCTATTTCCTCGACCAAAGACAAATATTAATTTATCTTCTTTTGATTATATTTATGCACAAGCTGGTTTAATGTTTCTTCAACTTGGTAAACAAAATCCTGTCTATTATTGTGATTTAGGAGAATGTAATTCGATAAGTTTGAATTACGATAAATTATTTGATGAATTTGTAATAACTGGACATTTAATTGAAAAATTATTTTTATCTCAAAATAAGAATTTGCAACTATTAAAAGTTTTTGCACTACCAGCTCTTTCTTATTATATGTTTAATACAAAATATTTATATGCTTATGAAAATATAGCAAATATTATTTCTGATTCAAATTTTTGGCGTCAAGCTTATAGGGATTTATTTCAATATACATTCGATGCTTTTAATAATACAAATGATCCATTAAGTATAAGATCAAAATTTTTAGAAACTATATGTGGTGAAACAGTACATAATTATTTGAAATTTGGAGGGGAATATATGTTTTTAGGAAATATAAATAATTTTGAAGCTTTACGAGAAGAATATAGATTATCTTTAAGTAAAGTTTTAAGTAGAAATAGAATATTTAAAGATATTTCTTTACATATTGAAGATCCTGCATTTGAATTCAACTTTATAACTAAGGACGATATAAATTTACTGGAAAATATAACTTATGTTTTAATATCAAAAATTAATTTAAATTTGACATTTATTAAAAGTGCACTTTACATCATGAAAATATTAAAATCAAACACTATTAGAATCGTTGGTGCTTTTGATGGACACACGAGAAAATTAATTTATGTTCATACTGTTAATAATCAAACAATTACTGGTTATGGTTATAAGTTTATGTCTTTATCAGAAAATTTAACGGAAAATGTATATTTAAGAACTGATTATGAATTGGAAAATGAAAGTTTAGTTTTACTAATTGATGATATTTTAGAATGTGAAGAAAGATATATTATCCTAAATACAGAAACTCTTAAACATGAACCTAATTCTTTTATGTACAATTACAATAATCAAATTCGAAATAAAAACACTAAAGTTTCATTTTCTGGAATATCAATCTATCACGATGATGATAATTGTAATAACGATACATATTTCCAATATTCTAAAGATCAACATGTTTGTCTAAGACAATGGAATTTAATGACTAAACTTGGGTTTATGGAAAATATTGTAAAATTTGTACAAGATAATACAAATCTTTCTGAAGGAGAAATACATACAACATTAAGTAAATACACATTTCCAGATAATACATCATTGGAGTGGTTTGCTGAAAATTGGATGGAAAATAAAAAGTTAAAAGAACCTAGTTGGTATAAAAATTACATAATAGACAATCCTCAACATTTTAATATATTAAGGTACAGTTCTCGTCTTGAAAAACACCGCATCTTCGATACTGATGGTATATTTAGGATTCACTCCATTTACTCATACAGAGAAAGACGAAGAATTGAAAAAGAAACTTCAATTAAAAATATAATTAAAGATTACAACGATCAGAAAGCATATTTTTCAGCTACATTTGAAGATTATTATGCTGTTCGAAATTACGCTACAACAGGATATAAAAGAATAACTGCGGATACAAATGAAGCAAAACTAATGAAACTTGCTTTATATAATTTAGCAATAAGACAATCTGACGATCCTATTCAGGAATATGAATCAAAACTTTTTATTGTTGAATCTAAACGTAATAGTGATGGTAAAAATAATATACTCCTTAAAAAAACAATAACTCTACAAAAATTTACAATAGCTTCTACAGATTTGGAAACTGCTATGAGATTTGCTGTTTATCCAGCGGATGGATTTATAAATGTCATATATGAAATGAAATTCAGCGGACCGTATATAAAGGTGAAAATAGATCAATTTTATAATAGTAACGAGAAGAAAATAATTCTTTTGCCTGGTAGTGAATTTACTGTTACAAGTAATAATAGAATAAAATATATTGAAAAATTGGGTACTGTTTATGTATTAAAATTAGAGTTTAAACATGATATTATGGAAAAATACTCAATGTATAAAAAGATCATGAATGAAATGGAGCAAATTCAGTTTTGATATAGTTAATGAAAAGTTTCCTGACAAATTTGTAAATTTAATAAAAATTTAAAAATAAAGAAAACATTTCTTTGTCTTGGAGTATAGTAAAAATAATTTTTGTTAAAAACAATTTTTTTGTATTGAGTAAATAAATTGTTGAATATTAATCCTCAATTTTAAGAAAAAATTATTTGCATATCATGATTTTCTTAATTTACTTTACTTATTTTTTAAATATAATAAACAAAATAAATAAATAGAAAAAAATAATAAACAATATTTTTTAAATAAAATATGTTTAAATAATAATTTAATTTTTTTAAAGATAAGTTCAAATAAAAAACAAAACTAACTTACCTTTAGATGCCTGTGAACCATTCCCAATGAGAAAGTTGATCCTGTTCTTTTTAAATGCAGAAAACTGAAAGAGTACAACATTAAAGTTTTAGTTAATTTAAAAAATTTCAATAAAACAAACAAAACACTAAATTTATATTTTAATATTTTTTTTATTAAGAATTTCGAGAGACAAAACGTTTCTGGTACAAGAATGAAATTAATAAAAAACTATTTCTAGAATTTAGACATATATGTATCAAGTCCGCTGTATAGTTGAAAACAAATAATTCAAATTTTAATGTTCCTTATTACGATAAATTTTGAATTCAAACAAACATACATATAAAATTTTTATATACACGCACTATTTACATACTTATAATATTTATACATATATTTACACTATTTACATTTTTATAAATATAAAATAAAAAACATACAATTAAAAATAAGTACAATAAAAAATATATATACAATGAAAAACATATTTTACAATAAAAAACATTTATACAAAAATGAAATAAATGTTAAAATGAAAAGACACCATTTCATTATTATATTTTGGACAAAGCATCTCCAAAAACCTGAATATTCTTATAAGAAAGATAATCAAAAATTTTATTAACAACGAGAACAGGTAAAGGTTTTGTTTCACTTAAATTTGTTAAGAAATCAGTGATATGATCGACAGAATCTCCTAAATTTTCAATTTGTAAAAATCGTCTTCTAATTAAATAGGCATAGCAGGGAAACTTTGCACTCATATTTGAAATGGAAATTAACTCATTTGTTAATTTCACATTTCTAATAATCCGTATAACACTTGAAAAATTCCCTGTCAAGAAATCGTAATACGAAAAACGCCTATCTTTAAAAATCATCGTTTTTTTCAGAGTTACAACTTCTAATTTCGATTCAGCAAAAAAATTTAATGCTTTGTCATGGTCACTAGGTTTTATATAATTATTAACATAGTCACCTAACTCATTATATTTAAGAGCAATAATCGCTATAAGAACTTGCAATCCCCGACCAACTGTCGACCAAGTATTGGACACTCGCTGTAATTCCGAAGATTTAGGCAGTTTCCACAAATCATCGGAACCTAATTCTAATAATTTTAGAACTACCTCCGGTTTATTAAAACAGGCCGACATTTGCAAAACCGTCCAGCCTTCAAAACTAATAGCATGGAGGTCGGCTCCATGGTAGACCAATTTTTCGATTGTTTGTAAGGATGGCTGTTTTTCCATCCACACAGCAGACATTAAGGGAGTGTGTCCCAAGGAATTTTTTGTTTCCATGCTATGCCCCTTTTTAACTAGTAAGTCAATCATATCAAGGTCATTGTTCATGACCGCAATATGCAGAGCAGTGTTACCCCTATATTCCGGAATTTCGCAAATCGGTAAATATTCAAGGAAAATTGCCATCTCCCTCAAACGTCCATTTTCACAGACGCTGAAAAATGGATTATAATTAAATTTTCCTTGAATAAATGGATTTGCACCATTCTCGAGTAATAAAGACAAAATGTTTGTATGAAAAATTGTATCCGGTACGTAACACAACTCATGCATCTCGCTGATGAAATATTTAAGGGACGAGTTTAAAACATGCCTAGCATCGCTGTCCCCACACACTAAGTGTAAGGGATTGCTTGGACGATGAGAATTTGTAATAAAATGGGATTCAAAGTTTAATATACAACGTTGGCTACAAAGAAAATGCATTGGATCATTTGAATAGCAGGAATTTGGATTGCTTTCCGCTCCAAAAGCTAATAAAAGTCTACATATTTCCTCATTTCCAAAATATGAGGCATAATGAAGTGGTGTCAATTCGTCGCGTGTTTTACAATTTGGATCGGCTCCTTCATTTAAAAGGAATTTAGCCGCTTCCTCATATTGTAAACATACTGCATAATGCAATGCAGTTTCACTATATCGTCCTCGATAACTAATTTCAATCGGAAAAAATCTCTCTATTGTCTCATTACTTCCTTGCTTATTAAATAACGGTCTAACATAACAAGAATTTTCTTCTAAATATTTTTCACAATCCTCTAAAATTATTTGTAAAATATTTTTATTTAAAATTTTAGCTGCAAACAAAATTAATAATGGATAATCAAGAAATTCGGGTTTAGAATATTTTTGAAGTTGTAAAAGAGCTTTTACAACTTCCTCGGTATTTTTAAATTCACAAACTTCGCTATACTTAAAATTATTATTTAAAATCGCAGCCGTCGAAAAAAGATTGTTAAAATTTAAAGGAAGTCTGTTTACGATGAGACGAACAACTTCCTCAGAACCGAATATTAATGCTTGTCGAAGTAAATTCCAATCATTAATTCTACTATGATTTAACAGTACCTTCACCATGTCCACAGAATTTTGGAGAGCGTAGAATAATGGAGATTGCTTCTGCTTGTTCCAAAGGTAAATATCTGCTCCAAGCTGACACAATATGAGCGCAGCTTCAGGTGATCCCTCCTTAGCGATTATATGTAGGAATGAATCACCATATTTATCAGCTTGCTGAACCGTTCCACTCGATGCTATCTCATTGATGCGAAGCAGATTATTTTGCTTCACTGCTTGCTTGAAGCTCCTCATGACATTATTTGAGATAGTGCTTGATGATTTTACTACGAATGCCATTTTATCAGATATTGTTCAGGAAATTGTCTAATTGTTCTGAAAAAGAAAAAAATATTTTCAAATGATTTACATTTCATAATGCATAATACAAATTTATATGCAGCAATTATATATTATTTAAATTTCTATAAACTTTGCGTAAAACAAGAATTTTTAATTCTTCTAAATGATCGGATATCTGCTATATTCTAATTAATAACGGAACACACAGTTGCCAATAACGCAATTGCGCTTTGACAACTTATATAGGTCTAAAAAGAATTTGATTACATAAATATCGCCAAAGTCTTAACTCGAGAGTTGCCAAGACAAAATGTATGGCGCTCTTTTTCATTGGAATAACAGAATTTGAGGGTAGGTTCTAGCAAGGCAGCATCACCTATATTGAAACTAAAATTGCGAAAATTTTTTACAGTGTATACTTGAAAAAAAGAAAATAAAATGCTTTGTCTTTCAGGATAATTGATTATTGTCAAGCAATATACTAGCAAAAACTTTGTTTGAGTTCAAATAATGATAAATAATAAACCAAAAATTATAAATAGGTATTATTCTTTTTTCATTAAAAATTAGTATCAAATTATTTTTTCAATTTCAAAAAATACCATTTCGTACGCTTTTTAATGCTTTAATTTTTTTAAAAATATTTTTATTTTAATGTCCTAACTGTTAATATTTATTTTACCCATTTTTTTATGCGTAAAATATTAAAATTTGCAAATAAAAAAATTTAGAAATAAAATAAAAGTTTATTTTTTTAAACCACAATAAACATAGATGAAAAAATGTAAAATAATAATATGTAGATAATATTATCTATAATATGTACGAATAGTAATATTATTGTTGTACAAATAATAAAGATAGTATGAAATTTCTACCACGTTAAAAGTATAAAATTTTTTTTGTAAATATTGTAAACAATTTTACTGCATCAAAATTTTATATTAAAAACAATTCCATGTAAAAAATATATATTTTTTTTTAATTTGAAAATTACGATCAGTTGAAATATTATTGTGATTTTAAAGACTTCATCTTTTAAATAAAAATGGGATTTTTTAAATTTTTGGTGCTTTTCCTTTTCTGCACTTTTGTCGCAGTTAACTGCCATCCTCCTGTTCCGAGAAGAGGCAGTAAGGTAAAATTTATTAAACATTATTAATTTAGAAAATTTAAAGGTATTAATAAGTGGGGTGCCAATAACTGGTTTGCCCTGGCGTATTCGATTTGCGTAATGTCTACTTAACTAAGCGGACTTTACGTAGACATTAGGTAAACATGTAAAAAAACGTATAGAAAAGCTATTACTCGACTTATTATGATAAAAAAAAGTTGATAAAAGGGTAAATGAATGTTTATAGAGTAAATTCGTACAAAATTTGTAATTAATAAAGCATTAAATAATTAATAATGAATGGAAATGTGCGCGAGGTACCTGATCAGTTCAGCTGTACAATTATTTTCGTGCTATTTTCATGAAAAGAATATAAATTAACGGCAAAAACAACTGATATTTATAAAAAAGTGTAAAATTGATTTAATTTGAGTGTTTGCAATACGAATTATTAAATAATAATTAAGTTTTTATCAAATGTGAATAGTGTTGTGAAAACCTGTGAAAACTAATGAGTTACTACATTACCGATCGCATATGATAATAAAAAGTTCTCGATGAGTGTAACAAAAAAGCTGCAATCATGTCAGTAATTTTGGACGAGAAACAATTATGAAATCAATAATTATTTGTATAACTTTATTCTGCATTTTAAAATTCACTTCTTATTTTCTTTCAAAGCAAAAGCTTGGAAGAAAACATGCTCGCACTGTATTGTAAGAACTGGTGGCGCCATCTCTGCATTCCCGGAAATTATGTACTTGGTTAAATTGCAGTTTTTGTTACACTCATCGAGAACTTTTTATTATCATATGCGATCGGTAATGTAGTAACTCATTAGTTTTCACAGGTTTTCACAACACTATTCACATTTGATAAAAACTTAATTATTATTTAATAATTCGTATTGCAAACACTCAAATTAAATCAATTTTACACTTTTTTATAAATATCAGTTGTTTTTGCCGTTAATTTATATTCTTTTCATGAAAATAGCACGAAAATAATTGTACAGCTGAACTGATCAGGTACCTCGCGCACATTTCCATTCATTATTAATTATTTAATGCTTTATTAATTACAAATTTTGTACGAATTTACTCTATAAACATTCATTTACCCTTTTATCAACTTTTTTTTATCATAATAAGTCGATTAATAGCTTTTTTATACGTTTTTTTACATGTTTACCTAATGTCTACCTAAAGTCCACTTAGTTAAGTAGACATTACGCAAATCGAATACGCCAGGGTGGCAATGTTTAGAGTGCCAATAACTGTAACAGAACGAATACTAAAGAAGTTTCTGTTAATTAGAATATTTTACCATATTTTTAATCAAAAGTGATCATTTTTCTGAATTCTGCATTAAATTTTGAATCGATATAATATCATAAGTGACAGATTCTTTAATCATTTAAATGCTTATTTAATTCATGAAGTCGTAAATTCAGCTTAAGGTGCCAATATAATATAAAGTTTATTTTATTTAGCTCCGCATTGACCAGTATCGACTTGACTCTTCATCTAACATACCTTTAATAATTATAAGATGCATACAGGAAGTGGAAAACAGAGGAATGAATAATATAAACTTATATCATGGTATACTTATGAAAGAGAATGAAAAAAATTTATTCAGAGAATTAAAACTTTCTAATAATGTCGATTTATCGCAATATTCACCTCTGACATTTCCAAAAATTATCAAACATTTTTTGAAGTAAAAAAAACAATCAATATAATTATCACAGTTTTTTCTATTTTTTTATTATCATAATAATTTTTTTTTAAATTTACTTTAGGGATTTACAGCCACATTTGATTGCTCATTATGTGACTAAAAAATTGTCACAAGCTGTAGAATCAACAGTTGATTTCAAAAAATTAAAAGCACTGATTAACGAACTTCCGCTTGTAAACCGAAAAACTCTTGCATTGCTGATGATACATTTAAAACGACTAGTTTTAAAAAATAAAAATAGCGCTTTACAATCGGAATTAAACTTCTATTATAGAGGCTCTATTTTTTCTCAACATATCCCTGCAGATAATCAGAGAAAAGTAGATGAATTTTCAATTTATTCTATTTTTACAATTATTGTATACGAAAAATGTTGGTATTTTGTTAATTATTACATTTATTATTTACAGATTATTGATGCTTTTTTTTCTCTTCCATTCGAATATTGGAATTCCATTACTAATTATACTTCAATTGTGAGTATAAATAAATAAATTTAAAAATATTTTCTTGTGAATTTTTCAATTTTACTTATTTCTAAAAGAGAAACAAAAATTCAATTAATAAATTAAGTAGAAATTGAATAAAATGAATAAATTTTTTTTTTGACATGTATTTTAATAACTTTTTTTTCTAAATTAAATAATTTGACCTTATTATTGAAATAAACAGATCACGATTCGTCAAGGAGAAAACTCGGCAATAAATGCTGAAGATGATGAAGTGGTAAAAAATATTCAATATTTTCAACGTACAAGAAATAATAATTTACTTGTGCATTTAATCCACATATTTAGAAAAAGGGTGAAATGTGACTAATTATAATTATCTATTTTTGAGTCTAAAACACTTTATTTAAAGAAAACATTGAAAATTAGAAGACCTTTTAGCAAACTTGAATTTTTTTGTTCATTATAATAGAGCTGCCGGATCAAAGAAGGGAGCATAACTAATGTAATTCATATGGATTATGCGTCATTCTTTGATCCGGCAGCTAAATTATAAACTAATCCTATTAAAAAGAAAAGAAAATATTTTTTTAAGTACATAGTTTTCTCATTTTAATGAAAATTTTTCCTCTTTTTATTCTAATAAGCAGAATCATGTATTATCGCTAGTTGAAGTTGACACAATGCAGGAATCTTCAGATGAAATGCAATCAAAAAAGGTTAAAAATGATTAAATATTTTTTAACAGAAAATATAGTTTTTAAAATTAGTATAGTATTTAATTTTTAAATTAGAAAATTTTTAATATTCATTTATTGTCAGTAATTTGTAAAAAAAAAATCTTTAACAATTCAATTCTTAAAAAATTTTAACTGAAAATCTCTTAAAATTCAATTATTTAAACAAAAAAAAATAATAATTTAAAAATTATTGATAAACTTTTTTTTATTTAGAGCATTGACCAGTATCGACTTGACTCTTCATCTAACATACCTTTAATAATTATAAGATGCGTACAGGAAGTGGAAAACAGAGGAATGAATAATATAAACTTATATCATGGTATACTTATGAATGAGAATGAAAAAAATTTATTCAGAGAATTAAAACTTTCTAATAATGTCGATTTATCGCAATATTCACCTCTGACATTTCCAAAAATTATCAAACATTTTTTGAAGTAAAAAAAACAAAATTATCCCAGTTTTTTCTATTTTTTTATTATCATAATAATTTTTTTTAAAATTTACTTTAGGGATTTACAGCCACATTTGATTGCTCATTATGTGACTAAAAAATTGTCACAAGCTGTAGAATCAACAGTTGATTTCAAAAAATTAAAAGCACTGGTTAACAAACTTCCGCTTGTAAACCGAAAAACTCTTGCATTGCTGATGATACATTTAAAACGACTAGTTTTAAAAAATGAAAATAGCGTTTTACAATCGAAAATAAACTTCTATTATAGAGGCGCTATTTTTTCTCAACATATCCCTGCAGATAATCAGAGAAAAGTAGATGAATTTTCAATTTATTCTATTTTTACAATTATTGTATACGAAAAATGTTGGTATTTTGTTAATTATTAAATTTATTATTTACAGATTATTGATGCTTTTTTTTCTCTTCCATTCGCATATTGGATTTCTATTACTAATTATACTTCAATTGTGAGTATAAATAAATAAATTTAAAAATATTTTCTTGTGAAGTTTTCAATTTTACTTATTTTCCAAAGAGAAACAAAAATTCAATTAATAAATTAAGTAGAAATTGAATAAAATGAATAAATTTTTTTTTTGACATGTATTTTAATAACTTTTTTTTCTAAATTAAATAATTTGACCTTATTATTGAAATAAACAGATCACGATTCGTCAAGGAGAAAACTCGGCAATAAATACTGAAGATGATATGCGAAATGAAGTGGTAAAAAATATTCAATATTTTCAACGTACAAGAAATAATAATTTATTTGTGCATTTAATCCACATATTTAGAAAAAGGGTGAAATGTGACTAATTATAATTAAGTATTTTTGAGTCTAAAATATTTTATTTAAAGAAATCATTGAAAATCAGAAGACATTTTTGCAAACTTGACTTTTTTGGCAACAACTTTTTTTGTTCATAATTGAGCTGCCGGATCAAAGAAGTGCACACAACTAATGTAATTCAAATGGGTTATGTGCTTTTCTTTAATCCGGCAGCACAATTATAAACTAATCCCATTAAAAAGAGAAGAAAATAAAATAATTTTTTAAGAAATCAGTTTTATCATTTTAATGAAAAATTTTCCTCCAATGTAAAACGAAAGATGTTAATTTAATAACAACTTTAGGTTCTAAATTGTCATTTGGTTCTATTTTTATACCTTAAATCGGTATTATTTTAGTACTCTCTTTTTAAAATGTCTTTTTATTCTAATTAACAGAATAATGTATTATCGTCAGAAGATGTGTCAATGCAGCAAAATTCAGATGAAATGCAACCAGAAATGGTAAAAAATTATTAAATATTTTTAACAAAAAATATCTTTTTGATAATTGGTATATTTTTTAATTATTTAATTAGCAAAATTTTTAATATTCATTGATTGACTGTAATTTGTAGAAAAAAAAATTTTCAGTAATTTAATTATTCATACAAAAAAAATAGTAAATTTAAAAAATATTAATAAAGTTTATTTTATTTAGCGCTTCATTTCAAATTATGCACTTGACTCTTCATTTAGCATACCTTTAATAGTTAAAAGATGCATACAGGAAGTGGAAAACAGAGGAATGAATGAACCATTATTATACTTTGAAATTAGCTACGAAGAGAATGGTAAAAAATTATTCACAGAATTAACTAACAATCACGTCGATCTATCGCAACAAAATCCTCTGATAATTGCCGAAACTCTCAAATTCTTTTTGAGGTAAAAAAAATCAATCAAGATTACCTCATGTTTTTCGTACTTATTTTTATTATCATAATAATCTTATTAAATTTATTTTAGATTTTTAAAGTCACCTTTGATTGTTCCTGAACTGATTAATGAATTTTCACAAGCTGTAGAATCAACAGTTGATTTCGAAAAATTAAAAGAACTGATTAACAAACTTCCGCTTGTAAATCGAAGAACTCTTGCATTACTGATGACACATTTAAAACGAGTCTTAAAACAGAATCACGTTTCACAAATGCAATTAAACATAATTTTTTAACATCTTTTTTTTCATTGTTATGCGTCTCCAAATATTGCGGGAATAGTAAATGAATTTTCAATTTTTTCTATTTTCATAATTATTCTGTGCGAAAAATTTTGGTTATTTTGTTAATTTTATTAAATTTATTATTTGCAGATTCTTGATGCCTTTTTTTCTTTTCCATTCAAATATTGGAATTTAATTACTAATTATACTTCAATTGTGAGTATAAAGTAAATAAATTTTCATAATAATATTCTTATCGATTTTTCAACTTTACTTATTTCCCAAAAAGAGACACAAAATTCAATTGTCTGACATTTCTTACTCGGTTTTCGATGTCGCTGATTACGAATCTGACATCAGTTTTTCGAAATTTAAAATTGTGGATTCGCAATATAGCGAACGTCAAAATTAAAATTTGATCGAATTCACTTAAAACTTGTTACTCAAGGATTTTTAGGGTCATTTTGAATTTTGAAAATTTTAAAAAACTGACATCATATTCGTAATTAGCGACCCTGAAAACATTAAGATACCAAGTTTTATAAAAATCCAATAAAATTTTTTTCAACACACTTTGGGGCCCTAACTGTGGAAATCTTGTCGACAGCCAAGGGGTTGAGTCCATTTACATATGACGTGATTTCTTTAGGGGTGAAGGGGGTTTAGACAAAGTATAAGGAACCATTCATTAATTACGTAAGGACGATTTTGGCTAATTTTGACACCCCCTACCCCCATGTAAAATACATAAGATTTTTCGGACCCCCCCTCGTCCTTCTTACGTAAGTTTTTAACAATTTTAATGTAATTAAAAAATTAATTACAACAATACAAATGAAAAATACTTGGCAAAATCTTACGTAAAAATGGCTTCTACCCCCCCCCCCCCTCCGACGTAAGACAATGTAGAGATTTTATAAACCCCCCTCCCCCTAAGGATCCTTACGTAATTAATTAATGGCCACTAACTCTCCATTGTAACTTAATGTGCAAACTATCTAAAAAGTATCACGAAGGGGTGGGGGGGGGGTGTAAATTACCTAAAATTTGTATCACGTAACATGTGAATGATCTTGTTAATAAAGTGAATAAAGTTTTTTTGACATGTATTTGAATAATTTTTTTTCTAAATTAAAAAATTTGTTCTTTTTTATATTGAAATAAACAGATCAAGATTCGTCAAGAAGAAAACTCGGCAATAAATACTGAAGATGATATGCGAAATGAAGTGGTAAAAAATATTCAATATTTTTAACGTACATGAAATAATAATTTACTTGTGCATTTAATCCACATATTTAGAAAAAGGGTGGAGTGTGACATAATTATAACAATGTGGTACCAAAAAAAGACTTCAAAAACTTCTTATCGGATCTAGTAGAGTTTGTAGAGCATAAAAAACTGAAAAGAATGGTGTATATTTAATTGCTTATAAACCCTCTTCTTAATTGATGACGATAAAGACCAAAAACTTTCAAAAATTTCGATTTTTTATTTATTTATTTTTTATTTCGATTGATAGTTAATTCTGCTTCAAATGACCCCTAATCGGTTGGAATTCGTTAGAATTTGTCTAAGTTAGCAGACTTTTAATTTTATATATAGTAACATTAGGTTTCATGTGTGATTTATAGTTTTTTTTAATTTTCATAAAATTTAATATATGTTTAGTGTATACTAAAATTAAAGAATACAGAGCATTTACCTTTAAATTTTATGAAAATTAAAATAAACTATAAATTACACACACATGAAACATAATGTGACTATAAAATTAAAAGTCTGCTAACTAAGACAAATTTTAACGAATTCCAACCGATTAGGGGTCATTTGAAGCAGAATTGACTATACATTTTCGATGTGTAAAATTAAGAAGGTATATCTCATCAGATAACAGTTACAAATTGATCAAAAGTATTTGGTCTTTGTCGTCATTAATTAAGAAGATACAACAAATAAAAAAATTTGAAATCAGGCAAAAAATAAGGAAGTTACAAGGATTTTTTCACGAAAAATGGTATTCCGTCTCTAAAATCAAATTTTGAGGGTGTATAAGCAATTAAATATACAGTAAGAAAAGTACCATGGTAATCACAGCCCATGAGTGCGAGTGAGACAAACTTATGCGTAACGCATGCATTCCTATGACTACCATGGTACTTTTCTTACTGTATACCATTCTTTTCAGTTTTTTATGCTCTACAAGCTCTACTAGATCAGATAAGAAGTTTTTGAAGTAATATTTTTTTGTAACACTGTGTAATTGAGTATTTTTGAGTCTAAACCATTTTAATTTAAAGAAAATACGAAAAATCATAAGTACTTTTTGCAAACTTAATTTTTTTTGTTCATTATAATTATAAACTAATTCCATTAAAAAGAAATGGAAATATTTTTTTAAGAAATCAGTTTTCTAATTTTAATAAAAATTTGTTATCTTTTTATTCTAATAAACAGATTTATGTGTTATCGTCAGAAGAAGATGACTAAGTTTAATGATAATGTAAGAATGTACTTTCTAAAGTATAAAAAAAATAATTTTAACTTAATATTCATATATATGGGCGATTCTCAAAAAAGCTTTAGCCAACAATGTCATGACATTGTCGTCAAAAAGTTACTTATTGTCTAAAGTGTAATTACTGTTACATCTCAATAGAAATATTATGTTATATTTTTCACTAAAATTATGTAAATTAACATATTTCTATTGAAATGCAACAGTTACTAAACCTTTCATTATTTTTTTAACTTTTAATTCGCGCATGAAATCATCAAAATCTCTTTTAATTTTATATAACGATTTTGGCTATTTTGTCACTTAATTCATATTCTTCTTCTTCTTTATTATTGCTTTTGGAGTTTCATCAAAAATATCTACAAAACATCAATTTCTTGTTCCTTTTCAATTTTTGACTTTTCTGTATTTTTATTTATTTCTTCTATGTTAATTCTTTCCCATCTTTATTTATATTATATGAAAGAGATTTTAGTGTTTCATTATCTCCTTCTTTTTCTTTCATTTTATTATTATTATATTTAAATCGTGAGAAAATAACTTTGTTATTATTATATTTATTGGTTTATTTTTCCCTATTTTTATTCTATTCAAACACTGAAAAAAAATTTCGGTTAGGCTATATTTAACATTACTTTCTAGTTATGTTAACCAGAATTCTAGTTGAATTAACTAGAATTCTCGTTAAAATAACCAGAATTCTGGTTAGCCTAACCAGAATCAAAATGTTAAATATACCCTAACCAGAATTCTGGTTATTCTAACTAGAATTTTTTTCAGTGAAGTGACTTCAAACAATATTATTGTTTAAACAGATTTCTATGCTAATAATTTATATACGAGTGTATATAAAATTTTTTGTGTAAAATTAAGAAAAACGCCATCTTATGTATTACTCTACTGTAAAATGATGAAATATATATGTACTTTATCAAATCAAAAAACGCTTACTAAACCGACAAAAAATTTTATTTATATCTATATATTTTCCTCAATGTTTTACGTTTTAGAAAACCTGAAAATTTTTTGTACATTAAATAAGAATAATAAAATTTGTTATAATATATTCAATATCTCATTTCTTAAATAGTAGTTTAAATATTGTTCATTTTATTAAATAGAGTATCATATTTTTAAATTAGTAATATAAACTCTTATAAAAGTGTTGTTAATTTTAAACTTTGTATATTAAAAAATTTTAACACGAATCTTTTATTTGCTAATATTTCGTAACTAAATCTTTAGTAAATTCAGATAAAAATGTCATTTAACGTTGAAATAGAATCTAAAGAAATAGTGATCACAAATTACACATTTTATATTAATTAGAAAAAAGAAAATAAATAATTATTGATTTAAAAAAAAAATAATTACTTTTATAAAATATCTCCTTAATTTGAAATTTTTTTCAAAAATATTCGCAATAAGAAAATAAATTAAAAAAATGCTAATAACTGTTTGGTAGTTTTTGAAAATATTTTAAGGCCAGGTCTTTGTAAGGTAGCACCATCTACATCAAAACTAAGAGCGCAATCACACCTCCAGCTTCTTGCACAGGCAAAAAATGCATTGCGTGTCTTTCGACAAACCACCATTTTGAAAAGTGACGTCACGCTACGTCACAAGTTGAAGGCAGGGGGCATAAGCGCAACTTTCTCACAAGCCTTATACAAATTTTCCAAAATTTTTGTTTCGTTATAGATGATGCTGCCTTTCTAGAACCTACCCTTAAACTATTGGGAACGGTGGTCTAGTAACAATCTAGTAACTTTGACCCATTCTCTCCCTCCATTTTGTTTTTTCCACTCTTTCTGACCTATTAATTGAAGAGAGACAAAGAAAGAAAATGAAGGGAGAGAATGGGTCCCCACCAGATGGCGTATTGCAGTTTAGCCGATCCCAATAGGCTGAAATAACGTTCGAATTTTTGAAAAAAATTTTTATTTTTTTCAATTTAAGAGTTAACCTATCAGGAGTTTTCCGATGACAAACAAGTGTTCTTAAAAAATTGAAAATAAATATTTTATCAATGAGAATATAATTTTTTATTTGTTGGAGCAATAATTTCTGACAAAATATATAATTATTAACAATTAATATTTAAAATGTAGGTGTAGTAGCACATGCGCAGTTGCGTTTGGTGCGACGGTCATTAGGTAGTTGAAGTTAGGTGGGGGAAAATCCAATATGGCGATTATCTGGTATACAACTTTACATTGGAATTATGTGGGATAAAATCTAATTTTTTAAATATCTCGCTCAAATTAAATTTTCGAATCTAATAAGTATATTAGAATTTTATTTTTAAATAAATATTTAATGCAATGAAAAACTTAATAAGAAAATAAAATCATTTTTATTAATGCATTAAATAGTTGTTTAAAAATAAGATCGTAATATACTTATTAGATTCGACAATTTCATTTGAGCGAGATATTTAAGAAATTAGATTTTATCCCACATAATTCCAATGTAAAGTTATATACCAGATAATCGCCATATTGGATTTTCCTCCACACAACATGAACTATCTAATTAGGCTGTGTCAGTTCATCGAGATATTTCGAGTTCAAGATATGACGTCAGAGAGCTGGAGGGACAACAAACAGACGACACAATGTTATTCTTATGGGAAAGAAAATTTGTTTCCACTTTCATCAATTTTATTCATATTTTAAACATAAGAAACGCTTGTTGACATATAATAAAATGAAAATGTTTGTTGATAATTAATTTTGTTATATATTTGATTCAATTTCATTGATAGATTCTCTCAATTCGTGATAAAATATAAATTTTGAGGTTAGGGGTGTTTGTTTACTAATCACATTTTACATTTTAACAACATTATTAAACAATATCCAGTATGTATGTTATTTAAAAATATATAAAATATATATTTAAAGGCTTAAGCACAACTGCTTCGCGAACGTGAAATTCGTTCGCGAACGAATCGAACATAACCTTATTTAATGCATTTTTCCATTAATTGAGGTTATGTTCGATTCGTTCGGGAACGGCGTTCGCGAACGAATTTCACGTTCGCGAACCTATTGTGCGTTGGCCTTTAAGTGGGAATTACCGCAACAGTAAAAGATTTCAAGTTAGTAAACAAACACCCCTAACCTCAAAATTTATATTTCATCACGAATTGAGAGAATCTATCAATGAAATTGAATCAAATCTATAACAAAATTAATTATCAACACACATTTTCATTTTATTATATGTCAACAAGCGTTTTCCATGTTTAAAATATGAATAAAATTGATAAAAGTGGAAACAAATTTTCTTCCCCATAAGAATAAAATTGTGTCGTCTGTTTGTTGTCCCTCCAGGCCTCTGATGTCACGCCTTGAATCGACTCTGACGTCACAAGTGACAGAGCCTCAAGGCCAACGCACAATAGGTTCGCGAAAGTCGTTCGCGAACGAGATGCATGAGATAGAAAAGGATACGAATATACCTCTGTCTTTTTCTAACTCATGTTTCACGTTCGCGAACGTCTTTCGCAAAGCTATTCTGCTTAGGCCTTCATGGAGCGGTCACACCTCGCCTGCAGGAGCAGTTGCCAATGGCAACCGTGTAAGAGTGAGACAGATGGAAAATCTTCTATCTCTCTTACTCTTACACTGTTGCCATGGGCAACTGCTCCTGCAGCCGAGGTGTGACCGCTCCATAATAAAGCAGTTCAACTCGTGACATAAGTGACGTCACTTTTCAAAATGGCCGCTTCTTGGAGGACATACAGTACACTGAAGTCAATGGAGCAAATCAGTTTTTTTAAAATAACATTTGAAAAATTAATTTTTGAACCCAAGTATAATGATAAAGTATTTTTTATTTATCGAGATCAATTTAAAAATAAAATCAAACTATTAATTTTTATTATTTTAAAAAATAGATCTCGATAAATAAAAACTATTTATTAATTTTTCAAAAGTTATTTTTAAAAAATTGATTCGCTCCATTGACTTCAAAGTGATAAAAATCATAATTTATTAATATATTCATTGAAATTAAAATTTTATTAATATTAAGTTATTTGAAATTTGTTTAAAACATCATTCCTAACCTAAAAAAATTCAGTAATTATATAATAAAATTCCTATAATAATAATCATAATAATAATAAAAATTTTATTAACTATTTTGAGAAAAAACCTGCGGAAAATATTTATATACGAAATCACAATCACATAATGCAATGAAACAGGAAATAATAATATAAATAATAATGTGCCTACAAATTTCTGAACGATCAAATAAATGATTTTAATTTTCGGTCTATTTGTTAAAAATTACCAAAATACAATGACAAATAAAAATGCGAATTTATTTAATTATAATTATAAAAAATTATTTTTTTAATATAATTTATATATATATATATATATATATATATATATATATATATATATATATATATATATATATATATATATATACTCAAGGAAGTATGGGTGAAAAAAAATTTCATTTATTTGAATATTCAGGATTTGTAGAATATAAATAATGTTGATATAAAAAAAACTTACATTATAAGTTTCGTGGATGACTTTTCTACTCCTGTGAACTTAGCCAATTTCACTTCACTAAATTCACTTTTGAATCCAAAATCAAAAATTTAATTTAGCAACAATTTGCAAATTCACTTAAATTAAAATGAAAATTAATTCAGCAAAAAAGTTTGCAACACTGGAAAAATTTGATATTTGTATTAAAAAAACTAAACGCGTTAATGGTTAGAATTATTTAAAAAAATTTTTAAATAAACTGCACGCACGTTTAATTTTATTAAAATGAAGATCAGATATTAGAATCTTTCTTAACTTCGCAAAAGTCAAAGGACAAGTGTACTGTTGTTTTGTATTTTGTTTAACAGGACCCTAATTTTCAAGCGTCATTATTTCCCCACTCCTTTAAAGGGAGGACCAATAATTTCAAACATCAGTAGTCCCCACTCTCTTAACGGGCCCACTATCCCCACTCTGAACTTTACTATAGTGGGGTTTATATAATTAGTCTTTCATAAATAATATATGATTTTTCAAAATTTTTAAAATTCACAATTGTTGATATTATATTTGTAATTATAATCCTAATAATATTATAATAATATTATTATTATATTATTAATAATAATTATTTAAATAACTAGCAAAATTACACGCGCGCAAGCGCGCGCCCAACTTTGACTGCAATGGTTGTTTTAAAATAATAATAATATTAATAATAATAATAATTCTGCATCAGTGGAGTAATAAATTAATAATAGGTATATTTCTAATTTTCACGTAATCATTTATTTATACACAGAAAAAAATGAGTTTGATGTTATATAAATAGTGATTTTTTAGTTAAGCCAGCTCATAATTAGTTAATACAGCAAAAATAATTTAGCTAAGTTAATTTTTAAATTTAATAAACTTGTAAAACTATTTGTTCGATTGTTGACGGTAACAACAATGAAAACCCAAGAAATAACCTATCGAAAAAGTGATGATAAGAAAAACATAAATTAAAACCAATAGTTACAATTGGCGGTGTAAATGTTGATAAATCAATTCTAGTATCGCCAACATAACCGCCGCCAATTGAAATGCCGAGAAAAATTAATTATGTTGTGTCAATTATGATTAAAATATTCTTTGTCACTTATGTATATACTGTATACGAAAAGGCAGAGATTGTTGAGATAAAAGATATTACTGACGAATGGATTTTCTTATTGACAGAATGTATATGACGAGTAAGATCATTTTTTTGTGAATTGATAGTAAAAAAAATAAGATTTTTAAGTAAAAATTTTAAAATATAAATATTAAAATTTTAGAAATAAATATTTTTGATAAAGTCAATGTTTGATGATTTTTTATAATCTTTCAAATTACAAAAAATTAGTTTTGCTAAATATTTTTTTGTATTTTCTATAAATATTTCGTTGCAAATGAAAATTTTTAATTTATGTTTTTTTTTTTTAAATTTAATTAACTTGATAATTAATAAATATTAAAAAATTATGTAATCAAAAAGAAATTTAAATTAACTGAAAATTATTAATTATATTTTAAAAAGTATTAAGCAATTAAAAAATATTTAAAAATTTTGAAAAAATAAAACCTAAAAAAAACTTTGTAATGTTTTAAACTTTAAACTTAAATTAAAAATTAAAATCAAATGGAAATTTTTTTAAAAAAGCAAACTATTTTTATATTGTTTACATCAGATAAAAAAACATAACAATTTAATAATTAGAAATAAAAACAAATTAATAATAATAAATTTATAAATAATAATATATAATAAATAATAATGAATAATGAAAAAATAATGAAAGAAATAATAATTATAAGTTAAAATGTTCTATAATTATCTATGAATAATCATTATATAAAAAATGTATATATATAATATAATAAATTTATAAATAATAATAAAAATTATATTATAATTGAAACTTTCTTTTCTATAAACTGTCACTTAGTATATGACTTAATTAATGACGATGAATAAAAATATCCGTCGTGTTAACCATAAAATATTACGAAATCAAGAATTGTCAAAATTTTAGAAAAACAAAAGGAACAAAATACGACTAACTTCAAGTGTGGACAGACGGAATGAATGAATGAATACGGAAATTATTATAGTTAATTTTTTAACATTTTCTGGTTTTTTTTTATAATTAGTTAGCAATTTTTATTAAGTTTTTACAAAAACATAATAGCTGATTTTGCACTTTTGAAAAATTTTCTACAAGAATTATGTTTGTTAGTTTTTGTTAAATAAATAAAAAAAAATGTTTAATAAACATTAAAATGTCGTTATAGAATTGTAAAAATTCAGTGAATTTGAATTATAATAGTAAAAATTAGAAAAATTTAAAATTAGTGAATACCTATTATATAATTTTGTCAAAAAAGCAATTAGCTAATGGAAGTTAAGTAAGGGATTAAGGTACTAATGACATGCTTGAAACCCTGGACCGCATGTATGAGGTATTCTATTATTCACCTATTTATGTACCCTTCTGGGTAAAATCAATGGTAATTCATGTGTCACAAGTCATTAAAATGCATTAAAAATATTATTTAAAAATAATTACGTGTTTCAATTAGGGTGAAAGAAAATTTATACTTGTACTTTTCAATGAAATATCATATAAGAAAAATTGAGACATGTTTTCCCATTCACTAAATTGGTGGGAATTTGAAAATTAATGAAAGCAAGTATAAATCGTCCTGAAATATATAGAAAAAATTTTCTTAATTGCTTTATTATAACCAATAAATGTTTTACAAAAATTGTTAAAATAACAATCACAATTATTAAAAGTTATTAATAATTTGAATAATAATTTATTAAAAAGAAGTGAAATGAAACGAAAACGAGTCAAAAGAACAATTTAACTAAATCAACATTTTTAGTAATAAATATTAAATAAATAATCACAATTTTCAAAATTTTAATACTTTTAGTATTATAATTTAACATTTTAGTTTTTATTTAAATACAATTAAATTTAAAACTTTAAACTTATAAATATATATATATATTTACTTTTAATTTCCTACAAAAAACTGACAAAATTCTAAACGGAATGACACCTGCGAAAAAAAAACACAGTGAGTCACTTTTCACAATATTCACTAAGTATAAATCAAAATATTATTATTGAAATAATTATTTTGTCATTAATAATGTGTCTCATTGTAGAATACGAAACTTCAAAAACAAACAAAATTTATCTAGTTCCAAAAACTTAAAATTATTATCATTATTAATTTTCTTGATATATATAATTTATATATAATTGCTTAATATAAAGATATTGTTTAAAAAAGAACACACTGAAATAAAATATTTTATTCAAATAATCGGTTATTTGACTATTATCAAATATTTACTTGAACCAAATAATTTTTTTATTTAAATTAAATAAAATGCATTTGAACCAATAAGTTCTGTATCATATGATATATAAATACCACATTAAATTGACTCAAATAATAATTTGATTAATAATTTAATATATATATATATTTGATATAATAGTCAAGTAATTGATTATTTAAATCAAAAAAATTCTTTTTCAGTATAAGTACTTTTATGTACAAATTTTTCATAATAATAATAATAATTATGATGGATAAGAATTTGACTTTTTGAGAATTTGTATATTAGAATAAATAAAATTTAGAAAAGAGAAAAATATGATAAATATATAAATTCTATCAATGATAATAATAATGGAATAATTAATTAAAATAAAATTTATATTTTCCTCTTTTCTAAACTTTATTTATTCTAATGTACAAATTTTCAAAATGTCAAATTATTAAAAAGTAATTTTTAATGTGATATTTATTTTAAATAATACAGAAATTTTTGGTTCAAATTTATTTTATTTAAATTAAAATAAAAAATTATTTGGTTCAAGTATATATTTATTTGACAGTAGTCAAATATAATCAATTATATTTATATAAATAAAATAATTATATTCTTCTTTATACTTAGTAAAATATTGTAAAAAGTTTATCATTATTTTTTTCGGACACATGATTATGTTATCTAAAAATTATAAGTTAGAATTTTCATTTTATGGAATTTCATAATTTTATTATATAATTATTTTTAAGCATAAATTTTTATTTATTCGAATTAGTATATTTTGCAGAATTTTCATCAAAACGATTTTCTATATTACAGAATTTTTATATAACCGAAAAAAAAGATCTTGTTGCGATTTTTAAAATCAACTAATCAAAAATTATCCATAAAATTGTGATTGGTTGATTTTAAAAATCGCGCCAAAATCGATTGTTTGTTCGGTCATTTGCAATTTCGGACAAATGAAAATTCGAACAAATTAAAAATTCGGCTCAAAAATAATTATGACAAATGAAATTTCATAAAATTTTAATTTTAATTAATGATTTTTAGAACATAATCATTTTTTTTTTTTTTTTTTTGTTAAGGTATTTATGTTTTTAGTGCAAAACAAAAAATTATAACACTATTTCGAACATTGCGCCTACGTTTTTGACGATTGATGCGGGAAACATTTTGTCTCCCTAAAGGAACATTTTACGTGTTCAATACTAAATATAAGTAAGGACCTGTGTAAGTTCAAATGGTCACTGTTTGTTCGTTAAAATAATCAATTTTGCCAGTTAAAAAACAATTTATTTTTACCACGTTTATAGTTAATTTAATTTTTTATTAAAAATTCATATTATTTAAAATAGAGGCGAGTAAAGAATTTTATATTATAAAAATATTTATACTTTTGTATTTTTCACAAGTAGCAATGTGGCAGTAAAACATTAAGGCCTCAAAATAAATAGTTTTTTTTTATCACGTGACAAAAAAAAAAAAAAAAAAAAATTCATTCAAACTAATTTCAAAACTATACATTTATCCCAGATAATAATTGGTGAAGTTTTATTTTTCAATTATAATTATTTATATTTTTTATTTAATAACAAACGAGTAAAAATAAATTATTCTAAATTCTAAAATTTATTAAAATAATTATAATAAATTAACTATGTCATTATCTCATAAAGAAATGATGGATTTTTTACAAAAGCAAGTGGAATTTGTTTTAAATGATAAAAATCTTTCTAATTTGAAATTTCAATTTTCAAATGCATGTAAGGATGGTGAAAATTTTTTGGGATCATTATATCGTGTTAAAATAAATGGCGAAAAAAATGGTGAAAATAAAGAATTAAATTTAATTATTAAATGTATTCCCAACGATGAAAAATTAAGTATTCTTTTAAGAGGACGAGAGATATTTCTCAATGAAATTGCACTCTATGAAGAACGAATGCCAATAATTATGAATTTTTTAAAAGAATTTAATTTACAATATAACGACTGTCCTGCTTACTACGGAGGATGTAAAACGCCAAGAAAAGAGGTAATTAATTAATTTTTTTTTTTAAATTTCTTCACTAGAATTTACTATTTTATTTTATTTTTTATTCATCTGTAGTTTTGTGAATAAATATCCTGTAAAATGAATTAGTTTGAATTTTTATTTAACTGAATTTATTTACCAAACTTTTTATTTAAAAAAAAAATTCTAATTTAACTGAATATTATAATTTAGCAGAATTCTCATTCAATATAGAAATAGGGATTTAAATTTTTAAATTCCTACAAAATAAAAATTCGGACATGAAGATTCGTCTAGAAAATATATCTAAAAAAAAAAAGAAAATTCAAAAAAAAATTCCTAACCATTGATTTTTATGGGAAATTCATTCGTCCCCTAAATTTATATTTTTTATTTGATATTATGTTAATTATAGATTCTGATTTTGGAAGATTTGAAAACTCAAGGATTTGTATTAAAAGAAACAAAATTATTAGATTATCCTCATGCAGTTCTTGCAGCGCGACATCTCGGTAGATTTCACGCTTATAGTTTTGCTCTTCGTGATAAGAAACCCGAAGAATTGGATAATTTTCGAAAAATTAAAGAACCCTTTTTTTCGAATCAGGCTGCTATGCAAAAAATATTGATCTTATTCTGGAAGCTGCTTTAATGGTAAATTAATTTCTTTTAAATCTTTAATATATAAGGGTATGTCCACGTCAGAAATATCAGAATCAGAAGTGGTTCTTCGATTTTAATGATACTTGGTAAAATTATAGCTTTATATAAGAGCAATGTGTAAGTAAAAGGAATTTTTAAAATATCTAAAATTGTAGGAGTTATATCACTTTTAATTTTGATACTGCATTTTATTCTTTCCTTTATATCTCGGTCAATTTTCAACCGATTTTGATGAATCAAAAACGATTTTTTTCAGAAAATTACGTATTTTCAGAAAATTTTAAAATAAAAATAAAATTTTGTTATTTAAATAGAAAAAAGTAAAAAAACAAAATTTCTTTTAGATTTTTTTTCAATTTCGACCTCTTTTTTTTAATTTTTAATTTTTTAATAATATTCCTTTTTATTTTATCTTTAATTTAAAAAAAAATTTCATCCTGGAGACTTTTTTAGATCTTGTGACATCGTCCTTTAAGTATTATAAGTCTTCATCAATTTGAAAACCGCAGGACTTGCTTCTATCATTACTTTCATTTGTTTGTTGAAATTTTTTATGGTTATGAATAACTATTTGTTTTAGAATTGTTAAGGTTTCATTTCAATTTATTTGAAATTATAAATATTACAAAAAATAAAAACTTTGCTTCAAATCTATTAATAAAATATTGATTTGCTTGAATTTTCACATGTTTTAGTCAAGTAATTTAAAAATAAAAACATTATTACGCGAAAGTTTCTTGTTTGTAACAATAATATTATAAAACAAATGAAAGCAGAAACACAAATCTGGATCCTAGTTTTCTTGAGATGTGGATATTTAAAGAACGATGTCACAAGATCTAAAAAAGTCTCCAGGATGAAATTTTTTTTTAAATTAAAGATAAAATAAAAAGGAATATTATTAAAAAAATAAAAATTAAAAAAAGAGGTCGAAATTGAAAAAAAATCTAAAAGAAATTTTGTTTTTTACTTTTTTCTATTTAAATAACAAAATTTTATTTTTATTTTAAAATTTTCTGAAAATACGCAATTTTCTGAAAAAAATCGTTTTTGATTCATCAAAATCGGTTGAAAATTGACCGAGATATAAAGGAAAGAAAAAAATGCAGTATCAAAATTAAAAGTGATATAAGTCCTACAATTTTAGATATTTTAAAAATTCCTTTTACTTACACATTGCTCTTATATAAAGCTATAATTTTACCAAGTATCATTAAAATCAAAGAACCACTTGCAGATTTTGATATTTCTGACGTGGACTTACCCATAATTTTTTAAATTTTAAATAAATTCAATATTAAAATTAATTTAAAATAAAATTTATATTTAATAATTTTTAAAAGATATAAAACTTAATAATTCAAAAAGGCTAATTCTTATTTTTAATTATAGAATAACTAAATTTTCCCAAACATCACATTATATTTCCTAAATATTTCTGAAATATTTCATTGAAATTTTGAAATATTCCAATGCGAAGTCCTTGAAATATTACTGAAATTAGGGAAATGTCCGCCTATAAGAAATATTGCCGTGTAATTTTGCTGAAATATTTCATTAAAATATTGTAGAAAATTTCCAACTTAAATGATGCGCACTGGTCGATCTCAGTTTCTATGGCCTGTACAGCTGCGCAGTAGTTTTTTATTTTCCAGGATCCTAAGGTGTTGAACATGTTAGAAAGTAACGATTGATTTCATGTTTTAAAAAAGTTTCTAACTTTCTTTGAAATGTTTCCTGAATATTGCAGAGTCTTCATATGTAATAATGCAGGAGTATTAAAGTGTAATATTTCAGCAAAATTGCACTGCAATATTTCTTATAGGCGGACATTTTCCTGTTTTCCTCAACATTTCATGAACCTTGCATTGAAATATTTCAAATCTTTCAATGAAATATTCATGAAATGTTTAGGAAATATAATGTGCTGTGTGGGTTTTTTGTATTCAAATTGTCATTCTTTTGAAAAAATTGAATTTTTATTCTCTTTTATAGGCTTTAGAAAATGAAGATCAACATTATGTGAATAAAATTAAACGACTTAAAGAAAATGCACAACAAGCTATTGATTATGCATGTGATAGTAGAAATGCAGAGCCTTATGCGACTTTTAATCATGGTGATTTATGGACCTGCAATATGTTATTTAAATATAATGAAGTAAGTCAAATATTTAATTGATATAATTAAAAAATCGAATTTTTTTTTTGAAAATTCAAAATAGCGGATCCAAAATTCAAAAAAATTGAGCTTAATAAAAATTCTATTAAGGTAGAAGTATATCCATTATGTGGGACAATTTTTAATATTTCACCTTGTTATATGGGACAAATTTAGAAAACATTATCTCTAATTATAATTATTCTCAAGGATCATTGTTTATTTATTTAAATTATATATTATATAAATAAACAATGACAAATAATTAAAAGTTGAAAATAATTAATTGAATCTAAAATAACCTCCAAATTTTGTTGTTTAAATGGTTTTAATATATTAGTACAAAAAATTACCGCTAGAGGACAGCAGCAGACGATTCATTTTTTTTTATTATAACCGTATATATTTATATTAAATCTTTAATTTATTGCGCGCAAAATGAAAATACAACTTAGTATTGTTATAATAATGCAAATTAATTCACATTATAGTTAACAATTTGTTAAGTGTTCTATAATAAGAATTTATGTCTCATAATGGGTACAAATTTTATATTTGCAAAAAATTTCGTATTAGTTTATTAAAATTTATTTATTTTATTTATTAAATATTCAAAAACTGTTAAAACAACCGTCTCATAATTGAAACTTTTACCTTAAATGGCAAAAATTAAATGAAAATTTGGTAAATATTTTATTTTTAAAATCCAATAAAATATGAACGTGGTTTCTATATTGAAAGTTTGTAATATTTTTAATTTAACAAAAAAAAATAAATAAAGAATCATTTTCATTTGAAAAAACGACTCTAACATCATAGTACTTGTAAATGTAAATTAAAGTGATAAGGTAAATTCCTCCTTTATCAATTTATATAGGGTAAGGCTAAATTTCTTTTGCGACGACAAAAATTCAAAATAAATATAATGAAAATTTCAACAATTTTTTCTTTTTTTTCCATGATTTTTAAATTTAAAAAAATTTAAAAAAAACCGAAACTCATGACATTTTTATATTCAGGTTATTAAAAGAAAATTTTTAATCATTAAAAGTCAATGTACCGCGTGTTTTAATATTGCCAAATTGCCGCGAATTTTTCGCCCCATGAAAATCAGCCTTTATCGATTCTACTTCATTAATCGTACATATAAGGGATAAGGTAGATTTTTAATTTTTAAATTAAACGTTACTATCCGTTAAAACACACGTGTTCTATTAGAAAATGTGAGCGTCTCATGGCACATAATAAAGATCATATAGCACATAATTTTAATTATATTAAGTGCCATAAAATCACTTTCTTCTTGAAAAATAAAATTTTTTTTTTGTAAATTTTTTTTTCAATTTTGTTATTTTTAATTGCTGAATGCAGAAAGAAGTCCACATTGGTGAGTTTGAGGTTATGTTTGTCATTTTAATTTCATTTTTATAATTTATTATAATATTTCTTGAAATATTTTCAATTTATTTTGAATTTCGATTTAAAAAAAATTATACTTTTTGATTCTCATTTGAGATTAGTTATTTTTCAAATAAAAAAAAAATTTAATTTAAAATTTCATATATATGAGCGATACCACGTGCAAATTATGTAAATTTTAAATTCGGATAAATAGATTTTCTTTCGTTTTTTTGAAGAAAAAATGTGATAAAAGTATTTTTTTTTGATAAATTTCCAAATTTTCTAGTTATAAATTTATAAAAATCTATGTTTTTTGATTTTTTTTAAATAGAATTAATTTTAATGATATCTAAATCTCAAAGTACTTTAAGAATTTTTCTCAAGAGAAAAAAAAGTTCGAAATATATAAACGAAAAACTTTTCTTTTCAATTTTTAACGTTTTTTTATAAACAAATTAATTTTTTTTACTTTGGGACAATTTTTTTAAAAAAATTTCATACCTGAAAATGCTAAGAATATTTTGCAAAAAGTTCTAGAGTGGGCCTGATGATCATTTTTGTTTAAATAGTTTGTTTAAAAAAAAATTTTTGGTTTTTTTTTAATTAAAAATAAATTTTTGTCACATTTTTTTGATTTTTTAATGATTTTAAAAATAAAATGTAGATTTATATAGAAAAACAATTATTATTTTTATATTATTATGTATAAAATTGTTATTTGTGAAAAATAAAGTCGAATATAAATGAAAATTCTTTTTTTTTGTTCCTATAGAATTCAGAGCCAGAAGATGTTCGTTTTCTTGACTTTCAACTCAATAGATATGGTTCACCGGCAATGGACATCCTTTACACATTCTTTACTTGTCTCACACAGGAAATGAGAGACAAATATTATGACGAATTATTGCATCATTATCATGATTCATTATCTCAATTATTGAAAAAATTAAATTGTGATATTGAAAAACTTTTTCCATTTGATGTTCTATTGGAACATCTTCAACGTTTTGGATCCTATGGGGCCTGTATGTCGGTTATAGATATTCATCTTTTCACCGCACGCGATATTGATGATCCACAACCACTTTATCATATTGATTTTCTTAGAACATTGCCGACACTTTTGAAAACTAATAAATTATATCATCAAATACTCAGAGATTCACTAAAAGATATGGTAGATAGAAATTATATATAAAATTTTGTAAATTATTTAGAAAATTTTAAATAGTATTTTATATAATATGAAATTTAGTGAATTTTTAAGTATAATATTTGGTCTATCAAATTTGAAGGAACACTAAATTAGCTTGTGCATAAATATAATAAAGAGAAGATAAAGTAGAATTTTTCCATGGTCGAGGAAATAGAGGAAATATTATATCGCTATATATTCTATTCACTGTTAATTAACTTAAAATTAATTAATCACCATATTCATTTTCATATGATGCAAAAATCGCATTAACGAAAATAACATCAAACTTTTCATTTTTTTTTTTTCATCATTAATTATTCATTTAATTTAATTTTCATAAATTGATTATTATCGTGTTCTCATAAATATTCATTAAAGTGCATTAACAATTGGAATTTGTTTAATTTAATTAATATCTGTCAAGTAAATTTCAATTAAAAAAATTTACTTATGTTTAAATAATTGAAAATTGGTATAATCTGTACTGTTTCTAGTGGATTTTGAAGCGATGAATGTATCCTTCTTGAATTAGAATTTTCTGTCTACATTGATTGATATGTTTTGTATATAATAATAAGTTATAAATGCTGTATAGTTGAAATATCTGCAAAATAAAAAAAAGTATTTTTATTTAACTAAAAATCAATGGTTAATATTTATATATATTATATATATATTTACATATATTTATATATTTTTATTTCATATGTTTAATTCTTGTTATCTTCAAGGTCATTTTTCTTTTGGTGTGACACGAGGAAAAATGACCTTGAAGACAAAAAAATTTAGGTTATGTTTAGTGATAATTTCAGCTTGATTAAAGTCAAAATTTGTTTTCGACAGCAGAGTAAAATAGAAAAAAAATGTTTAGAATTTGATCAAAAAAATATTCAGGTAAAATTAGTTTAATTGCGAAGTTTAGAATTATGTTTAAAAATTATTTTTAAATTAGCCTTTAAAAATTAATAGGTAATACATTACACAAGTGTAAATTATGTTAATTTTAATAACCTAGTTTAATTGAGTATTGTGCAATCAAATTTTAAAATTCTATGTACATTGATCATTTCAATGGAAATTATTAAAATTTTTCAACTGTATCAATAAAATAATAAAAGAAAATTATTTATATGGAAAAATCTAATTTTCAGTTTAAAAGTATCAATATTTCTAATAATTCTTATTAACAAGGAAAATTTGTTTCTATTCTTATAACTAATATAAAATATATTTTACTTCAACTTCTAACTTACAGTAACAATATTCTACATAAATTATATTCGCATATTATAGAGTGAAATAAATAATATATCAGGTATGGAATTTTTAATTAAAAAAATTATTTATAATTTTTAAAAAATTGATATATTATATTAAGAACATATTTTTCTAAAATTTTAACAGTCTCTATTAAGCGAAAGTCGCAGATTCAAAGAACTGCGCATTTAATTATGAACATCTAATTTTTTTTTATTTTTTCTGTATGCGACTATTCTCTTTTATCAGCCTATGTGGCTATAGACAGGTGTAAATAAATAAATTAAAATAAATTATAATTTATTTAAAACGCCAGATTTTGGATTTCATAGTATTATAAATGTTGAATATGGTTTAGGCCAAATAATAATCTAAAGTAATTTTCTGACAAAAATTTTTTTATCCAAAAAATATGTTTATTTTTTTAACGTTTCGATGATAGCAAACAATCCTTTTCAAGAAATTACAAAAATCTATAATTAATTATCTTTGTAATTTATAATAAAATTATATCATTTTAATCCCACAAAATGCGATCAATTTTTTTTTTAATTTTGATAAATAAAAGTTTTCTAAAAAATGATATAATTATTTTTAATTAAATATTTAATTAAATATAAAAACATTTAATTTAATAAACGTCATCAATTTTTGCCAATAAGATATAATTTCATAATGGCCATTTTGCCCAGGGTAATGAATGTCGAAAATGTTCCACTTCACATAAGCTACATTGAACACTCTCCACTTAGGGTACGGTCACACTATCTCATGCAGGCACTATGCATGCATGCAAAAACATTTGTCTGGTCACACTTCAACGAAATCTAGTGAAAATTTAGTAACTTTCTGCTAATTTTCCAAAAATTTCGGTTGTAACTAGAAAGTTACTAAACATTCACTAGATTTCGTTGAAGTGTGAACGGCCAAATGTTTCTACATGCATGGACAGTGCATGCATGAGATAGTGTGACCGTACCCTTAATATAATTTGCCAATAACACAACCCTCGTGTATAATTTTTCGAGTTTCATCACCCTGTGCAAAATGGCCAGTAAATAAATGTTACAGTTCTATTCTAAAAACTGATTATCTTATTGTGGAAAAAGTGTTCACTATAAAAACTAAAATTATTTCTTTAAATAAAAGTTTTCAATATAAATAGATGATTTTATTTTAATCAAAATTATGTAGTAAAAAAACTTGTTCATACGAAAAAATTATATTCAGCAAAAATGAACGTAAAAAATTCTAATTAAAATATAACTAAAATTAAACTTAGGAATTACAAAATTATTAACCATTGAATTTAGTTAATTAAAAATACTTGTTTTATTTTGCAGATATTTGGACTATATACAGCTTCCATAACTTATTATTATAGACAAAAAAAATCAATCAATTATAAACAGAAAATTTTAAATTCGAGAATGACTATATTAATACCTCCAAATCCACTGCAAGCAGTACAGTTTATTCCAATTTTCAGTTACCTAAATATACTAAGTGACTTTTTATTCATTGAAAATTACTTGGCAGAAGTTGATCAAACTAAAAAAATTCCGATTGTTAATGCACTTTATAAATATTTAGGAGACCATGATAATAATGAATCAATGAAAGTTAAATTAATTAGATCTTTATTAAAAAGAAGTGATCTTTATGGTGAAAAAAGCAATGAAGAGCCTGATGTCATTTTCGTTAATGCTATGTTTGACTATATCATTAGTTCTCTTGTATTTGAAAAATATGGTAATATTTATGGTTTCTTAACTGAAGTCTTTCGCATTGCAGAAAATTTAGAAATTGATTACATATTAAATTTAACAAGAAAACATCTTCAAGATGCATTATTTGAAAATGAATATGGTGATAGATCAATTTTGAGTTCATTATCAGTAAAAAGAATATATAACGATATAATATTGGCCCTATTTCCTCGACCAACGAAAAATTTTACTTTATCTTCTCTTGATTATATTTATGCACAAGCTGGTTTAATGTTTCTTCGACTTGGTACACCAAATACTGTCTATTATAGGGATTTGAAACACAGTAATTTAATAAAATTGGATCATGATAAACAGTTTGACGAATATTTAATAGCTGGACATTTAAGTGAAAAATTACTTTTAATTAATGAGAAGAAAAATTTTCATTTGTTGAAATTTTTTGCTCTGCCTGCTCTTTCTAATTATATTTTTAATAATAAGTATTTATACGCATATGATTATGTCGCAAATCTTATTTCTGAAGCACGATTTTGGCGTTTGGCTTTTAAGGATTTATTTCGATATACATTTAATGTTATTAAAAAGACAAAAAATAAATTAAATAATGACAATAATTTTAATTTGCATACAGCGTTTTCTACATTTCTAAGTCGTTCTACATCAGCGAAAATTTTAATAGATCATTATTGTACTAACATAAGTACAGATAGTAATACTTTACTTGTTGCATATTTAAATAGTCCTGATACATTTCAATGTAAATTTGGAGAAAATTTACCTAATTTAAATAATTTGTACATGGATCAAGTTGAAGAAATTGTTAAATTATATAAAATACGTGATTTACAATTAGTTAAAACGGCTTTTGGAGAATCTCTTATTGAATATATTGAACAAACTGAAGTTACTATAAAATTGCTATATCCTCATAGTAATATAGCACAAAATGATTCTTCCAATTCAAAACGATTACCATTTGACTTGTTACAAATTTCATATCCCAACCAAACATTCAATTATTATGCTTTAGTACGGGAAAATCATAATTTAATATTATTGAATAATGCTATGAATCCTCAACTTTTTGAAGAAAAAATTGGTTTAAATGTTGACTATCTAAAACTTGTGGTATCTATAATTTTAAAGACACCTAAGCAGGACGTTAATAAATTTATGGAAAACTTAATGGAATATAAAACTGAAAAATTAAAACAATATTTACATCATTTAGATACTTATAAAGAAAATGAAGAATCGTGGAAAATTGAATGGTGGAAAGAATTTGGATTAAATTTAGTGCCATATTATCCTTGTTTATTCGATAAATTTGGTGAAAATTTTGAAAAAGATATTTGTCCAGTATCTAATATAAAATTTTTCAACAAATATCATGAAGAAATAACTTTAAATATGATAGACATAAATACACAAAATCTTCTTTCTTTGTTAGGCACAACTATCGGATCATTATTTCTAGAAATTGTATGCCAAGAAACAGCACATGACTTTATAATATTGCAAAAAGAATATACAAGAAATAATTCTAATACATTACAAGAAGAATATAGAATCTCATTAATAAATGCTTTAAATAGACATGATGAAATATTTAATGTTATTTCATTACACATTGAAGATCCTGCATTTGCATTTAATTTTATAACTAAAGACGATATAAATTTACTTGAAAAAATAATTAATGCTTTAGAAGAAAAAACTAATTTTAACTTAACATTTATTAAAAATACAATTTATGTGATGAAAACAATAAACTCTAATCCTATTAGAAACATTTTAAATGGAAAAATTCCAATTTACGTAAATATTGTAAATAATGAAACTTATACTGGATATGGTTATAAATTTACGTTTTTATCGGAAAATTTAAGAGAAAGGGCATATTTGAGAACTGATTATGAATTTAGAAATAAAAAATTAACTTTACTAATTGATGAATTTTCTGAAAATGGGAAAAAATATATTAGAATAAATAGTGAAACTCTTAGACCTGAATTCAATTCTATTATGTATGAATTTAATAATCAAGTTCGAAGTAAAGCCAATAATGTCTCTTTTTCTGGAATAACAATGTATCACGATGATGAAAATTGTGAGAATAGTACATATTTATTATATTCCAGATATATTCATGTTTGCTTAAGACACTGGAGTTTAAATACTAAACTTGATTTTGTGAATAGTTTTGTTGAATATGTACAAGTTCGTACAAATCATACTGAGGAACAAATTTATGCAACATTAAATAAATACATATTTCCTGATAATACAACATTGAAGTGGTTTTCTGATAATTGGATAGTAAACAGAAGAATAGAAGAACCAAGTTGGGGTAAAAATTTTCTAATAAACAATCCTCAGCTATTTAATAAATTAAGATACGATACTCGTCTTGAAAATCATCGGATCTACGACAGTGATGGTATATTTAGAATCAACGCCCTTTACACATACAGAGAAAGACATATAATTGAAAAAGGAACATCAATTGAAAATATAATTAAAAATTATCACGATCAGAAAGCATATTTTTCAGCAACATTTGAAGATTATTATGCTATTCGAAATTACGCTACAACAGGATATAAAAGAATAAATTCGAATACAAATGAAGCAAAACTAATGAAACTTGCTTTATATAATTTAGCAATAAGACAATCTGGCGAGGAATTTGAATTAAGACTTTTTAGAGTTGAATCCAAATCAATTTATGGTGAAAATAATTTGTTTCTTAATAAAACTATAACTCTGCAAAAATTTACATTAGCTTCTACTGATCTAGAATCTGCAAAAAGATTTTTTGTTCATCCAGAGGATGGATTTATAAATGTTGTTTATGAAATGGTATTTGATGGACCTTATATAAGGGGGAAAATAGATCAACTTTATGAAAGAAAGGAGAAGAAGGCTATTCTCTTACCTGGTAGTGAATTTCTTCTAACAAATATCAGAACAGAAGGGATTGAAGGATTGGGCACTGTATTAAAATTAAAGTTGCAGTATAAACACGATACTATGGATAAATATACATGGTATAAAAAAATTATGGCAGAGAGAGAGAAAATCAAGTTCTGATGTTTTGACTATTTTTCAATAACATTATCCGATTATCCTAATTATTTTCATACTATATTGTAATAATAAATAAAATATTTTTAATATTAACTTTCATGTTATTTCTATTTTTTCTTAAAAATCTCAACTCTCCAGCAATTGGTTATGATTATAAATTTAATTTCATGGGACGCATGAATAAGCTCTAAACCAAATTTTTCAGATTTTTATGATTTGATAGAAATTCTTTAGAATATTAATTTTTGCAGAATATTTATTTGTTGGAATATTAATGTTTTAGAAAATGCAAATGATCGAAAAGCAATTTAAAGTTTCCGTTGAATTATATCTGTCAAATTGATATTCAATCAATTTAATTTTCTAAAATATTAATATTCCAACAAATAAATATTCTGCAAAATTAATATTCTAAAGAATTTCTATCAAATCATATATAGGTCTGAAAAATTTAGTTTAGAGCTTATTCATGCGTCCAAATTTCATTTTCTTATATAAAATTTTTCAATTTTTACAAAGAAACTTAAAAAAAATCACATTTTAAACAAAATTTATAATTAAAAAATATACTTATTTATTAAAGAATAAAACATGGGAATATTTTAATATTAATTTTAAAAAACAACTACACAAATTATAGGGATTTTATTGCCAACTATTTAAACAATATTTACATTAATTTTGGTATAACACAATACACATAAGCGTGAAGAAGAGATTTAAATAAAATGAATAATTTACAGATTTTTTTGCAATTAGCATATTTAATTTTAAATACATAATTATCATAAATGATTTATTCTTTTTTGCTTTGTTATGTTAATTTTAAAAAAAAGGAATTAAAATTTTTCCCTTAAAATTTCAACGATTGGGTCAGTTACCTAAAAAAAAATAAGAAACGTCTGCTAAAACTATTATTTATTTTGGAAATTCTTTTTGTGAACTATGTAAATAATTGTATGTTGATAAAAATTTGTACAATGAGTAATAATTAGATACAAACATAAAAGTCACTATATATTTGATAAATATTGTAAGTAGTATATAATGTTAAAATTTGTCTTCTCAGAGTAAGTTAATTCAAAGAAATTTTCATTAGCGAAAAACAAAAGGTAATATAAAATTTTGAATTCTTTTTTTTTTAATTTTCACATTAAAAAAATTATTACTCGAGTGATTCAAAATATAGAAGAAAACTTTGTGTTCTAAAGACCTAATCATTTTTGCAATAAACAATGATTTACATCTGTATTTTAATTTACGCATTTCTTGCACCAACATTCACATTTGAGGTAAATTTTCGTTTTTAACATTAATATAAACATTACAATAAACTATATTATTATTATTATTCTTATTGTTATTATTATTGTTGTTATAATAATTATTATTGTATATGTAAGATAAAAATATTTATTATGGATTTAAAGAATAAAAAAACTTTTCTAGGTTCATCAAAATTTTGATGATTATTTCTTGAAACAGTCTCATACATCTGATAAAGGTACAATATGTTTATTTTATAAAAATTATAATTTAAAAATATACTTTTGATTATTAATAATAAATATTTTTAAAAAACCACTACGTACGATCAATAACAAAATCGAAAAATCTTTTATAATTTTTACAGCTTAAAATTTATAAAGACCTAAAATTATTCATATGTTTTTTAATTCCTTAGTATCTGATTATGAAGTAATATCTGTTGAACATTCTATTCACAAAAGAAGTACTAATCAAATTTCAATTAAATTAAAAAATGAAAATGGCACTGAACGAGAGTTAATTTTGCAATCCGTAGAAGATTTTTTTACTACTAAAGAAACAAATGTATGGACAGCTCGAAAATATGGAAATAAATTTAAATATACCCCTCAAAAAGAAGTAAGTAAATAATTAATTTTATAATATAATTATTTTGAATAAAAATAGTGTAAAATGAAGATTTTACCACATAAAATTTTTGTTATGTCTTATTTTAATAAATACTCCAGGTTATGGAGAAAGTGAATATTACATTTTATCAAGATGAAAAAACACAGTCTACAATAACTCATACTGTAAATAAAAGAGGAATTTCAGAATTCGTAAGTATTTTATGAGTATTTATAAACAGTGTTACTATACGGTATAATAAAATTATAGAATTAGGAATTTTATTTCAAATTATTTGATTTTAAATTATTTTATAAAATTTTTGCTAGAATGGAGTTATTGATTCTGATAAAGTGATTCGTCCATTAAATAATTACATTCGTAAACGTCGTAATGTTTTATCAGATGTAATTTATAAATCTGAGAATATAGACAGCACTAAGAATTATCATGTAGTTTATAAACGAGTCTCCACTGCTCATTTTAAAGAATTTAATAATTATGATCATATATTGAAAAAATCTAATCATAGAATGAAAAGGTCAATTTTAAATGCACCAAATACAGTTTATCCGGAAATTTTAGTCTATGTTGATAAAACACTTTTTGAGTAAGTTTTTACACTTTAATTTAATATTTTAAATAAATATATATATTTATTCCATTTTTTTACTAGTAGGAATTAACTTTTTACTTTTTTGTATATAGATCCTTCAACAATGATATTGTCAAAACTGTAGCTTATACCCTAACTTTTTGGAATGGTGTAGATCTTTATTTTAGAGATTTAAAAAATCCATCAGTGCGTCTAAGTATTGCTGGAATTGTTTTGTGTCAGGTAAAATTTAGTTCGATAATTCTCTAAAAGAATTAACAACATAAAATAGCTAATATAATAATAAGGAATTATTTAACAATGTTTTCACAAAAGTTTTTTTAAAATATTATATTTTATATGAATTCTTTAGAAGTATTGTTATAAATTCTGAATTCTATACTAAAATTTTAAAATTACAATTGAGACTTTGGATTTTAAAATGAGATTGAAATTAACGTCACAAGTTTTAATTGTATTAAAAATTTTGAAATCAAATTTTAACAGTTGATTCTTATCATCGGAATTTGATATTAAAAAAATTTCAAAATATTCAATTCCACCAAAATTTGTGACGTAAATTCGCTTTTTTAATATCCGGAGCATCAATTAATACAAGATTATAAATTACACATTTTATTTGCAATTAAAGGATCAATTTAAAATGAATAATCCATTTATAATAACGGAGTCCTACATGGCGTTATTTCAACAGTTTATGTATATGGAAAATAAATTTAAATTGGGAGAAAATTACGATATTGCAGTCTTATTAGGTGCAAATCCAAAAGTATATGAAAAAAACGGGGAAATATTAGGTCGGTATTAAATATTTTTTAATCTGTTAAAATAATAAATAAATTTAAAATAAAACGTATTAAGTCAAAAAAAATTTCAAGGTCTAGCAACAGCTAAAGGAGTTTGTCAAACCAATCATCAATTTTATATGACTACATCCACAGCGATAATTATGGATGATGTTAATTTTATGGGTATTTCAAGTGCTGCACATGAATTTGGTCATTTGTAAGATTCGTCAAATTAAAATATAAATGTTATTTATTAAATAAGTTAATGATAAATTAATTTTGTGTTTGTAAAAATTCACAAAAATTTAATTAATAATAATAATTTGCATTACTATTTTATTTAACAAGATTCGGAGCTCCTCATGACGGTAGTAGAGCGGATTTTCGTAATAATATACCAGGGGCAGAATCATGTCCTTTTAACGAAGGTTTCATTATGAGCTATAAAACAAATAACAAAAATCGATATTTCTTTTCTCAATGTTCCAAGGATATTATTTCCAGTTACCTAAGGTTTATACTATTTAATATATATATATATATATATTTTATTTGATATATTTAAAATTTTAGAGAAATTAATTGAAATTCCAGAGGGGTTACTTCGTTATATATATTGAATAATGTGGTTTAAACTTATTTTCAGTCAAGACGTTACTAAATGTCTTCGTAATAATCCGGCTATTAATAGAACTGATAAACAAATCTTAAGAATATTGCCTGGTAAATATAAGACAGTTGATGAACAATGCCAAAGTAAAGGATACAGCAAAGCATATAGTGTAGGTTTTAAAAACACATTTATTTTATGTGAAATCAGATTTTAAAAATTCAAAATGGCGGATCCAATATGGCGGACGAGAAAATAGAAAATCAATTTGTATACTTGAAACTTGTTACTCGAGGGGTTTTAAGGGTCGCCAAATACGAATATGAAGTCAGATTTTAAAAATTCGAATTAATTTTTCATTTCTTCTGTTCGATATGTTGGATCCGCCATTTTGAATTTTTTAAATCTTACTTGAAATAAAAAAAAATAATTTATAGTAAATAATATAAAAGATTGACATTTTAATTAAGGTGGATGAAAATATTTGTACAAATATAAGATGTCACGCAAAGTTTCTTTTTTTCTCATATTCAAAGGAGATACAAGCGGCACTTGAAGGAACCTCCTGCGGTTTGGGAAAAGTGAGTAATTTTTTAATCAATCTTCTCAATAATAATAATAATAATTCATATGCAATAAATGTTTTAACAAAAAAATTTGTTCCAAATTTTAGATTTGCTTGAGGGGAGAGTGTGTAAAATTAGACTTAGACGAAATTGAGGCGACTTCTATTGCAAATACTTTATTCTATAATGTTTCTAATTAAATATTGTCTTCGAACATTTTAAAATTTGTAAAAAAAATTCTATAAATAAACAAATTTACACCACTACTTTATCTAGTTATCTATTTCACTTTAATAATTTAAATTTAAGTTGGTCAAAATTGGAGGTGGTGTCACCCCTTAATTTAATTTAAATCCAATTTAATAAAGAAATGAAAACTAAATTTTTATAAATTTTTTTTATATTTTCATAAATTATATTACACAAGAATAGAGAGAGAGAGAGAGAGAGAGAGAGAGAGAGAGAGAGAGAGAGAGAGAGAGAGAGAGAGAGAGAGAGAGAGAGAGAGAGAGAGAGAGAGAGAGAGAGAGAGAGAGAGAGAGAGAGAGAGAGAGAGAGAGAGAGAGAGAGAGAGAGAGAGAGAGAGAGAGAGGGGGGGGGGGGGGTAAATGTTTCGCTTTTTTTCAAATAAAAAAAATGGAAATTTCCAATCTTATCCCATTTTATTCAGTATGTGATTAAAAAGATTATTATACTTAATAATTTTATAATAATTTAAGTATATAATCTATGCCAATGTAAAAGAAGGTCGGGGACAAGGCAGTGCGTAATTATATTTTATTAGTTTAGGCCAATAATAATCTAAAGTAATTTTCTTAAATTTTTTTATCCAAAAAATATGTTTATTTTTTTGACGTTTCGATGATAGCCAACATCCTTTTCAAGAAATTACAAAAATCTATAATTAATTTTCTTTGTTATTTATAATAAATTATATAATTTTAATCCCACAAAATGCGAACATTTTTTTTTTAATTTTGATAAAAAAAGTTTTCTAAAAAATGATATAATTATTTTTAATTAAATAATTAATTAAATATAAAAAAAATTTTAATTGAAAGTTAAATCTCTAAATATTTCAAAAAATAAATATACATGGTATAAAAAAATCATGTTAGAAATAGATAAAATCGAGTTCTGATATAAAAATATTTTCTAAATACTTTTTTTTGTCAACCTTTTTATTTTTTGAAATTTTATCATCATTATTTTTCAATAAAACTATCTGATTATCATAATTATTTTTATACTATAAATATTGGAATAATAAATAAAATATTTTTAATGTTAATGTTATTTCTAATTTTCCTTAAAAATCTTATGTATTTTAACTCTCCAGCAATTGGTTATAATTAGTATATTTAAAAATTTAATTTCATTCTCCTATAGGAAATTTTTAAATTTTCACAATTTTTGGAAAAATCACATTTTAATCATAATTTATAATTAATAAATATACTTATTTATTAAAGAATATAACATGGGGATATTTTAATATTAATTTTAAAAAACAACTACACGAATTATAGGGATTTTATTGCCAACTATTTAAACAATATTTACATGAATTTTGGTATAACAACACACATACATGTGAAGAAGAGATTTAGATAAAGTGAATAATTTACAGATTTCTTCTTGGGTCAGTTACCTTAAAAAAAATAAGAAACGTGTGCTAAAACTATTGTTTATTAAAATTTTTTTTTTGAACTATGTAATTATTTGTACGCTGATAAGAATTTGTGAGATAAGTAAAAATTAAATACAAACATTTAAAATCACTATATATTTGATACATTTTGTAAGCAGTATATAATGTTAAAATTTGTCTTCTCAGAGTAATTTAATCTAAAGAAATTTTCATTAACGGAAAACGGAAGGTAATTTAAAATTTTGACTTTTTTTTTTAATTTTCACATTAAACAAAAAAAATTATTACTTGAGTGATTCATAATATAATAGACAACTTTGTGTTCTAAAGACCTAATCATTTTTGCAATAAACAATGATTTACATCTGTATTTTAATTTACGCATTTCTTGCACCAACATTCACATTTGAGGTAAATTTTCGTTTTTAAAATTAATATAAACATTACAATAAACTTTATTATTATTGTTATTATAATTATTATTAAATTTTTTATTTTTATAATAATTATTATTATTATGTATGTAAGATAAAAATATTCATTATGGATTCAAAGAATAAAAAAACTTTTCTAGGTTCATCAAAATTTTGATGATTATTTCTTGAAACAGTCTCATACATCTGATAAAGGTACAATATGTTTATTTTATAAAAATTATAATTTAAAAATATACTTTTGATTATTAATAATAAATATTTTTAAAAAACCACTACGTACTATCAATAACAAAATCGAAAAATCTTTTATAATTTTTACAGCTTAAAATTTATAAAGACCCAAAATTATTCATATTTTTTTTAATTCCTTAGTATCTGATTATGAAGTAATTTCTGTTGAACATTCTATTCACAAAAGAAGTACTAATGAAATTTCAATTAAATTAAAAAATAAAAATGGCACTGAACGCGAGTTAATTTTGCAATCCGTAGAAGATTTTTTTACTACTAAAGATACAAATGTATGGACAGCTCAAAGATATGGAAATATATTTAATTATACTCTGCAAAAAGATGTAAGTAAATAATTAATTTTAGAATATAATTATTTTGAATAAAAATAGTGTCCTTACTATTCAATTTAGTAAGCCTTAGTTGTTTTTTAAAATAATTTAAAATAAGTAATTAATGAAGATTTTACCACATAAAATTTTTGTTATGTCTTATTTTAATAAATGCTCCAGGTTATGGAGAAAGTGAATATTACATTTTATCAAGATGAAAAAACACAGTCTACAATAACTCATACTGTAAATAAAAGAGGAATTTCAGAATTCGTAAGTATTTTATGAGTATTTATAAATAGTGTTACTATACGGTATAATAAAATTATAGAATTAGGAATTTTATTTCAAATTATTTGATTTTAAATTATTTTTTAAAATTTTTGCTAGAATGGAGTTATTGATTCTGATAAAGTGATTCGTCCATTAAATAATTACATTCGTAAACGTCGTAATGTTTTATCAGATGCAATTTATAAATCTGAGAATATGGACAGCACTAAGAATTATCATGTAGTTTATAAACGAGTCTCCACTCCTCATTTTAAAGAAATTAATAATTATGATCATATATTGAAAAAATCTAATCATAGAATGAAAAGATCAATTTTAAATGCACCAAATACAGTTTATCCGGAAATTTTAGTCTATGTTGATAAAACACTTTTTGAGTAAGTTTTTACACTTTAATTTAATATTATAAATTAATAAATATTTATTCAATTTTCTACTAGTAGGAATTAACATTTTCTATTTTGTATATAGATCCTTCAATAATGATATTGTTAAAACTGTGGCTTATACCCTAACTTTTTGGAATGGTGTAGATCTTTATTTTAGAGATTTAAAAAATCCATCAATACGTCTAAGCATTGCTGGAATTGTTTTGTGTCAGGTAAAATTTAGTTTGATAATTCTCTTAACGAATTAAAAAAAAACAAAAAAAAATTGACAAAGTATAGGTTATAATATCAAACAAAAATATATTTCTTTAAAAATTTCTTTTTGAGTAAATATTATTAAAAATGAAGACGGTGTGATATTACTGAAATGAATGCAATATATAAAATTGAGTTTAATTACAGATTATATTGAGAATGATAATCGTGGATTGTTGAAACGTTTATTTTTGATATATGTAGGGGAATAGTGTCAGGGTTGGACACAGTTTTAGTTTTTTGTTTATAAATATTTTGTTTAGATAAATTCAATCAATTGTGGTATATGGGTGGAAAGATCTACAAAAGAGGAATACTTTTGCTGTGGACCGTAAATTGATTGGTTCAAAATTAAAAAAGTTATAAACATTTTAAAAAAAAATCTAGTCAGGGTTGGACACTTTTTGAAAATCGAAACGCATTATTGGTAAAAACGTAAAATAACATTTGTAATGGTTTTTATTCTTATTTTTTCATGTTTATCTTTACTTTTTGTTTACAAATTGTAAAGCTTCATGGGTTTAAAAAAGGAATGAACTCAAATTACAAAAAATAACGCTTTATTGTTCAAAATAACTCAATGAAATGATGAACAAAATTTATACAATTTAAGTATTATTTTTCTAATATCTTTGGCACAATTTTGCACTGAAATATCAATAAAATAAAATTGATTTATAAATTGTGTCAAATTCATAATTAATATGGGTGTCCAATCCTAACTGTATAAAGTGTCCAACCCTAACTAGAAGCATCATTTTCGAATTGTGCTAACCATAACCAGACATGTGTCGCGATTCGATTTTTCACTTTTTTTCTTCTTAAATTATTTACCCCACAATACATTCAATAAGCTTACCTTGCCGAATTCTTGCTTTTTTTACACATTTTTTAGGTTTATTCATAAGTCAAACAAAACTTTTTTTGTCTATTCGATTGCACCGAAATCATATAGGAGACGCTACTTTTGATTCTCCAAAAATGTAATGCCATAAAAAGTTAGGTTACACTACTAGAAGATTCGACACGTACGCACACAGGTGGCGCTAGTGTTCTTATTTAAAAAAAGCCAAGTGTCCAACCCTGACACTATTCCCCTATATATATATAAATCACATTAAATATAATATTTTTAAAAAACTGTTATGAAACATAATGTTAAATAATTACTTATTATTTTATTAGCTATTTTATGATGTTAATTCTCTAAATTAATCTTTTAATATTTATTTTCATGTCGACTTATAATTTAAATTTTTTTTTCCAAGACACGAAAATAAACATTAAAAGATTAATTTAGAGAATTAACATCATAAAATAGCTAATAAAACAATAAGGAATTATTATTTAACATTATGTTTCATAAAAGTTTTTTAAAAATATTATATTTTATATGAATTCTTTAGAAGTATTGTTATAAATTCTGAATTCTATACTAAAATTTTAAAATTACAATTGAGGCTTTGGATTTTAAAATGAGATTGAAATTAACGTCACAAGTTTTAATTGTATTAAAAATTTTGAATTCAAATTTTAACAGTTGATTCTTATCTTTGGAATTTGATATTAAAAAAATTTCAAAATTTTCAATTCCACCAAAATTTGTGTCGTGAATTCACCTCTTTTTAAGATCCGGAGCATCAATTAATACAAGATTATAAATTACACATTTTATTTGCATTTAAAGGATCAATTTAAAACGAGTAATCCATTTACAATAACGGAGTCATACATGATGTTGTTTCAACACTTTATGTATATGGAAGATAAATTCAAATTGGGAGAAAATTACGATATTGCAGTATTATTAGGTGCAAATCCGGAAGCATATAAAAATAAAGAGGAAACATTAGGTCGGTATTAAATATTTTTTAATCTGTTAAAATAATAAATTAATTTAGAATAAAACGTATTAAGTCAAAAAAAATTTCAAGGTATAGCAACAATTAAAGGAGTTTGTCAAACTAATCATCAATTTTATATGACTACATCCACAGCGATAATTATGGATGATGTTAATTTTATGGGTATTTCAAGTGCTGCACATGAATTTGGTCATTTGTAAGATTCGTCAAATTAAAATATAAATGTTATTTATTAAATAAGTTAATGATAAATTAATTTTGTGTTTGTAAAAATTCACAAAAATTTAATTAATAATAATAATTTGCATTACTATTTTATTTAACAAGATTCGGAGCTCCTCATGACGGTAGTAGAGCGGATTTTCGTAATAATATACCAGGGGCAGAATCATGTCCTTTTAACGAAGGTTTCATTATGAGCTATAAAACAAATAACAAAAATCGATATTTCTTTTCTCAATGTTCCAAGGATATTATTTCCAGTTACTTAAGGTTTATACTATTTAATATATATATATATATATATATTTTATTTGATATATTTAAAATTTTAGAGAAATTAATTGAAATTCCAGAGGGGTTACTTCGTTATATATATTGAATAATGTGGTTTAAACTTATTTTCAGTCAAGACGTTACTAAATGTCTTCGTAATAATCCGGCTATTAATAGAACTGATAAACAAATCTTAAGAATATTGCCTGGTAAATATAAGACAGTTGATGAACAATGCCAAAGTAAAGGATACAGCAAAGCATATAGTGTAGGTTTTAAAAACACATTTATTTTATGTGAAATCAGATTTTAAAAATTCAAAATGGCGGATCCAATATGGCGGACGAGAAAATAGAAAATCAATTTGTATACTTGAAACTTGTTACTCGAGGGGTTTTAAGGGTCGCCAAATACGAATATGAAGTCAGATTTTAAAAATTCGAATTAATTTTTCATTTCTTCTGTTCGATATGTTGGATCCGCCATTTTGAATTTTTTAAATCTTACTTGAAATAAAAAAAAATAATTTATAGTAAATAATATAAAAGATTGACATTTTAATTAAGGTGGATGAAAATATTTGTACAAATATAAGATGTCACGCAAAGTTTCTTTTTTTCTCATATTCAAAGGAGATACAAGCGGCACTTGAAGGAACCTCCTGCGGTTTGGGAAAAGTGAGTAATTTTTTAATCAATCTTCTCAATAATAATAATAATAATTCATATGCAATAAATGTTTTAACAAAAAAATTTGTTCCAAATTTTAGATTTGCTTGAGGGGAGAGTGTGTAAAATTAGACTTAGACGAAATTGAGGCGACTTCTATTGCAAATACTTTATTCTATAATGTTTCTAATTAAATATTGTCTTCGAACATTTTAAAATTTGTAAAAAAAAATTCTATAAATAAACAAATTTACACCACTACTTTATCTAGTTATCTATTTCACTTTAATAATTTAAATTTAAGTTGGTCAAAATTGGAGGGTGGTGTCATCCCTTAATTTAATTTAAATCCAATTTAATAAAAAAATAAAAACTAAATTTTTATAATTTTTTTTTATATTTTCATAAATTATATTACACAAGAATGGAGAGAGAGAGAGAGGTAAATGTTTCGCTTTTTTTCAAATAAAAAAAATGGAAATTTCCAATCTTATCCCATTTTATTCAGTATGTGATTAAAAAGATTATTATACTTAATAATTTTATAATAATTTAAGTATATAATCTATGCCAATGTAAAAGAAGGTCGGGGACAAGGCAGTGCGTAATTATATTTGATAAAAGCCTACACACGTTCTTTTATCATGAGCTATACAGACATCTCAACAGTGAATAAACTCTAGTCCATCACAGAGTGTATGGCAAGTGCAAGTGTACTTAAAACACATTTGCGTAACTTTTTATCATCTTTTTTTTTTTTTTTTTTTAAATATTATTATCAAAATGGAACCACCGGATTTTGTTAAAAAACAAATTCAACTTTTTTTAAGTGATAACAATTATTCTAATTCAATATTAAAATTTTCAAATGCCAGCAAGGATGGAGATAATTTTTTGGGTTCATTATATCGTGTAAATATTAATGCCAAGAAAAATAACGAAAATAAAGAATTAAATTTAGTTGTAAAATGTTTTCCAATTGATGAAAAAATGAGAGTTTTTTCTAAAATTGACGATATGTTTCTTAATGAAATTGCATTTTACGAAGAGAGACTACCACTTTTTGTTAATTTACTAAAAGATTTTAATATGACATTTAATGACGTTCCTTTTTATTATAAAGGTTGTAAAACACCAAAAAACGAGGTATTTATTTTATTTCATTGAAATTATTTCTTTTAATTATATTAATTTTTTTTTATTAAATTATGGGACGCATGATTATGCTCTAAAAATCATTAGTTAGAATTTTCATTTTATGGAATTTCATTTGTCATATAATTATTTTTGAGCCGAATTTTTATTTATTTATTAGAATTTTCACCTGCAAAATAGTAATTCGATAAAAATTTGGCTCAAAAATAATTATATGACAAATGAAATTCCATAAAATGAAAGTTCAAACTAATGATTTTTAGAACATAATCATGTGTCCCTAAATTACAAAATAAATTTTTATGAATTTATTTATTGATTTTAAAAAATTATATAATATATTTAGATTTTAATTTTGGAAGACTTGAGGACTGAGGGATTTGTATTAAAAGAAACAAAATTATTGGATTATCCTCATGCTGTTCTTGTAGCTCAACATCTTGGTAGATTTCATGCATACAGTTTTGCTCTTCGCGATAAAAAACCTAAAGAATTTGAAAATTTTCGAAAAATAAAAGAACCATTATTTTTTAAGACCAACTGTTATGAAAAACAAATTGATGCACTCATGGAAGTTGCACTTAAGGTGTGTGCGTGTGTGTGTGTTGAACATTACGAAAACGAATTGGTGACTCAATTTTTGCTTTTGATAGTAAAATTTTATTAAAATTTAAAAATCAAAAAGTGAGTCACTACTTTAAATTAGTTAAAATTGTTACTAATTAAAATTTAGAGAGTAGAAAAAAATTTATTTTACCTGTTTTCTTAATATTCAGGTTAATTATAGTTTATATAGATGAAAAATTAAATTATCTTATGATTACAGGCTTTAGAAAATGAAGATAAACATTATATTGAAAAAATTCAACAACTTAGGAAAAATGCACAAAAAATGATTGATTATTCATGTGATAGTAAAAATTCAGAACCATATTCCACTCTTAATCATGGTGATTTATGGACGCTTAATATTTTATTCAAATATAATGAAGTAAGATATAGATATATGTGAAAATCTAAAATATTTCTTTATAATTTTAAGTATTTTTTGGATTATTATTATCTAAATTTGAAATGAGAGCAATTTTATGCCCTAGAATCAAAAATTACCATTTTTAACCCTAGAGTTAAAAGAGACAATTTTTAATCCTAGGCTCAAAAATCGATATTTTAATCCCTAGGGTTAAAAAAATCAATTTTACATTTTTCATCTTAGGCTCAAAAATTTTAATTTTGCACCCTTGGTTAAAAAAAAAAAATTACTTTAATTCCTGATAATAAAAATAGAATCTACAATTGAAAAAAAAATTAAAAAATATATTTCTTTTTAGAAATTAGAGCCGGAAGATATTCGTTTTCTTGATTTTCAACTGCAAAGATTTGCTTCGCCAGCAATTGATATTCTTTATACATTTTTTACCTGCCTCAATCAGGAGGTAAAAGAAAAATATTTTGATGAATTATTATATCATTATCATAATTCATTATCTCAATTATTAAAGACATTGAGTTGTGATGTTGAGAAAATTTATCCATTTGAAGCACTTTTGGAACATCTTCAACGTTTTGGAAGTTTTGGCGCTTGTATGTGTCTCATTGATCTTCATTTAATAACTGCCCAAATGGGAGATAATCCACAGCCACTTTATAATCTTGATTATTTAAAAACTCTTCCTGAACTTTTGAAAACTAATAAACTCTATTACACTACAATGAGAGATTCGTTGAAATTGATGGTAGACAGAAATTATTTATAATTTTCTGTTTTTTGTATTTATATCATAAAATTTTTTTAGTTATTATTATTATTATTATTAGATACATATAATGTAATTATTCAATATTTTGTTATTTCGAGAAATTTGAACAAATAACGTTTCTAATAAAAGTTAATTTTAAGGGAAAAAAATGTAGTAAATTATTTACATAAAAATAATTTTTTGCTTTTAAATAACGGTGCTGGAGCTTGAAAAAATTATTTTAAGGCCAAGTCCAAGTCGAGTCAGCTGTTCCTTTGAAGTTTCAATGGAACAGCTGACACGACTTGGACCTGGCCTTAAGGACAGTGGAAGCCCTAACATAACCTCAAAACTGAAAAATAATTTTCAATTAAAACCAAATTTTTTTAATAAAAATTAATTTCAAACAATTTTAGAAGATTGGATAAACATTATGATTTTTGTCTGCTCTAACAGTCAAAAATTTTACAAAAATAATTATTATAAACAAAAGATTTTAACTCAACATAATTTTTTCCGAAAAGTGTATTTAATGGTGTTCCGCAATATAGCAAGCAGTAATTGTCTATCAAAAAAATACCAGTTATCCTGAAATGTTGTACTTTCATTTACGAACAAGAAAATGAAAATTCATTACAATAAACAACGTCAGGAAATAAAATGAGAAATTTTTTTGTAGCCGTCAGGTGCTGCCCCAGACGGTAAATTTCAGTACTACGCAAATGTTCCCTGATGGCACATTGCATGATGCGAATCAAGATGCGAATGCTCCACGAAATTGGCGGAGCATTCGTGGAACACGAGGATAAGATTGAAATTTTGTCTCAAATATATAAAAAATGATAAATTATATAGTTAAATAATTGAAACAATAAGGTTTATGTTTTTTATGATGATTATTGTTAAATAATTATAAAAATTTAATGTTTTTATTAATATCAATGTATTACAGTTTATTATGAACATTTGTCGATAAAATCATTATAACCGCGCTTTTTAGAAGGTAGGTGGCAGCACTTTTTTTCCTTTAATTAAATAATTTCAGTAATTTTTTTATCAAAAGCAAATCTTTTATTTGTTAAACTGAAATATTGGCCAAAAAATGTATTATTTTATAAGTCTAAATAAATTTTGTGATTTTTTAAATTCTTCGTCATCCCGGGAAGTAGTCTGGAATAGAAAAAAATTAAAGATATCTCATATTTGAATACGAAATTAAAATATTTTAATTCCATTTAATATCTTATATTTCCACTTTTTCAAAGTAATCTAAATAAGATAGATGGGAAACTAAATAAATTCCACATAATTCTAATATAATACCACCAATAAATGAGCAAAAACTCTCGAACAAAAAATGTATAGCGCACTTTTTGATTGGTCCAGCGGATGCTGAGCTACACTCAAAAATATTTTGGAAAAATTTACGAAAAATTAAATTTGCGAGATAATCGTTCGGGAATACCGCCAAAGTCTTTAGCAAAAAGTAGCGAACAAAAAATGTATGGCGCACTTTTTGATTGGTCCATCGGATGCTGAGCTACACTAGAAAACAAATTTAGAAAAAATTTAGAAAAATTAAATTTTCGAGAAAATCGCTCCGGAATAACACCAAAGTAGTTAGAAGAAAGTTCTGAACAAAAAATGTATGGCGCAATTTTTGATTGGTCCATCGGATGCTGAGCTACACCAGAAAACAAATTTGAAAAAAATTTAGGAAAATTAAATTTTCGAGATAATCGTTCGGGAATACCGCCAAAGCCTTTAGCAAAAAGTAGCGAACAAAAAATGTATAGCGCACTTTTTGATTGGTCCAGCGGATGCTGAGCTACACCAGAAAACAAATTTAGAAAAATTAAATTTGCGAGATAATCGCTCTAGGATACCACCAACAAAATAGGGAAAAAGTTTTAAACAAAAAATGTATGGCGCACTTTTTGATTGGTCCAGCGGATGCTGAGCTACACTCACTAAAACTGGAAAAAAAATTTGGAAAAAAAAAATTTGCCAGATAATGACTCGGTAATAATGCCAAAAAATTGAGCAAAAAGTCTTGAACAAAAAACGTATGGCGCACTTTTTGATTGGTCCAGCGGATGCTGAGTTACACTCAAAAATATTTTGGAAAAATTTTCGAAAAATAAAATTTGCGAGATAATCGTTCGGGTATACCGCCAAAGTCTTTAGCAAAAAGTAGCGAACAAAAAATGTATGGCGCACTTTTTGATTGGTCCAGCGGATGCTGAGCTACACTCACTAAAACTGGGAAAAAATTTCGAAAAAAAAATTTTCCAGATAATTACTCGGGAATAATGCCAAAAAATTGAGCAAAAAGTCTCGAACAAAAAATGTATGGCGCACTTTTTGATTGGTCCAGCGGATGCTGAGCTACACCAGAAAACAAATTTGGAAAAAATTTAGAAAAATTAAATTTTCGAGATAATCGCTCTGGGATACCACCAAGAAAATAGGGAAAGAGTTTCGAACAAAAAATGTATGGAGCACTTTTTGATTGGTCCATCGGATGCTGAGCTACACCAGAAAACAAATTTGGAAAAAATTTAGAAAAATTAAATTTTCGAGATAATCGCTCCGGAATACCACCAAAGTAGTTAGAAGAAAGTTCTGAACAAAAAATGTATGGCGCAATTTTTGATTGGTCCAGCGGATGCTGAGCTACACCAGAAAACAAATTTGGAAAAAATTTAGAAAAATTAAATTTGCGAGATAATCGCTCTGGGATACCACCAAGAAAATAGGGAAAGAGTTTCGAACAAAAATGTATGGCGCACTTTTTGATTGGTCCATCGGATGCTGAGCTACACCAGAAAACAAATTTGGAAAAAATTTAGAAAAATTAAATTTTCGAGATAATCGCTCCGGAATACCACCAAAGTAGTTAGAAGAAAGTTCTGAACAAAAAATGTATGGCGCACTTTTTGATTGGTCCAGCGGATGCTGAGCTACACCAGAAAACAAATTTGGAAAAAATTTAGAAAAATATAAATTTGCAAGATAATCGCTCTGGGATACCACCAATAAAATAGGGAAAAAGTTTCGAACAAAAATGTATGGCGCACTTTTTGATTGGTCCAGCGGATGCTGAGCTACACTCACTAAAACTGGGAAAAAAATTTCGAAAAAAAAAATTTGCCAGATAATGACTTGGGAATAATGCCAAAAAATTGAGCAGAAAGTCTCGAACAAAAAATGTATAGCGCACTTTTTGATTGGTCCAGCGGATGCTGAGCTACACTCAAAAATATTTTGGAAAAATTTTCGAAAAATTAAATTTGCGAGATAATCGTTCGGGAATACCGCCAAAGTTTTTAGCAAAAAGTAGCGAACAAAAAATGTATGGCGCACTTTTTGATTGGTCCAGCGGATGCTGAGCTACACTCAAATAAATTTCCGAAAAATTTTCAAAAATTAAATTTGCGTTATAATCGCTCAGGATTACCACCAAAAAAATAGTCAAAATGTTCTGAACAAAAAATGTATGGCGCACTTTTTGATTGGTCCAGCGGATGCTGAGCTACACTCAAATAAATATCCGAAAAATTTTCGAAAAATTAAATTTGCGAGATAATTGATCGGGAATACCGCCAAAGTCTTAACCCGGGAGTCTTGAACAAAAAATGTATGGAGCACTTTTTGATTGGTCCAGCGGATGCTGAGCTACACTAGAAAACAAATTCGGAAAAATTTCGAAAAATTAAATTTGCGTTATAATCGCTCGGGATTACCACCTAAAAAATAGTCAAAATGTTCTGATCAAAAAATGTATGGCGCACTTTTTGATTGGTCCAGCGGATGCTGAGAAACACTCAAATAATTTTCCGAAAAATTTTCGAAAAATTAAATTTTCGAGATAATCGTTCGGCAATACCGCAAAAGTAGTTAGAAGAAAGTTCTGAACAAAAAATGTATGGCGCACTTTTTGATTGGTACAGCGTATGCTGAGCTACACTAGAAAACAAATTCAGAAAATTTTCGAAAAATTAAATTTGCGTTATATTCGCTCAGGATTACCACCAAAAATAATAGTCAAAATGTTCTGAACAAAAAATGTATGGCGCACTTTTTGATTGGTCCATCGGATGCTGAGCTACACCAGAAAACAAATTTGAAAAAAATTTAGGAAAATTAAATTTTCGAGATAATCGTTCGGGAATACCGCCAAAGCCTTTAGCAAAAAGTAGCGAACAAAAAATGTATAGCGCACTTTTTGATTGGTCCAGCGGATGCTGAGCTACACCAGAAAACAAATTTAGAAAAATTAAATTTGCGAGATAATCGCTCTAGGATACCACCAACAAAATAGGGAAAAAGTTTTAAACAAAAAATGTATGGCGCACTTTTTGATTGGTCCAGCGGATGCTGAGCTACACTCACTAAAACTGGAAAAAAAATTTGGAAAAAAAAAATTTGCCAGATAATGACTCGGTAATAATGCCAAAAAATTGAGCAAAAAGTCTTGAACAAAAAACGTATGGCGCACTTTTTGATTGGTCCAGCGGATGCTGAGTTACACTCAAAAATATTTTGGAAAAATTTTCGAAAAATAAAATTTGCGAGATAATCGTTCGGGTATACCGCCAAAGTCTTTAGCAAAAAGTAGCGAACAAAAAATGTATGGCGCACTTTTTGATTGGTCCAGCGGATGCTGAGCTACACTCACTAAAACTGGGAAAAAAATTTCGAAAAAAAAATTTTCCAGATAATTACTCGGGAATAATGCCAAAAAATTGAGCAAAAAGTCTCGAACAAAAAATGTATGGCGCACTTTTTGATTGGTCCAGCGGATGCTGAGCTACACCAGAAAACAAATTTGGAAAAAATTTAGAAAAATTAAATTTTCGAGATAATCGCTCTGGGATACCACCAAGAAAATAGGGAAAGAGTTTCGAACAAAAAATGTATGGCGCACTTTTTGATTGGTCCATCGGATGCTGAGCTACACCAGAAAACAAATTTGAAAAAAATTTAGGAAAATTAAATTTTCGAGATAATCGTTCGGGAATACCGCCAAAGCCTTTAGCAAAAAGTAGCGAACAAAAAATGTATAGCGCACTTTTTGATTGGTCCAGCGGATGCTGAGCTACACTAGAAAACAAATTCGGAAAAATTTCGAAAAATTAAATTTGCGTTATAATCGCTCGGG